AAACAGATTCTGACGTTTGCGTATCTAGTCGACTATACCGAGTCGACGGCCCAAGGCTACGAAGCCACAATCAGCCAGCTAACGACGTATGCGAGCAAATGCCCGGAATCCAAGGTTGTGCTACTGGGCTATTCGCAGGTCAGTGAAGCCGATTTTCCGCCCTGATCATCTCGGAAGCCCCGAGGGCCCGGCAAAGACGCCCGTAGCTGATAGTGGTACTTTTGTCCAGGGCGCGCATGTCACGGGCGATGCGCTGGCTGGCGGCGGGGGCGGCGACATGGGTGCCGAGACTGATCCAGTGAGTACCGAGATCGGTGACCACGGTATGTGCGCTCCGGCGGCGCTGCTGAATGAATTGCTCCGCCTTACCTTACCTTACCTACTTGCTGATTCCGGCCAGTGGCTGCTGTCGTCTGGTATGGCGACCCGCGCCACATGACAGGGGAGCCGTACGACCAGGGCACCGCGACCGCGGAGGGCGTAAGTAGACTCCTACATACCGTCGCTTCTTTTTTTATTTCATTTTTTTTTTTTTTTTTTGTTTTTTAGTGGCAGCTTGGCTGATTGGGCGGGTTCTTCCTTTATCTCTCTGCAGCTCTTCCCCCGCACGACGGCACAGCTGGCGAATCTCAAGACCTACGCGGATCGCATCCGCTCCTACTGCGATCTTGGGGACCCGGTGTGTGCTGGTGGCGACTCGCTAGAAGTGCATTCGAGCTACCCGCAGAGCTACGACGAGAAAGCGGCGGCGTGGGTGCAGACGAAGCTACAATGAGAATGGGGGGGGAGAAAGACATGTTGCGTAACTGACAGGGCGGAAGTTGCTTTTTGAGAAGTAGGAGCTGTAAGGAAGGGAGGGGAGCCAATAGGGCTTGGGCGACAAAGAAGGCGGATGAGACAAGACACCGTCCTTGGGATGCGGGAATTATTGAGAGTCGAATGGTCTGACACACGTGACGGAGAGAGAGGAAGGGAATGGAGGAGACTTATTAGAGCGTGACTGACTAGGTAGTATGGGACTAAGTAGATAGTATAGTTAGGCCCGTCGGCTCGTCTACACTCTACCTCCGGCATGCAAGGATGATCAAAGGAATCCATCAGGTCAAGCAAGCACGCGCGCGCGTGTGTACGACGGGCTGGAATCTCTTTGATCACGGCGTTTCGAGCCCCAACAGTGGCGCCGGCCCCGAGCGTCGCGTCGGTCGGCCCTTTGACGTCGCGCTGACTAGCTGCCTAGCTGCCCGTCTCTCGCCTTCCAACCGTCCACCTCCGCATTCCTCGCCCAGCCCAGCCTAGCCAGCCTGCCAGCCTGCCAGCCAGCCAGCCAGTGCTGCCCGCGCCCGCCCGCACACCCGCCCGCCAGCACACCACCACCACACCACGCCTTCAGCTCTGACCCTCCCTCGACTACCAACTCCTCTTCCACCGTCCTGCCTCTCTCGCTTGTCGTCGACTCCTCGCAACCACAACCCCCGTCCGGCACACTGGCACTCCAATTGCACGCCCCGTCTGCTGCTGAAGCGGCCCTCGCGGGTGTGCCTTCGCTGCTCCGCCTCCCGATTGCCTGAAGTCCGACTCTCTCCCTCTCGACACCCTCCCGAGACACCGCTGCCATGGCTTCCGCCGTTGTTTCGCCTGCCGGCCTGACTCTTCATGGGGCTCCGGATGCCTGCATCGACGACCCAACCAAGCTCGTCCCCGCCATGCACCTGGAAATGACGCAGGATATCCTCGACGAACTGCTCCAGAGCATCCGCAATGGAAAGCCTCCGCAGCTGCTGTTCGGCAGGAATCCTGTGAGTCCTTTCCCACTCTCGTCTGCGTCTGCCGCCCGCATGCTGACACTCCCCGCTCCCAGGTCCTCAAATACGGCGAGACGAAACATGTGCTTGAAACACGGGCGGAACGCTTCAGGACCGAGCTGTACACGTCCGACGGCAAGAGCGACTTGCGCTTCGCTGGGCTCATGGAGGACCGGCTCGCGGTACAGCGAGCCGAAGAGGTCACTGCAAAGGCCGACGCGGCATTGCAGGCCCTCAAGAGCAACATGGCGTCGATCAAGAAGGAGAAAGAGTCGCACAAGTAAGCCATCTCGGTACCCCCTATACTGCCTGGTCTCGGATCGCTTACATAGTCGTGTGTCGCAGGATGACCATGGGCGATGACGCCGAACTCCTCGCCAACACCAAGCGTGAGATACCCAGAAGGGTAGGGAAGGGCAAGTCCGTCCTGGGAGGCAGGGTCGGATCGTCGTATCCACCAAGCCCCGCTCTTGGATCGACGGCGACATCCCCCCTGCCTGGTTCTGCTCCAACTTCGGCGCCGACGTCGCATCTCCCCGTCATCCAACAAGCTCTCCGGATCCCGCTGCTGCATCTGCTTGCCATCAAGCCCGCAAAGACCCAGGACCTTGTACGGAAGACGCGCGCCTCCAAGGAGAACCTCGTTTCGGTCCTCCCCAAGATTGCTCGCGAGTCCGAGGCCGATGGCTGGAAGCTGACAGACAAGGCCTTCAAGGAGCTCGACCCGTGGAAGTTCCCGTACCCGACCCAGGAGGACAGGCAGGCGGCCATTGACAATGCCATCAAGGCTTTCGACCGCCAGAGGCTGGGCTCGGACGAGAAGCCGTGGCAACTGTTGCTGCCGGAGGAGGATCGCGGGAAGGGAATCAAGCTCTCGAAGCTCAGCTTGAACAAGGCTCCGGTGCAGAAGACGACACCCAGCGTCGGACCGAAGCTGCTCAAGTCCCTCAAGAAGGAGGCGCCGAAGAAGACGAAGAAGAGCGAGAAAACAGAGGATGAGAAGGAAAGCAAGGGTGTGTCAGCCAAGAGAGTCGCCAAGACGACGACCGGGGAAGCGCGCAAGACCGCTGCGAAGGCCGCTGGTACTGCACAGGACAAGCAAGAAAAGGCAAGGCCTGTGGAGAAGGATGCGAAGCCCGTGGTGAAGAAGGAGCCACCAGCCAATGGCACCAGCAGCGCGCTTCCCAAGAAGCCACCCAAGCCAAGGGCAACCCAGCAAAAGATTACGGAAAGGCCCTTCACCACCACGAAGAGAGTCCAGGACAACAAGCCGAAGAACCCTTCACCGCTCAGTGCTTCGCCTCCCGTTAACGCTTCCGACTTCGAGGACAACCATCCTGTCCACAAGGCACTCTCTGCGTCCTCTTCGCATGCTGGCAAATCCACGCCTGGAAACTCCGATCGCACGCTCAAGCGCAAGGCGAACGACTTGGACCACGACATCCATAAGCACGATACCGGTGTCAAGCAACGCAAGACGACCGGCACCACGCTCTCTACCAAGGCTTCGGCTACTGCTAGCGGCGACAGGCCTATCAAGCGCAAGGCCCCGGACCACGACAACGAAAGCACGCGTCCTGCAACCAAGAAGCCCGCCGCCGCCAGCAAAACACCCAAGCCTACGCAGACGTCGACCCCGCAATACTCGACGGCATCCAGCACAACCTCGTCGGCCGCATCGTCACGCTCTTCGCAAATGGGCCATCGGCCCTTGCAGCAGCGCCCCAGCCAGCGCACGCCGCCGTCACCGGCAGACAGCGCGTCGCCGGAGCCGACGCTGACGATGCGGCAGACGGTGGACCTGAGCGTCAAGTTCAAGCGCTACTACGCGCGGTACCAGCAGCTGCACCTGCGGCTGAGCAAGATGGCTGAAATCACGCAGGAGCAGCGCGACGAGTTTATGCTCATGCATAATAAGCTGCAGGCGATGAAGGCGGAGATTAAAAAGGGCGCGGGCGTGGCGCGATGATAGTGGTGGTGGTGGTGGGGAGGGATAAAGGGAAATGTTTTTTTCTGGATTTGTTTTTGGGGTTTTATGAGCGGGACCGTGATGCAACCAACGTGAAGGACTTTTATTTTTTATTTTTTATTATCCTCGACTTGTTTGTCTGGATGGATACCGGTACGGTACTCTCTCGAGCCTCGCCCCCCAAGGGTTCACAAAAAAGCTGTCTACGTATAGGGGTTTTTTGGCTTATTTCCCGTTAGCGGCGGCGGCAGGGTATTTTTTTTTTGGGGAGGCTTTGGGCTTTTGGGCTTTTTCTTTCTTTCTTTCTTTCTTTCTCTCTCGCTCGCTGCCCTTCAGCGAGACGAGACAATGGGCGTAGTTCCCCTCCTCTCCTCCCTCCCTCCCTCTCTCCCTTCTTCTCTCGTTTTTTTGGTTGGTTTGGTTGGTTGGTTGGTTGGGTTGGTTCCTCTCGAGAGAGCGAAAAAAACAAAAACTCACTCACTCGCTTATGTTTTTGCTGCTTGCTTGCTGCTTGCTTGCTGCTTGCTTGCTGCTTGCTTGCTTGCTTCTCTGCTTTTTTGGGAGCGATGGAGGGAGCGAGGGAGGGGGGATACCGTACTGCTGTACTGCATCATACCATGTCACGCACGCTTCACTGCACTGCACACACCACACTACACACGCATTGCGGATATACTACCTATTTCTACTACTACCTACTACTACTACCTATTATTGCATTTGGACGGATGAGGGGGGGCGTTTTAGTTTTCTTTTCTTTTTTTTCTTTTTTAAGCGGATGGATGGATGGATGGGTAGCTAGGCTGGCTGGGACAGGGACAATTGCGCCGCCGTGGGCAGGCAGGCATGTCTTCTCGCTTTCTCGTTCTCTTTCTCTTGCTTTCTCCCTCTTTCACTTTCGCTTTTTCTCGATCGGTTTCTCGCGCTCGCTCGCTCGCTTGGTTGGCTCTGGCACTGGCATGGGCATGGGCATGGGCATGGGCATGGGCTGTATTGGAAAACACACACACACTCACTCACTCACTCACACACGCAAGCAAAAGATATGTTCGCGCTCTGCTCTGCTCTGCTTTGTGTGGTGTGGTGTGGTGTGGTGTGGTGTTATATTCGGGTTCGTTGCGTTCCATATCCTCTGTTTGTTCGACGTTTTCTTTTCCTTTTTCTTCTTCTTTTTTGAGTTCTGGTTTTGGTTTTTTGGTTTCGTTTATCTAAATGGGCTTGGATGGGTTGGGGTGGGTTGGGTGCTATGGATTAAAATTTTGGGTGGTGGTGGTGGATAGCACTGCACGGCACGGTATACAGACATGGTCGGGGCGGTGAAGCGCATGAGGTCAGGTCCTGCAATACCTACTTACTATAGCACTCCTAGTACGCCGGTGTGGTGCAGTAAGGTGCGGTATAGTAACGTGGACGGCGCGGTAGACTAGGGCTGAGCGGGCAGGACAGGGCAAACAGACAGACAGACAGCAAGAGAGAGAGAGAACTTCGAAGATTCCGTCTTCTGCGGCTCACCGCACCGCACCGCACCGCAACGCAACGCATGGCATGCCGTGGCTCGCGTGCAATATGCAATACCTAACCTCCGACAGTGCTGCCCTGTGCACATTGACACTGGCATTAACGACATTGACGGCACTGACACTGAGGGCATGCTCGAGCGGGCGCGTGGGCAGTGCAGTGGCGCAGACACAGGCACGGGGTGCGGCGAGCGGTGTACCTACGTCGGTGTCGGCGGCGGTGGAGGCCGAGGCTTCAGCCCTGGCGTGCCGTGCCTGGCTCTGGCTCTGGCTCTGGCTCTGGCTTCCGCTGCTGCTGCTGCTACTGCTGTAGCGCCGAGGCCAGCGGGTGCGCCGTGGTTATTGCAATGGTCTTGGTGCTGCGTCGGGTGGTCGGGCACAAGAGCGGCGGGTATTGTAGGCAGGCGGTGGGAGTGGTGCTGATGTAGGGGCGGTAGATAGGGCTGGCTTGGTACAATAGGCAGGTATGGTACTGTAAGGCGCGGCTGGAACAGAAAGGAGGCGGGGGCACGGCTGTGGTGACTAGGTACCTAGCGATGGTATGGTACGCAGTAGTATGTAGTACATAGGTGGTTTAAGTAACTGACAGTGGTCGGAGTATTGACAATGTCGTAGGTGATGATGAGAACGACGATTGAATGAATGAATGAATATCTAGATGGACAAGAAAGACCAGCACAGATGAGATACCCAGGTAGGTAGGTATGCCATGTAAGGCTGAGTAAAGCTTACCCTACTGCCGCAGCCAACGTCCATCATGCAAGCCTCACCCTAACGGGCTTTTGTTTCGTTCCCACGTCTTATAACACCATCATCTCGCAAGACGCTGGCTGCTGGCCTTGCTGTTTTGTGCAGGTAGGTAGGGCACTAACTGCCGGTGCCCTGCCTGCCTGCCTGCCTGTCTATCTGCCGAACACACACGCACGCACGCATGCATGCATGCAGGGCAGCCCGGCAAAGCCGGCCGCGTGCGTGCGTGCGGGGGCGCTGCAAGCCGTGCCGTCCCGGTACATACATACATATTGTACACACATACAGCACCTCAGCTTAGGGCGCAAGCCCTCTCCCTCTCCCACCGCAACAACAACAACAACCCACGGTGAGTCGACGCTGTCCGAGACCCCCACGCAGGCCACAGACCGGCCAGGCCAGGCCAGGCCGTGGCAGCCGGGCGGACGGGGATGCGCGGGCGCGCGGGGCGCTAGTGCTAGGGAGGGAGCGGGTGGGGGTGCGGGGCGTGCGCTCGGAGCCTCGTATTGCGGTGCGCGCTGGGCTGGGCACTTTGATGTGGAAGGTACCTAGGTAAGAAGACGAGGAGCGCGACGAGAAGCAGGCAAGTGAACGGGCAGAGTGTGTAGCAGACGAGCAGACAATATGCGTATGCATGTGCCGTGCTGTGCTGTGCTGGTGTCGTTATTTCGTTATGGGGGCGACTACGGACTACTGTACATGGCTAGCCAGCTACTCGCGCATCGCGCCTCTGTCGGGCCCGTGAGAGCAGAGGCACGAAGAAAAGCAGAGCAGAAGCAAGCAGGAAAGCAAGAAGGGGGGAAAGCAGTCTCGAGCCTAGCAGTGGGGGAATTGACCCGCATGATCCACCATCGAGTTTCGGAAGCAAAAGTGGTCGTAATCGTCGGGCAGCAAGAAAAAAAAGGAAGGAAACTAGAAAACAAAAAAGTATGGGGTGAGGAGACTCCAGGGCGGCAGAGTACGATCATTGCGCGCGCGGTGGCAGCGCTTAGCCGTCGAGCCCCCGGACCACAGTTGCGTCCGTCCCCCTCGCTTCGCGACAAAAGGTTCGTGTCACGGATGTCGACGACCGCTCTGCCGTAGTTCTCCAAGGAGAAAGCGGAAGTCCATGTCCGTCTACCCTCTTTGCCTCTAAAGCCCCAGTTGATATTCAAGTGTTCATCCACGGCCAAGGCGAATACTCAAATTGGTTGTTGCACTTCGAGAATCCCGCTCAACCAGGGCCACCATCACATACCCTCAAATTCAAGTACCGGGAGGCGCTGTGTCGTTCTCCTTTTGAGGAGACCATGAGAGTGGACCCTTTAGAGTTCTCATCTCTTCAGCCGATAGGACCTTGTTCCAGGGTTGCGTGTTGCCTTCAGCGTCGTGAACCGTGCTGATCGCCTGGCGCGCAGCTTGAATCCGTGCGTATGCTTCGAGGGTGCCGCGAGGGCTTGAGGGCCTCGGGGGACCGAAAGGAGAAACAAGGTCCCTGTTGAAACCGTTGGCGGAAGAGGTAGTCATCGAGCCACCCAGGCTGTCGAAACTGTTCGAACCATTGTAGCTTCCGACACTGTTGCCGACGTTGGGACGACCGAAGGTGTCTGCGTCGCCGGTACCTTGGTTGTTGTTGAAGGCGCTAGTTCTGCCAAAGCTGCTGTAACCGCCAGCATCGTATGTGTCACTCACGCCACTCGCTTCTTCGAAGTTGTTCATGCTGCTCGTTCTACGAGTCCTTCCTCTCTTGTTAGCACTGCCTGGAGTAGAGGGAGGGCGCGTTGCCGCACGTTTGCGGACCGTTCCAGACGTAGTGGTTGTACTGTTGCCGGAACCCATAAGGCTTGAGTTGCGGGTTTCCGTTGCTACCGTCTGCATCGGGGTCGTGCTGCTTGGAGCTAAAAGGTTCCTAATGCGAGTGCTACGACGTAGACCAGAGTCGGCCATGTCCTGAGATGAGGCGAAAGGCTGCTGTTCGGTCTCCGGGGCCGAATCGTTGACGGCAGTCGTAACGCTCTGGGTCTGCTTTGAAGGCATCTTGCTGTTTGGGCGTTTTCCTCTGCCGGGACCCTTCTTTCGGTTGTTGGCCGGCGTAGTGGCGCTGGTTGACTTGCCCTTTGAGCGCCCACTCCTTCTCAAAGGGGGACTGAGGTCCTTGTCCGCAACTTTCTTGGAGCGAGGTTGACGCTTAGGTGCCAAAGCGCCGTTCTCATGGGCGAATTTTTCAGTTCGGTCTGTCTGAGCGACGCTAGTGTGTTCACTTCCCGGCACTTCAGCTGGTGCTTCAGTCCGGACATTTTCAGAGTGAAGGAAATCAGACAGCAAATTAGTGCTCGAGCGTCCGAAGGACGTCGCCATGAAGTTAGACCCGCCATACTCTGAACCCCTAAAGGCGGGCATTCCCGTTAAGCCCTGAGTGCTACGCGGCCCTGGAAGATATACGAGAGAGCCGTTGGTGTCGAATGGACCGGAACTGACAAATGGATCGAGAGATCCACCAGTATCGAACGAACTGGACCTGACGAAGGGGTCGCGACCACTAGCAGACTGTGGGATGGTAAGAGAGCCTTCAATATCAAACGGACCGGAACCGACAAAAGGATCAAAGTCCTCAGCAGACTGCGGGACGAGACGTATAGTAGTCTTCGGGTCGACCATGGGAAATCCACTCGGGTTCCCTAAAGAGACAGCAGAAACTTCGTGGTTGAGATTTGGTATGCCGCCAAACTGAGCGCTGTCCTGGGATCTGGCCGCTGCGTTTTCCTTCGTTTCCGGCCAATTCTTCTCGATAGCTTGACCTGTCAAGAACGAGATGCGTTCTCTGAACTGACGGGTGCAGCTCCCCTTTTTCTCCAGCCCCCACCAAAGTTTTTCCAGATCTTGAAGTGAGGTCGCAATTTGTCCAATGTGGCCACGCATTTCTTCTAGGTCGGAGAGTGCGAGTGGATGGCTGCATTGATTCGCTTCCATTGCCAAGCCAGCATCTTCGTCGGCATCGAGAGTGGAGTATATGGCCTTGCTAGTGATACTCAGCTTCGAGAGAAGACTAACTACGTTCTCGAGGCCAGTCGGCTTTGCGTTCCATGGTACAATCGTATTTTGGAACATGAAGTTAACAGAACTTTGAGCTTGAGGTAAGGAAGGATGAACAGTGGGTAGATCACTCGCGGGCAATTGGGATACTCCCACGGGCTCAGGCATGGAGTCCATGCTCTTCTCAATGTCGGGACAGTTGCTAACTAGTTGCTGCACATACTCGTCGAGCTCCGAAAGATAGACAGGCTCCATGAGTCGTTGGTCGCTGGAACATTCGTCACCGTTAGAGGTGAGGTTGAACTTGCTGACAATACCGTGGTCCAGGGGTACAGGATCAGGGCAAGAATCGTTGACACAATTGTCGTTGGGCTTGGTGACGTCCGAGACAGTAGTCGGGTGAGGTTTGGTGGATGTGTGGGATGACGACCTGTTGTTCTTTAGCCGCCGCAGTCAGGTGTTTTCTAATGATAGCTAAAGCATTCTAGAAAGAGGGACATACACTCACCGAACACATCTTTGGGGCTTGCTTCTTTTGGACACGCTCTAATTTACGGCACTCTTGGTAAAGGTCCTTGCCGATCTTCACCATCTTAGAAAAGCGCCTACATTGAGCAAAGCGTACGCTTCCCTAAGGTGGAAGTCATTGTGGTTACAAAGTGAGGAGTGCATGTGATAGTCACCGGAACCACGGAAAACATGCTGCGGCGTCTCTTGGCGGCCGTGAGGGGATGGGCCTTGGGAAGCATAGTCAGTCGGCCCAAGACGAGCAGCAGGGTCCGGACAAGTCAAATTACTTTGTCGTCGCTGTGGTCGTCTTCGGCGGCAAGGAGGTTCTGGGCAACGGGGTTCTCGATTGCTTCGAGGTAGCCTTCGGGCAGCTCAAGGTCGGAAAGATCGATGCCTCGGGCTTTGATTTGGGCCACCAGCTTCTGCTGCAGCGTGTACTGCTCCTTTAGGTACTTGACTGTGGCTTCGAGGACGATGGCCTCGCTGCGGCCTTGGCCCTCCATGCCGGGGACGATGGAGGCAAGGCGGTCGAAGCCCTGGCGGATGGCCTGGCGGCGCTTCTGCTCCGAGGCAATGTGGTTCGACTTCTTCTCCTCTTCGGTGAGGCGCGGCTTGTCGGCAGGTGTTGACGTCGACATGGTGCGCGCTGTCACGGCGCACGGGCTGGGCCACAGGGCGGGCACGCTGGCAATTTAATAACAACGACGGCGGTGTGGAAGTGGTTGCTCGGATGTGGGTGACGTGGATCAGCGGCTGGCTTGACGCCGAACGACAGGGCTGATATGGACCCCTGCTCTTTGAAACGCAGCGTCACGGAGGAACCGCAGAAGCTGCTACTCTCCTGCGACACTTCGCCTGCTCTCCTGCCTTGCTGCAAATTCCTCGCCCGCCCGCTCGCCACCACCCCCCTCGGCCGCGTGCAGTCTCGCTCTCCCTCCTTCTCGCCGCCCTCCAAAGGTGCAGGAGCCGCCTCGCTCGGGTGACATGCGCCGCGCCCCTCCCTTCACCCTCTGAGACTCGCGCTGAACCTTCGCTATGTCGACCTCGTCGCACAACCGCTCGCGGAGCAACAACCGCTGGCGGATGAGCTCCCTCGTCCAGGAGGACCGCATGAGTCGCCGCAGCTCCTCGTACCCCCGCAAACGCGTCGTGAGCCCCCAGGACGCCTACACGTACGCCCTTCGCGTCGCCTACCTCGCCTACCTCCTCCAGCCCCGCGCCAAGCGTATGGAGCATGTGCCCGCTGCTGCTCCCAAGCCCATCTACCGCTCTGCCACCTCCGTCACCGACCTGGTCAAGGATTTCTCCCTGATACGCGACAGCAAGAGCACAAAGTTCCCCCATGGCTTCATCAAGGCTCTGGACAAACGCCTTACCGGCGTCCTGCAGGGCACCGAGCGAATGCCTGAATACCGGGACCCCGTCATCAAGTCGACCTTTGCCGTCTTCTTGAACGAGATGAAGGACCCCAAGTTCAGGAAAAGCATGGAGAGCGATCGTCGTGTTGAGGATCTGCTGCTCATCTTCTTCTCCAACTCCACAAAGGTCTTGCAGAGGGGCAAGGCTCCGGAGGACGATAGCTGGAGGCTGATGGTTGATCGCCACGTTGCTCTGTTCATCCGCATCATCAGCTCCACCCTGAAGGATCACGATTGGCAAAAGGACCGCCCGGAGCTTGCATCGAGGCTGCAGACAATGGAGAGGAAACTGTTGATGCACGATCAAGATCTTTCCGCGCCGTCGCAACGAAACAGTCAAGGAGGAGGCACAACTGTCGAAGTTGAGGTGCCCCGGAGCTATGAAGTGAAGGACATGCCGCTCGTGCTCATAGTCTCGCGCATCTTCAATGTACCCTATGCTCAAGTGCAACAAGATGTCAACAGTAAGAGGGACATTTGGACCGAGAAAGCGGCATTGCAAGATCTCAAGACTTATCAGACGAATCTGAGCCTCAACACACGGCAGACATTGAGTCACGAGGACTTTGACACGGAGGAAGCATATGAAGCTTGGAAGAAGACGGAAATTCCTGATTTGTCACAGATGATGCTGGCCATTGTGCAATCGAGCCCAGACCTTGCCAAAAGCTCTGGTGGAGGTCTCCCGCAATTCAAGCCCGGTGGTGCCCCAACTAGCCCTGATTCCGGCTATTCGGAGCTCTCTAGAAAGATGTCTGAGGCATCAGACGGTGTTTCATCCTATGTCATTGATCAGCCCGTTGACATGAGCTCCCTCAATCTCGACGATGGTGGGGAGACTAACGAGGATGGTAGCACTCCCTATGTCTTCATCCCTCCAGACCCGAGATCATTCTATCGCGCTGTGGTTAAGCAGGCCCTCACATACGACTTGGAAGATCAACAGCTGCAGCCCTCAAGCCCTACGGGTGATATGCAATCCATAAAACTTTTCTCCAGAGAATCGACCGAGCTGCTTACTGAGATTGGTCTGCGCTGGCGCGTGCCTCAATTCTCGAGATTGGTTCTGTTCCTGGATGTCATCAGGGAAAAATACCAACACCAGGAAATCACCTTGGAGACGCTCGATGAGGCTTTCACGTTCATCAAGTCCCCACCTGTCGAGCATAATCACAGGCGTAGCAGATCAAGCGTAATGCTGCAAACGACCATGTTTGATCATAATAAGTGGACCATTGCGGACTACGTTCTCAAGCAGCAAACCCTCTCACTTTTGCACGACGGCTTGCTGCGCGAACTCTATGAGCTCATGCTGTTCTGCTACGACAGCAAGCCCCCTACCATCGGACCGACTATGTTCGTCCTTACCAACCATATCTATGACGATCCTTTGTTCTCAAAGACAGTTGATGATCTCGACGTTTACACCGAACAGCTGGAAGAGGGCCTGAAGAAACGAGCTGGGGAGGTATACAGTGAGATTCTGGCGAAAGAAATTCCCGACCAAAAGGAAGAGTGGGAATTCTTCCATGTGATACAGCTCGGAAAAGCAGTGATCAAACTTTGCGAAAAAATCCAGAAGAGATACCGCAAGAACCCAGAAATCATGGGGTGAGCAAAACCCTCAAAAGATAGTCTGCCCCCGCTAACTAGCTTCGCAGTGTCAATCCCCTGAACACGCTTGTCCAAGAGATGCTTCCAGCATATGCGGCGGATGCAAGAGATCTGGTCACCCACATCATGGACGTCGCTCATCAAACTGGCGATGAGATTCCCATCCAGGATGGGTTCGACCTGTACAGCGAGTTGGTTGAAATCCGTCGCATCCACGCAGACGCGCTACCTGAGTATGTATTTGTCTATCAAAATACTTTCACTGCTAATACGGCTACAGTCAACCATTTGGTTTCCATCTCGAGGAGCTCCTGCAGGAGTTCGTATGGCGCTGGATTGAGATGACTGATGCCAATCTAGTCAACTGGGTCGAGAACGCCGTGAAGCAAGACAACTTCGCCGTCCGTGTCGATGGCCCCGACCAGATTGCTACGGATGATGAGCGTCACAGTGTCTCTGTCATTGACATGTTCCGCTCCTTCAACCAGAGCATTGAACAGATTGTGAACCTGAACTGGGACGATGACGTTCAGTATGCTAAATTCATGACAGCCACTTCCAAGTCGATCTGTGCGGCACTTTCCCGATACTGCGAGCTTGTCGAAGGCACGTTCAGCAAGGAGATGGAAAGACTAACGCCCGAGCAAGAAGCGGCTCAGAGCCAGACCAGGCAGGAGAAATGGATGCAGATGGCCAAGAATGCTTGGAACCAGCAAGATAAGATCGAACCGTACCAGTTCTTGCCTGAAGTAAGTTTTCATATCAGTTTGGCGATTACTCCGTATACAAAGCTGACACCACGCGAGTCGCTCGTGAAACTCAACAACATTGAATACGCCACGCAACAGCTCGACAAGCTCGAGCACGAGGTCAACGTCGACGCTTGCGCTGAAGTTATCCAGAAGAATACTCCCACCCCAGCCCAGCGACAGCCGAAGATCAACAAGTATGTTTTCACGATCAAGATCATCGAAGCCGAGGACCTCAAGGCTTGCGATATGAACGGTCTCAGTGACCCCTATGTTGTGCTGGGTGATGAGTACCAAAAGCGCCTTGCCAAAACTCGTGTGGTCTACGGTAGTCTCAGTCCCCGTTGGGATGAAACTGTTGACATCACCACTCAGGGGCCACTTAACATCATTGCTACTATTTGGGACTGGGATACCCTAGGTGACCATGATTGTGTTGGAAGAACCTCGCTGAAGTTAGATCCCTCCCACTTCCGTGACTTCTTGCCCCGTGAGTATTGGCTCGACCTTGATACTCAAGGCCGACTTCTTCTCCGAGTGAGTATGGAAGGCGAGAGAGATGATATTCAGTTCTACTTCGGCAAGTCTTTCAGGACTCTGAAGAGGGCAGAGCGTGATATGACCCGCAGGGTCACTGACAAGGCAAGTTCCTTCATTCTTACACAGGATCAAACCATTAACAAGTATGCAGCTCTCGGCCTACATTCACTATTGTCTTTCCTACCGTGCCCTAAAAGCGCTTCTCAATCGCGGTGTTACAGTTTCTGCAGTCACTTCGTACTTTTCGCGAGGCCGGTCCAACACGATGGCAATGCCACCCACTACAGCGGAAGTTATGAATGCGTTGAAGCCTCTGTTCGCGTATTTCAATGACAACTTTGCTCTCATGAAGGAGACACTTACCGATAGCGCCATGGTCATGGTCATGTCTCGACTGTGGAAGGAAGTCCTTGCCACGATTGAGAGTTTGCTGGTGCCTCCGCTCAGTGACAAGCTCTCCACTCAAAAGCAGCTCACTCAGCAGGAGATGGACGTTGTTTTCAAGTGGTTACAAATGCTTTTCGACTTTTTCCACGCCGTCGATGAGGAAACGGGTACCGCTTCTGGTGTCCCGCTTGAGATCCTCAAGTCTCCCAAATACCACGACCTGCAGAACCTCAACTTCTTCTACTTTGAGCCTACCGAAAACCTCATCCGTACCTCCGAGTCGATGGCTGCTGCCAGCCTTCACCGTCAACAGGAACAGGCTGCACGTGCCAACAGGCTTTCAGCACCGCCCAGTCTCAGTGCTCCCTCAGGTCCCACCTTTGGTGGCGGCATGATGGGAATGCCAACGCGCAGGACTAAGACGATCATGTTGAGTCGCAACTTGGGTACGATGAAGAGGGCCAAGGAAGAGAAGAGGAAGGAAGCTCAGGCAGAACCGAGTGACGACATTATCCTGCGTATTCTCCGCATGCGGCCCGAGGCAGAGAGATACCTGAGAGACAGAAGCAGGCAGAAAGAGAGGCTCGCCGCCGCCGCCGCCGCGGAAATGATCGTCAAGCAGAGCCTTGTGGCAAGTGCGGCCGGCATGGGACCGCGCCAGCGTTAATCGAACCCTTATGCATGACGTGGACGCAGAGTTCTGGACATGAACAGCGCGTTGACCACTACAGGGTTTTCCAAACAGTCGGTTTTCTCTCACGGTGCGGCGAACGGACAATTTCTCATCGACGGACTCGGACGTTTCACTCAGATCACCACGTCGAATCCAAGCAAATGATGCACCGAAATATACCCAGTTATAACGCGCACGGTAGTTTGAAGTTCTTGTTTTTCTTTTCCTTTTCCGATCAGGCTTTTTGCGGCTTTTTTTCTCACCCACTGTTCTCTCCGGCTGGCTTGGAGACGGCAGCACGACGCTGAACCTTTCCTGGGAGCCCGGTGGTGCTCGCCATCTTTCGGTCTTGATCGATACACAAGGGGAAGAGAAGGGGTGATTGGACGGCTTTTTTCTACACGGCAGAGATCGACAATGATGGAATGGAGGTAGCAGGGAACGAGTTACGGCGGAAGCGAGAAAAGAATGCAATGCGTTTATGTTAGGTTAGTCCAGAGTTTTCTTGCACTTTACTTTGGCAACGACTGGAGGGAGGTTTTTTGTAATAATACCAATAACCGGATAGCGTGCTGTAATACAGATTCTTTGCTTGGCAATTTGCTTTGCATTCTTTTTTAGGGGCCAGGGCCACATCATCCATGACGATGCACACATATCACGGCGCCCTGCATGAGACGGTTGCAACGCCGAAACGTGTGCGCTCGGGAACGGGACGGGGCTTGCAGTAAAGCCAATTGAACGAGCTTCTTTTGCGCGAGTGTCTAGACACACACAAACAAACAAAGCTGGACGGTGAATGGGCGAAAAGCATTGCGCGCGAAAAAACATCAGAGACGGCTCTCCTGACAGAGTTCGTTCCCTAACAGCGAAGGAGAGGATCTGGTGACCAGCGTCGCACAGCCGGCGGCTCTCGACCGGTCGGCAGCGAGGACCGGGACGGTAGAAACCTGCATCGTTTGGAAGGGCGTGGTACATGCTGCAACGTTACTCGGCGTGTCTTCAGCGTTGGGGGTGTTGCTAGTGTTGTGAGAGAGGGCGTTTTGGGGCATGCCGAAAACACACGTGGGATAGTGGGCGCGGCGCGCGGAGGGGCTGTGACGTGCGTCGGAGGCTGCCCGTGTGACGGTGTTGGGCTTGCGGTTTGAGGGTGCGCGAGGGTGGGTTGGTCGTGTCGTGTCGTGTCGTGTCTTTGGAACGCAGGTGTGTGTTTGTGTGCGTGTGTGTAGTAGTGTACCTGTTGTGTGAGTGGGGAGAGAGAGGATGAGAGAGGAGGAGGGCGAGACTCGGGGCGGGCGTGGTCGAATTTCCTTTTTTGAAGATCGATGGCGCTCTGGAGGACGGGCGGATTGGATATTGGATATGACGAAACGGGCAGTGGTAGCGAGATTTTGGGTCGTATAGGTAGGGCCAGGCCGATAGATAATGAAAGGAATCCTTCCCGCCGTTGCCAAGCGCCCGCACATTTTGGAGGTTGAGGCCCCGAGTGGTGAGAGGTGAGGCTACAAGAGCCCCCACTGTCGATCACCCGAAGTCGCATAACGAATGGGTCCTTGCAGACGGCCTCTAACGAAGGCGCGAGGTTTCACATGCCGAAACGCTTGGGGCAAGTGCCGTTTCAGCAACCTTCGCCCGAGACGATTCGTAACTTCGTAATGACGGCAATCCTGATCTGCCATGCTGCTGCTCCTCATACATTGTTGTGGCCTCCACCAAGTAAGGGGCTAAACCGCAGACATGCTTAGATTTCTTATCATGGTCCAAATAAGGAAATCCATCACCTGAAAGAGCCGCCGCGAACACTCTACCTAAGATGATCCGTATCAAGGCTAAAATTTCTCCGTTACCTCGCTGATAAAAGCAAAATGGCCCTTCTCTCACATGCGAAACAACAAAGGTCGCCTTTGGGTCGGATGCATGAGGAGGATCAGGATCAGGAGGGCAAAGCATTCTCCGTCCGGCCATGGAGGGGCAAAAAAACAAAGGAAAAGCTTCTTCCTTCTCCAACTAGGCTTCTGGCATGCCTTGACAGTGTGCCAAAGAGACGTCAGGAATAAAGCCATATTTTTAGATGAGAGTGGCTTCCAGGCTGTTACGTGCGCGGCGCCGATTCGGACGATCTTTGCAGAATAAGATTGGGCGTCTGTGTTTGAAACACGACCGAAGTGGCACTGTGGAACCCCTTTGCACGGTGAGATAGGTGGAAATTGAGCGTGGTGCTAGTAACAACGGCCAGCCTAATTTGGGGCTTCGGCGAGAGCAGGAGGTCGCAAAAAAGAAAAGAAAAAAAACACCCAACGGGTTCCAACGGGCTTTTCTGGCACTCTTCGGCCGATACCCCCCCACCCCCCTGTAGAAGGGTCGGTGATTTTACGGCAAAGAGATGACTTAGCTGGGCTATTCGCATGCATTCTTCGCCGGCCTTGTGCAAGACCACGTCTGGGAAAATGAGCATCTCCTGAAAAAACGTAGTCATTTCCTGGCCTTCGGATACCTATTCCGAGACGTAGCCGTGTGGCTGCTAGAGGGTTTTCAAGAGCCACCCTCCGGCCACACTACACTGATTGTTTACAGATAGTGGCTGCCCACCCTCTACTTGCGCTTGTGGCGAAGGCAAATGATATATGAGCGAGCCAATTCCCAAGCCAATAGAAGACTTGCTATACATGACCACGACGACGACGACGAGCAGCAGCTTCTAAGAAGGATCGTCCCCCCTCCCACATCATCATCATCGATCCTTCCTTCTTTCTCTACTCTCTCTCTCTCTCTTCTCTTCCTTTCTCTCTTCGTTCCACTTCCTATACCTCAAAGCTCCCTGCCCTTGTCAACAAGCATCGTCCCACCCCCGCCGTCCTCCCAGACAAGAAGAAGACCTACATCCATCCTCCCCCGAACGGCTCACCTCGCTACCCTTGCTCGCGGATCTCGGCGTAACATCCCGTCGACAATCTCCACCCGCCCTACCCAGCCATACGGGCTCGCGCAGCTATCGTAGCAAGCAACGACCTACAACCCTCAGCACCGGTACCGAGACCCAGGCGCAGAGGTCCAGTCCAACCCAGTCCAGTCCAACCCAGTCCAGTCCAACCCAGCCAAGTCTCGACCCCATCAGGGCCTTCTCTTCCCATCCAAGCAAGCAAGCGGCACACCACCAGGACACCAGGACAACAACACCATCACCAACAACAACACCAACCCGGTCGGTCACCTTACCCCGGCCCCGGACACCGGACACCGGACCCGCGGCCCAAGGCCCAAGCCAGCCAACCAACCCAACCCACCAACAACAAGCACACAACACGCACAATGTGTCACTGGCACATCTACAAATACGACTGCCCGCACCACTTCCGCAAACCCATCGACCAGTGCCCCAAAGCCAAGAAGACGGGCACAGTGTGCGCGCTGCCGCGCTGCCAACGCGTCCCCGAAATGGACCTCTGCATCCCGTGCCCCTACTGCGGCGGCGCCGAGCTCATCGACCCCCGGGAAATGGTGCCGCATAACTTTGGCTGGCGCCTGCGCCAGCGCACTGGGAGCAGTAGTGCCGAGAGCTCGTCGTCGTAGGGGCGCTTCTTCTTCTTCTTCTTCTTCTTCTTCTTCTTCTTCTTCTTCTTCTTCTTCTTCGCGGGCTTGTGTTAAGCGCGCTTTTATGCCTCCTCTTTTTCCTCCTGCGCCTCCTCCAGTCGGATGGACGGACGGACGGACGGACGGACGCACAACTTCGTCACTTCTTCACTTCTTCACCACCACACCACCACCATTACCAGCATCTTGCACTTCTCTTCTCATATACCCCACACCTTAGGGCAGGCAGGCAGCATGCGCAGCGTTTTCTTCTCCACTATATCCACTAGGGCAAGGCCTGGCAAGGCAAACGGCAGGGCAAGGCAGCATCCATCCAGCATCCGGCATCAAAGCATACCAAGCATGCAATTAGCATCAGGCGGCGCAAAAACCCCCGGTCTCATTTCCCCCCATCGTCTCGTTTCATACCATCTCTTCCTTCGTCTTTCTGCGTCTTGCGTTTTGCGTTTGCGTTTTGCGTTTTTGCGTCTGCGACTTCTTCACCACTTCTTCAAATACCCCCTAGGGACGGACGGCTATTGTAGTAGGCTACTACACGACGACCAACCACCCACGGACGCGCCACGGCAGCCAGCTTTATCTTCTTCTTCAGCACCAACACTTTTCGTCTTCGTCTTCTTCTTCTTCTGCATTGCCTTTACTTTACCCTTCATCTTAGCTTTCCACCACTTCACCACCACCCAATTTCCGTCGTTTCAGCGTTTTTATCCGTCTTTTACCTTATTCATCCACGGCTTCATCAATCTCCACCTTCTACATATATATCCCCTAGGGCACCACATCGGTTCGGTACGGTTCGGTACGGATTATCTTGGTTTTGGGTTCAGGGTGCGCCAAAGCGAGCGAGCAAGCGAGCGTTCTGTCTATCATATATCCTGTCATCTGTCATCTTTGTGTTTTTTTTTTTTTTTTGCTTTGCTAGCATATGTATGAAATGAGCAAGCAGCGAGCGGTCCATGCGTGGAGCGAGAGCTTCCGTCATCGTCATCGTCGTCGTCACCAACGAAAGAGTTTTGCCTCTCTCTCTATATATATATCGCCGTGTCTGTTTGCCTAGGTTACTTATAGTTCATGTTCTGTGACTGCTTCAGCTCTCTTATTACCTAACAACAACTACTTCGTTCAGGATATCGAGCACCGTTCTACATACCGCGCTGCAGGCATTACCACTACCACCGCTCCTTCAACTACTTTTCCCCGTCAATCAATACGCCCACCATCTCCCTCTGTCGAACGCCCCGCACACGAGGGCAACTCATCTCGCTGACCAGCAAAAAGCAAGCACCATCATAATCGCGTTCTCCATAAATCATACCGCACCGCAGCACCCCCCACACCCCGACCCACTCACCTCTTCTCATCATGCGAGAATCTCGGCGCATCCTCCGGCACCGGCGGCGGCACGTAATCCCTTCTGGGGCCATCAACCGGCGGTATGTCAACTGCGACCGCGTCCTCGTAGCTCGGCGGCGCATCCTCATAACCATGCGCCGCCTGCGGTGGGAGATACGAGCCCTGCGGCATGGGCTGCGCGTGCGGAAACGGGTTAGTGCCGCCCTCAAGCGGCGTCGTGGGGGCAGACGGCCCGGCGTGCCCAAAGTCCGTCGCCAGCGGTGATGGGGCCGCGCTGCCAGGCACGGGCTTGCGGCGCGGAAACGCGCCCGTGGCCATTTTCTGTAGAAGCTCTGGCGGGGGCGCAATTCCCGAAAAGACCTTGACGGGGAGGCGAAGCGGGAGGATGATGAGCTGGTCCTGGCCCTGCTTGTACGAGGCGTAGCCGAGGCCGACGCGCACCTCGAGCTCGTAGTAGCGCGATAAGTTGCACGTGTCGAAGCTGGGCGCCACGCTGTTGGGCAGCGGCCGGTCCGACCAGTATTCCCGGTTGATGGGAGTCTCTGTGCCGGGGACGTCGGACGGCGCGCCGACTGGGATGTTCATATTGCTCATGCTGGCCAGGAGCCAGCTGCTGGACTCGGTGCGGGAGACCTGGTGCGCGCGCACTGCCGTGTATCCAACCAACTCGATCTGGAGCATTTGGAGGTAGAGAGGCTCGGTGCGCTCGTTGAGCTGCTTTACGATGAGACGTAGTGGGACGTCGTCATTCAGAGTGAGAATGGCGGGGTTGGGCAAGCGGGCGTCGATGCTGAAACGGGGCGGTTCTACGCGCGCCGAGTCATCCATGCTTTGCGGCCTGTCCTTTCCAAGCTTTCCGAAGAAACTGGTTCGTCTTTCCGAAGGAGGAACCCAATGGGGATTGAATTGGTGCTGGCGCCGCGCGTATGCTTCGCCATCTGCTTTCGGGGGCCTGGGTGGCTCGATGGGGAGGAAGTTGAAATGGGAGAACTGCATAGCGGTTAGCCCGTGTCACAATCCTGTGCCTGAAGTTGACACGACGTACAGCTCTCGGGTTCTCCTTCAACAGCGACGGTCGGTTGACGGTACATTTCACGTAGTATCGTACTTCAGCTTCTCCCGGAAAGCCGGTCAGGGAGGGAGGGAGTGTTTGTTTAACGTGTCTCGTCGGCGGAGTAGCGACGTCAAGCGGGAAGCCGGCGAAGCCGAGGTTGGATGTGAAAGGTATGTTCGAGGCCCTGCTCTTGTTCGCGTGGCACGCATTGTTGAACGGAAGCTATCGGGTAGGTGTGTGAGCAAGCGAGCGCGTGAGTAGGGCGGAAATGGGTGCTCACCTTGAATTGGAAGGGGTATTCGTAGTTTCCAGGATTGAGGGTGTAGTTGTGCGACTGCCAATCTGCGTCCTGCAGCTGGGAAGGAGGGAAGACGACGAGGGTTTTGTAGAGGATCTGGGGGCCAAGTGTCAGCCAGGGCAGTCAGGAAGTAGGCAGAGCAGTGGTATGCTGACCTTGTGTAGTTCGAGCACTGGCTTAGGTCTGCTGTTGCCGTACTCGGGCTTAGCCGGCGCGACGAGCCTGGTCCTGCTCTCGCCCTCGAGCTTGACGGTGATGGATGAAACGGTGGTGTTGCTGGCGAGCTGCAGCAGGACGCGGCCGGTGATGGTGTCGAGGTTGGTGTAGTGCGAGCCAGGCGGCTGGTTGAGAACGACCTGCAGTTGCATGGCTGGCGGGCGGCCTGGCGGATGGTGTTTGGTGGGGAGACGCGCTCGCGCACCGGCCGATGACGTTGATCAAGCGGCGACTCTTCTGGACGGCGGGGGAGCGTTCCTCCTTCGCAGTCACGGCACCTTGTATTGTACGTGTAATCTGGTGCGCGCTGCCGTGGGTGCCCTGCGCCTTGACATGGTGGAGCAGCACAGCCGGCTGTGCCGATGATGAGATTCTTGGGCTCTTGGCTGAGGGGGCCATCGGGCACCCCTCTTCAACCCCCCACCACATTACAACAACCCTTGGACCAAGCAGCTAGCTACAGTAGCTACATGGCTGCCTGGAACTACGAGAGTTTTTCTTGTTTTGGTGGACACCAAACGATCAACTCGGCATTGATAACCCGTCGCTGGTACCTACATACAGAGCAATCTACCCGGTGCTGTGGCGGGAGATCACGGAAGGCTTTGTACGTATATAGTAGGTCGTATAGAAATGAGACAGTGTTTCGGCGACATTTTCTTTCTTTCAATATTCTCGATTTGGTATGCGGGTCTGGGAAAGATTCGTACATACGTACATATGTATGTACAGCTGACACTTGTGTATTGTCACCCCACAACCCCCAGCATGCCGGTACCTCCACATCTCCCGATCAGACCCCGTCCCTGCCGCACGCCACGCGGCCCGGCAGAGCATCGAGCATATCCCTCGAAAGCTGCTCCTGCCTTGTTCGATTTTAATTATGCGCGTCGTGCTGTTACGCAAACAGAGAATCGGGGTCTGGTTGTGTATGTGGGCCTGCTACCGCTTAACTAAGAAATCCTACAGAGGCTTGGGCTGCGCACTTGAAAGTCTATGCATGTACACTGCAACTTCACGCCATCGCCTCCTGTTATTGTCCAGACAAACTCGGCGCCAGCACGAGAAAAACCACAGCAGCGAGATAGCACCACTCATAAAAGCTTCTATGAACCCACTCTGTGACGAGAAGCCACTGCGTGCGTACAGTAAGTACAACAACCAACCCAGCCCCAGCCCAAACACCCCTCAGCGCAGCACTACCCCTCCTCCCAACTCCCAACCCCAAGCCCTCTCCAGCGCCCAAACCACAAACCACGAACCACAGCACACGTATCCCGCCCCCTCGTCATCCCATCCAGCACACACACTCACCCTCACTCCCTCACACCCTCACACACATCTCCCCACCTCCTCCACCAGCACCAGCACCAGCACCAGCACCAGCACCACGACCCCCCTCCCCCTCCCCTCCCCGCCACATGTACGCCTAGTGCCACAGTGGCGACCTGCAGCACACCCGCACCACTAATGGCGTCACACACACACATCGACCATGTGATTCGCTCTCGAGCGGACAGCCCCGCCCTGCCGCGGGCCTGCCGCGTGGTCGTGGACAACAGCTAGGTACATAAACGGCTCTGGCCCTTCGGCCGGCCGGCCTGCTGCTGGCTGGCTGGCAAGCTGGCTGGCGGGGTGAGGGGCACGAGCACGAGGCCTGCCTTGCTTTAAGGACTCACTCACTCAATCTGCTTTATTTGTTATCGACACTGCCGTCTCCTCCTCCCTCTTCTTCTTCTTCGTCTTGCTCCATATCCACCTGCTTCCATACATACAACTACAACCACCACGCACAACCACCAACCCACCTCAAGCCACACACCACACTACACACACAACACCCTCCCCACCACCAGCCCCACCACCCCAACCAACAAACAACAAACCACAACACCAAATGTGCGATTTCGAGCTCCGGCGCTACAGCGCCTGCGCCTGCGAATACCACGTCTTCGTGCAGTACTGCGCGCGAGCAGCGCTGCTGCCCTGCGGCGCCTTCCACATTGTGCGGCGGCGGCTCGTGCGCGCGCGGTGCGGCGAGTGCGGGGGTGAGGAGTGGTGAGACGTGAGGCGTGAGGAGTGAGGAGTGAGGAGTGAGGCGTGAGGCGTGAGGCGTGAGGCGTGAGTGCGTTTGCCTCGTGCGCCGAAGGGTGGGTTTGCTTGGCCCGCCCACAGAGGGGTGGTTGGATATGATGGACTGGGTGAGGTGGCTTTGAGTTGGGCTCTGGCTTGGGCTTGGGCTTGGGCGCGCGGAGGGAGAGGTGCTGCTGTGTTGGGTTGTGTTTGGTGGGGAAGAGAAGGAAAGAGTCAGGCTTGGGATGAGGGGCATGTGTGTGGTTGAAGGATGTGTGAGGAACCAGGGCGGTATGGGTGCGCTGTTGCGTTGGAGAGAAGATGCTGCGCAAGGCCTGGATGGATGCATTTGCGGCAGCGGCACTGTTGAACGAACCGAAGACAGTGCGCTTGATTGCTTCGAGTCGATGCCGTCAGTCGCTCAGTCACTCAGTCACTCAGTCAAACACAACCAAGTCGGAGGGACTATCCTGTGTGTTGACGCAAACAACGGAAGGTAAAGGGAGAGGAGAGAGGAGAGAGCGCTCTATTGTCATCTGAGACAGTCTTTCTTTATGAAGTGAAGGGATTTCTCTAGTCTAATGTCACAATCTGCTGAGTAGAGGGGTTGGTGTTGTCTGTGCTGGCCATGACCTCGCACTGTACGAAGCGCCTGGGATCTAGCTACATAGCATCTAGAGCCCCTCTTTCGCCAGCATGTCTGTCACACAGTGTCAATCATGTTGGCCAACGCAAGCAGGATGTAGGTCTGGTCTTATGCAAGAGAAAGGCAACTCACCTGCTATATCCAAGTACAAGGCTATGCCGTTGAATCTATCACGGCATTCGTCAGTATCTCCATCTTTGGGAGTTAAAGGTGATAGTGAAAAGGAGATACTTACTTCGGTTTGTTGCCAATGATCCTGAATAGCAGCCATTTTATCCTACTGGTCCAGTTGATCAGGTCGAGATGGCTCACACCCATTAGCGTGCCTTTGTACGTGCCCCACTTGCTGCTAGGGACGCTACCAAGGTCGTCGTGTCAGTGTACACAGCATTTCGCAGTGAGAGAGAGTGCGCGTACCTAACAAGCCCGTCGTTCTGCTCTTCTTCAAGTACCTTGATAATGTCGTGCGAGGGCCGGAATACGGACCAGTACGTTGGCTCAAGCGACGCGCCATATGAGTAGTACCTGCATCATGCGTCAGTGCTACCTGTTCACTTCCGCGAGCTCGTGCCTCAAGAAGAGAGGAACAAGTAGACTGGTAGGAGATAATCAGTCATTGCGCACCTCACGCCTTCCCTGTCTGGCGTCTTGGGATTAAACTCCTCCTGCATATACTTCCTCGTCAGCTGGGAGAACGCTCCCGTCTCAAAGCCAAAGAATTCAAGTGCACGGTATGCCCTAGGGAGGTTGTTTGCTATGCCAGTGCGTCAGTGTTGCTTCAGCTGCATAGCTGTTATCTCCGAGAACAGCAGCAATGGGAATCAGCTTACGCCCAATTTGGTCCATCATAAAGTCCGCAAACGCAGAGCCCCGGTGCGGCGACGCGATCGTCGTCAGCGACTTGACGTCGACATTCTTCGGCTTCAGTTGGCTAATCATGTATCGCGCATCGAGGCCACTGCAGATGGCATCAATGCCCAAGTCAGCCGCATGCTCATCAGAAACATCTCAGCGCTAGATAGTAACGCGTACCCCTATTCCCTGGTAAGCCATTCGTTCGAAGCAAACACTGCCACCCGCGGACATTCAGCATACCATGCTATGTCTGCACCGCCGTCAGCTCGCATCTCCAAGCAAACGGTACAGCCCCAACTCACGCAATGATGTTGACGCTCTTCCCATTCGCCTTCTCGGCGATTGTCTCGCCGAGCTTGAGCCCGCGCGCCTCGACGGACCCCGATGCAGACACTGACGCTACGATGACTTCGATGCCCTTGGCCTCGTATGCTTCGCGGATCCCGCGCCAGTACTGTATTCCTGGCAGCCTCGAGCCTCCGAGGCGCAGCTCATCAAAGCCTAGCAGGCCGTGGGCGAGGATGATGGGGTGTTTCTGTGCTGGTTCAGTCTGCGCGTGCGGTTATGGTATTGAGACTGCGGTGTGATCGCGCACGCACCGGTGTTTCTATAGACTGTTAGCATGCTACCATCATTGTGGTTTAAGATGGCATTGGCCCACCATATTCCTCGCGGAGCACTGCGTATTCGTCTCTAATTTCCCTCCCCAGATCGCTTAGACGAGGGTCCTGTTTCCTGCTTGCTGAGCTGCTCAGCGCGCGGCATAGCGCATTAGCCTGTTTGGTGGCTATGCCGAATTGGCGGCATCGTGTACTTGAGAGCAACATCATTGTTTGATTCGAGCGGGAATGGCTGATTCGATGTTCTTGAGCTGCGCCAGTTTTATGCTTGTCGCTCACATGCTGCGGGTTGGTGTTCCTGACGTATGACGTAAGGCTCGCTGCCACGCATCAACAACCCTGCCCGCCCAGTCATTGAGCTAGATCAACACCAAACATTGAGACGTTAAACTAACTAGTCGTGTTTTTGGTTAACATTTAACGGAATTGTAGTCGTGCCTAATGGTAATTATCTTTCTTGAGATCAAATGTACTCTAACCATGAGAATTATTATAATAAGCATCCCTTCGGGAGTGCCTAATAGCTTAGTAATATTACTTTTAATAGTAGTTTTATTGCTTCCTGATTGTTAGTACGGAAGATTAGTATAAGAGGGATAAAGTAACAGATATGCCAAATAGCTATAAACTGAAAACGTGGGCTATAAGAATAATCCTGGTTGGAGATATTCTATACTCCACCGATTTAGCCTTGACTCCAGCGACTAACCTAAGGACTAAGCTGCTAGATAGGCTATATACCTCTGAATTTTTCCTTGAATAAAATTACGGGATACGAGCAAAATAGGACCCTTAAATTGCTGCTACCTCTTTATATAGGCAATAAATTAGCCGAATGGTAGCTGCAAATGCATGCATACAGGGCAACGTATAGGTCTTCGCTAACTGACCGGTTATATTTTGCTGCCTAACGTCCATCACCGTTAACCAAGATTTACCGTGACACGAGATAGTAATACCTATATAGAGTAGAAGAAGAGACCTAACCAAGATATGTAGAGTCTATATATACTCTAAGACCTTTTATCCATGCTTAGAACTCGGGCTAGGAGCTGGGCAAGAAGTGACTGCTTGTATCGTCCCCTGTCTCGCTATACGGTGGATCTCGATTCGCGATGACGGACGTTAGAGGTGGCCGAGAAGAAACAAGAGCAGAAATACAAAGTTGGCTTGGTGGAAAGGCAAAACCGTACAATATGACTGCTCAGTGAAATGACGTGGCAAGGCAGAACGCAGCTCTGCGACTGTCGATCTTTGCCAATACTCGCGTATACATCCCCGCACGGCTACCTCTAGGCAACCGCTCGTAGCGGCCCGGGAGACAAGGCTGAAACTGCACAAACACAGCCCTATTCCGTCAATGCTATGATAAAGTGCAGTGTCCCGCAGCAGCTCTGCTCATCCTGCAAGTGCAGCATTTCGTACTCTAATAATGAATCCCTTCTCCGGATTGTCCGAAAAAGGCAAGCCGAGTCCCATACATGACTACTGTATGGGAGCTCGAAAGAACAATCAAGAGACGTGCGTTTGGATTTGCAGAAGGTATCAGAATGGCTGGGTCGCGCAAGACTTCGAGGTCAGCCCAGAACTGCGGATTAACCAGCTTTATCACCTCTATTCCTGGTGGAAGCAATGGTCGCTCTACTCAATCAAGAGTGTCAGAGAAGTCGAAGTAGGTCGTCATAGTCTCTTCCTTGGGATATTTTGCCATTAATCTGTCTCCTAGATACACTTTCTCGGCTTCGACCATCGGTGCAACTGGGCAAATGTCGTAGTCTTGTCTTGTGACCTGGAGGCAAAACGGCAATGTCTGCAGAAACATCTAGATGAGGAGACAGCGAACGGCATCAAGTTGGGCTGTGGCATTTACGAAAATGGAGAATTTTCTCATACAGAGGACGAATATGATAGGTGCGATAACAGCGCCCTTGATTTCCATCTGTGGTCATATTGCCGGTCACGAGTGTGCCATAGACTTCACCTACGCCTGGATCATTACCGATGGCTGCAACCCATGGTTGAATACTTCTGGCAAAACGAGATGGGCACAAAAGGCATTGAGTTTCTCGGGCAAGCCGGGTTTATAACGTCCTATACGTAAGTCAAGAACCTTAATTGATATCGAGAAACGCTATCCTCTGGGAATCATACTGAACTTTATGGAAGGGGTCTAGCCTACGATAGCTTCTACGACGCTGCCAATCCTTACGGCAAAGTTGTCAATGCTTTTGCGATCATCGAAGGCTGGCAGACTCGCTATCTGTTACTGCTGGTTGGGCTTGGTGTTCTCGTCAGTTCTCTTGTGGTTTCAATCGCAACTGTCGCAAGTGGTAGTCTAGAAGCAGGTCTAGCTGCCGGAAGCTATGCGTTAGGAATGGCCACGTTTGTTGTGGCCGTCATAACTCTACTTAGTGCTATTTTATAAGCGCGTATATCGAATATCTGATTTCCTAAAGCTCCCAATTTGTATGTAGTTATCATAATTTTAACAGACTAGGTGGTTATTCATGACTTACCCTTGCCGAGCTGAGTTGAGATAAATTGTACTTATTAGCCCCAACCCAAACCTACACACCCAAATCTCAGGCTCAGTTCCAGCTCTTTCGTATCGAGAGCTCAGCGGTATTCGCAGCAGTTTGCGACAATCACAAGCATGTTCCGCCTTCGCGAAATCACTCCCTGCGATAGATCCTGGGGAAGAACTGGCGCCATCAGTTAAGATATGTACCCATCACGGCTCGATAAAGACCGTAGGCCATGTTGAAGCAATAGTGGGTATAAAGTGTAAAGAGGTATATTTTTGTCGTTTGATGGAGTTGGTCGCTCGCTGCTAGCCAGCAGAGCACGAGCCACGGAAGCTCACCCCGAAGGCGGTGAAGCGGCGGCAGCGGCTGATGACCATTCCCGACGCATGGAAGCAAGCACATTATTCCATCCTCCAACAACGACCCTCTCCAATCCCACACGCAGGCACCATGTCCACAGCCGCGAAACTGACCCTCGCGGGCACAACCGCCAGCGCAATTGGCATCGTCGTGCTCGTGCACTTCCAGCAGCAAGCCGAGAAAGCCGTACGTAGCCGCCCACACACCCACTACACCTACACACAGCACACACACACACGCACCACACCAGCCCCATTGGTTCCGCCCCCAGAGCAGAGCAGAGCAGAGCAAGGCAGTTAGTTAACTATTACATGTGCAACACAGGCCATGCACGCCGGCGTCGTCCGCGACGTCGAGCAGCAGCGGCTCAAGCGCGAGCGCCAAGCCGACTTTGACATGCAGCGGCGCCTAGAAGAAGAGTACCGCAAGGTGCAGAGCGTGACGGACGGAGCAGGCAAAACGGCACAATAAACCACACAGTGAGCGGCGCGGTCAGCGGCTGCGTGGATCAATCAATCACGAGCGCTTGCGCCTGCGCTGGTTGCCCCATTACGAGGATACTTCTGCGCTTGCTATGCCGTGTGGCGCGCTTCTCCGCCCGCAAAGCCGCGCTGGGAGCGCTTCCTTGGGACACTGGACACTGCTGTGGAGCGAGGCATCGCGCGTGCTGGGACTGGAGTTGGGCCGAGGTGGGCTCTGGGCTGAGCGCGGACGCGACTGCCTGGCCTGCGGCGGCATCGGCGCCGGAAAACGATGTCCTCGTGGAAAGAACACAGGTACCTACCTAATGGTCTGGCATGCCGCCAGGACGTCTGGAAAACACCTCTCACCAGCAAGCACATGGCGCGCTCCTTCGCCGCGGCCAAGGGCACAAAAAGAGAAGACGTGTAAGAAGTCGAGAGATGCCATTGTACTACCACCAACAACATGTAAGATAGATTAATACGATAGTTCCGACCTCTTTCCGCAACGGAGTCACGCCCCCGTAGATGCCGTCCTCGTTGGGTGTTTCTGCTTAATACAAAATCTACCTAGTCGTTCAGTTTTCCGCACACTATCTTATGGAACCTAGCATCTACAGTATTGTAGACCCGATTTTACCTGCACAGGCGCTGTCTACCTATACATATCTTCGCAGCTCGCTAAATCAGCTTCATCCATCCCATTACATCTCCAACATCTCTCACAACCGTCAAAGCCATATTGCGATTTAGCCGCGCAAGGAGGAGGCCGCTAACGCATCATCAGCCAACCACTCCATCTGCACAGCCTAGATATCCATCTCGTCGCCGCCGCCAAGCTCAGCAATCTTCCGCTTCCCCGTCGAGGAAGAGCTTTCGGAGGAGCCGCCATCCTCGCCTTCGCCGGCGCCCCACTCCACAACCTCCCATTCCTCGCGCACGCTCCCGTCCTTGGACCTGTATCCGCCACGGCTGTGCTTGATGCGCCCGAGCCGGCTGTCCTCGACCAAGCTCTCGAACCACGGCGCCCCGCGGGTGGGCGTAACCTGCAGCGGCGCAAACAAGGCCCTGTCGAAGCGGGTCGGCGCAGCACCAGCACCAGCACCAGCACCAGCAGCAGTAGACGCCCGCTCGTCGGCGGCGCTCTCGCTCTCGCTCCCACCCTCGCCCTCGTTGTCCTCGCCAAAGAGCCCCAGCTCCTCGAGCCCGCGCACGTCGTCCTCGCGCAGACTGCCCAGCGTCAGGCTGATGAAGTCGGCGTCCTGGGGCGTGCGCTCATGCCACGAACTCAGCGGGGTGCCGCAATAGCCGCAGAACTGGCGGCGCAAGGCAGCGGCGCGGTGGTGGTGCTGCTGCTGCGAGGGTGTCGTCGACGATGCGGCAGTGGTAGACGTCTCGGGCGCTGGTTCTGGTTCTGGTTCGTGGAAGGTGCGCCGGATCAGCGACAGCGGCTCGTCCGGAAAAAAGGGCGACGCGCTGCTGTGGTACCAGCTTAGTGGCACGCGCAGGAAGGCCGTGAAGGGCGTGCCTTGGTGGTGGCCTGCGCGCGTGCGTGAGTGGCCTGTGCCTGGGGGAGAAGGGGGGCTGCCCACGTACGGTTGCTGCGGCTGTTGTCGAGGAGGATGCGGGCGCGTTGGTCCGACGTCCGCGGCACTTCGACGGTGTAGTGGTTGCGGCCGCAGGCGCAGCCGCCGTGGAGAGTGCGTTCCATTGTTTTTTTGGGGGGTTGTTTCGAGCTGGTTCTGGGTCGGTTTGATGGTATGGTGCGGAGGTTTGGTTTTTTTGGGGTATTCGTGGTTCCTGTGGAAGGGAGGAGGGCGGAGAGCGGTGGACTGCGCAGTAGGTGGGTGGGTGGATAGTAATGGATAGGTAGGTAGGAGTAGGTAAGGTGATGTTTTTGGGCCGGAGGGTCGCAGGGCTGCCCGTGGCTGCGTCATTTGAGGGAGCTTGAGCACGGACGCTTTGGCGGGGACGCGGGCGCGACGTGTGGTGGGCTGAGGAAGCCCGAGGAATCCGCTCCAACCTTCTATCCACTTCACAGGCCGCTCGACGTCAACTCACTCACTCTGTCATCATCGTTGGGTGGGGATCGGCTTGTTGTTGCCGCCATTAAATCATTGCGAATGCGCTTTTCTTCTTTTCTGCTATTGTATCTTTCTCCCCCCGCCCTCCATCTTGTACTGTACTGTACTGTACCCACTCTATTGACAGCCAATCACGTTCTTGATGTCGTATGGACCAAGCCCACCGAAGGATATACGAGCAGCATACATCGATCGTACTGTCGGCAACGAACACAATCAACACCATCCCCGCAGCGTCCAGATCGGCACAACTACTAAACCCGGAGTGGGTCAGAACTGGCCTTGCGGAACCCAAGAGGGCTTCATCAAGTATGGATATCGGCCGATGGGGAAGCCATACATCATCACTGTCAATGGAGTTATCGCTTGTTATAGATAACTACATGCACTAATACGCAGTCACAGAGGAGTAGGTAGGCAGACAGCACAGCAAAACGACGCAAGCCTCCACTACTAAGAGATCATAAACATGCACATCTAGATGGGAAGATGAGCGCCACCATCACTCAACTATCCACGTACAATTTGAACGTACTTCTACAGTTCTCCCGCCTCTCCGCAAATGAATTGAAATCCCGCCCGCTTTACATAGCTCGTTTAGTTGGTCAAGAGTAGCTTGTGCCTATCCCCCCGGTTGTGGTGCGTGTGAAACTGCTTACTAGAGTTAAGAGTTTAAGTTTAAGTAGCTGCTTTAAGGACGAATTGTCTATGGGGCCGATTCGTCTTGTCCTCTTTTTTTTTATTTTTTATTTTTTATTTTTTTTATTGTACTTAATTTCCAACAACAAGAATATATATATTGCTAAACTGAGAACATGATGGATGCATGTAGGTATATGTATTTGATCAGTGAATAGAAGAACAGATGATATAGAGGAAGGCAGAAGAAATAGATCATCTGGGCGCTATAACCTCCTCTTCTTCACAAGAGTGAAACCGTCACTTTGAAAGACGTACTTCCTCACAGAGCAGGTACACAGCAATCAGGAAACAATACTTTTCCATTCTCATCACATCAATTGCCTCGTGCTGCACTCAGCTGGATATCTCTACTCATAACCCCACCCACCCTATCCAGTGTCCGTAGCAATCAATCAATCAATCTCATAGCATCGTCGTCATCGTCACCGATCACCACTCCACATCCGCCAACGCCTCAACTCATAGCAGCAGCAAACATCAACTGAGCCAGAAGCCCGAAGCCACCAGCTTAGTATCCGCCGCCGTATCCACCACCGCCGTATCCGCCACCATAGCCACCACCCTCGCCGTGGTGCCTTCTGGGCCTCTCGTACTCCTCGTCGTCGCCAAAGCCGCCGGGCATGCGCCTCTCGCCGCCGCCATACTCCTCGCGCCTCTCGCCGCCACCATAGCCACCGCCATACTCCTCACGTCTCTCACCGCCGTAGCCGCCACCGTAGCCGCTATCGCCTCCGCCACCAGTGTAGCCCAGGCCGGAGCCGTACTCGCGACGCTCGCCGCCACCATAGCCACCGCCACCGGAGCCATACTCCTCACGACGCTCGCCGCCATAGGACCTGCGTAGATAATGTTAGTTGCTGCTCTCTACAATTGCTTTCTCAAAGGAAAAATAAGTTCAGGGTGCTTACCTAGACTCCGACGACTCGTAGGACTGGTAGGAGGACTCGTAGCGAGACTCTCCGTAGTTTCCACCGCCACTGGACTCTTGGCGAGAGTACTCCTCCCGATGGCCACGGCCGCCAGGGTACTCGCTGCGGCTGTACTCAGCCTGACCATAGTTGTCGCCCGAGCGGCCCTGCTCGGAGTACGACCGGTTGTAGCTGCCGTCGTCGCCGTAGCCGGAGGACTCCTGCCTCTCGGTGTTGCCGCCAAAGGCACCACCCAGCAGAGAGGAACCAACGTTGTTAACGAAGCCGCCGACAAGGCCACCCAGGGCACCGCCACCGACAGCCTCGCCTGCAAGCTGGCTAACCCTGTCAAAGGGCTCGCCGCCTTGGCTGACACCACCACTCTGCGCGCCTCCACCGCTGGAAGAGCCCATCTTCGGCATGGCGATCGGCTTGCCACAGCCGTGGCCAGAGTCGTGCACACCTTCCCTGTGGTTGAGACCGTTCTCGACACCATCGCGCGAGAGCTTCTCACGAAGGTCGTCCTGCTCGCGCTCGGAGTGGTCCTCCCACCATTTACGGACCACCTCGAACATGAGCTGACGGCCCTTCGAAGCACCGTCATCGCCATACTCACGCTTCGCGGGGTGGTGGAAGACGCCCGCGATGATGCGCTGAATGGTACGGTCGGCGTCGATGTCTTCGTTGTCCCAGCATTCAACGATCTGAGGGACAACCCACTTCAGAACCTGGCTAGCAACCTTGCCAGCGGGCTCGTTGAGAATGTTGCTGAAGTGGTCCTTGGACAGCATAGAGTGGGTGGGGTTAGAGGAGTGGTCATCGTTGAAGACAACGTGCTGCTGGTCCACGGACGACTGGATGACCTCGGAGGAGCCAGTCTTGAGCTCGGCCGAAACCTGCTGGATGACGGGCAGGATGAATGGCGCAATAAGAGAGAAGACGAAGATGTTCAGGTTGTCCTGGAACTCCTCGATCATATCGGGAATGACAGGAAGCTTGTCGATGTAGATGCTGATGCTCTTCATGATGCCGTCGTGGAACTCAAGGATGGGCATGATCTGGCTGCTGAGCTGCTCCATCTGGACGACGAAAGCTTCAGGGTCCTTAGGGTTGATGTCCATGTTCTCCATCTGTGCAGCGGTAGCGTTCTGCTCGAGCTCGTCGGCCTTGCCCGACTCGCCGCCACCGAGGATACCGGAAGGAAGCTTGTCCAGCAGTTCCTTGATCTTGCTCGAAGCCTCACGGTTCTTCTGAGCGTCGCTGATGGCACCCTCAAGCTCCGACACCTCAGACTGAGCAGCCTTGTCGGTGAATTCACCCATGACCGAGTGGAGGAAGTCAACACCACCGAAAGTACCAGTGATGAGGGGGTAAACGGGGTGCTCGACGCCCTCGATTTCCTGCTTGGTGCGGCGGCCGACATGAGGGAAGACATCACGTTCGCCCAGCTCGATAAGAGCCAGCTCGGTGAAGTTAGAATGCGCGGGGAAATCTGAGAGCCAGTCAATAACCGCGGCAAAGAACATCAGGCTAATAGACCATACCTTCCAAGCAGTGGCAGCCAGTACCCAAGAGTCTCAAAGCTTCGTATCTGTCCTTCTTGTCGCCAGACCGGTTGTAGCGACGGTAGAGCTCAATCGAACGACCGAAAAGGCGGCGAACAAGACCAGCCGAAGTCTCGATGCCAGCGCGCTCGTTGGCAATGTAGTTCTTCATACCAGTACGCTCGTCGACGGCAAGTTCGACTTCTTCGTCGACAGGTCCGCGGAGCCTCTCATCATATTCACGAGCATCTAGGTTGTCGGCGTAGTCCTTGGGGTTATCGATGTGCTCTTCGGGGCTGTATCAATCCGTCAACGCCTGCATCGCTGTGAATCGCCAGGTGATACATACCGGTAGCATCCAAGACGCTCCTTGGTAACCTCGAACTCGCCGGTACCGTAACCAAAGGTCATGAAACCGAGGATCCAGAGCAAAAGTCTGACGGCCTCGGCGCTGACCATCTTGAGGGCACCGACCTGAAACGTAATCAGCTACGCGTGATCATCTTGAGTGGGGAGCAAACTTACATCAACAGCCTGGGAGTAGTCACGAAGCCAATTGCCGAAGTAGACGCGCCTGACATCCATCTTCTTGAACTTCTTTCCGCCGTGCAAGCTGGTGCACAGCAGGTTGAGCAGAGTGTCCTCAATATCTCCATGGCGCCAGTTCTGGCCCTCGATGGCGGCGGTGGAGGCAATGTTGCCGGCACCGAAGGCGTGGGTGGGACGAGCCCAGAGGAGCAGCAGGAACAAACATGGCAGCAGGAGAGAGGTGGGAGAGAGCCGAAGAGCCGGCATTGTGACGAGTGGTGTGGTGTGCGATGGGAAGCAAGGAGGCAGGAGTGGTTGTAAAGATGGGGAGGGAATGGATGAAGTCGGGCGAAGGAGGGGCAGAAGATGGTGGGGTTGTTTTTGAATCTTGTCTCAGGCGGCCATGGCTTGACGCAGCGCCAAGGCACACCATCGTCGTCACTTGTCTTGGCAGACTGATCGGTCGGGCCGCTTGACCCTGTACGAGGTTAGGGGTGTAGAAGTGACACTGGGCCTCTGGACCTCTGGACCCTTTCACGCGCGCTCCCTGGGCCCCGCGTTCCCGTTGCGCTAAATCTGACGCGTTTGACAGGGGGGGGTTCCTTCGGGCGCTTCGGCTGACGGCGAACGGCTCCCTCACCGTCGTTGCTAGCCGCCTCATCACTTCCGTTAACCAGGGAACGCGCCGTCCCGATCGGCGCTTTGCTGTGCTTCCCTGGGAAGGACACGATCGTTCGATGCAAGCTCCAGACTCGCCCGGTTTCATGCTACTATAGCTAACCCCACATCTCTAGACGTCCCCACTCCACCACATCAAGCAAGCTGCACCGCGAACGTCACCTTGCCTGTCGACATGTGCGCCAGGTACCCGCCCAATTCCTCGTTGTCGTCGATGGAATAATTCACCTCCTTGAAATCATGCCCCTTCACCACGCCCTCGATGCGCACAACCGTCGCCCCCGCGTGATTCCTCGTCGCCAACGCCCGCAGCTCGTCCATCGTCCCCGACGTCAAAGCACCCAGCCAGAGCCGCGGGTCCGTCTGGATGGCACTGTGTGGATGCAATCGGAAGTACACTGGTATCGGCGTGGGCGACGCATCTGAGTAAGACTGCGGCGCATACGCAGCAAAGTCTTGCACCTGCTGCTGCACTGTTGTTGTAGCAGACGAGGGCATGGTAAATTCAGGCTGACTTGGCATGGGCGCTGGGGTGTTGACCTGGTTCTGGGCTTGTTGCCCGGCAAGGTCACTGGCCGCAAGGAGGAGGGATGGGTCGATCTGTATGTCAGCGCCGCTGCTGGTCTCCGCCGAAGTCGCGGGTGTGCTCATCATCGGCGCGGTAGGTGCATAGCCGGCGGGGATGTGGTTCATTGGGCTAGTAGCGGCACCTTGAGGACGGGGTCCGGTCGCTCCAGGACGTGGAGGGGCCGGTCCTGGACCTGGGCCCGTGTTGGCCTGCTTCTTACGGGACGGATCACGCTTTGTTTGGTCGTCTCTAAGTCGCTTCATGACATCCCGACAAAGCACCTCCAGCGCCTTGAGTCGGTCTTGGTGTTGAGGGTCAGAATCCCCAGGAGCCAGAATACGCTTAATGATATCGCATTCAGCAAACCACTGTTGCTTCAGCTCTTGCCAGTGTTCATCGCCGGTCTCCAATTTGCTGGTGAAATGGTCTGCTTTGAGGATGTTGTAGAACGCAGTCCTGATTGTTCGACTCTCTTCTGGGTTGACGCCGATTACATTTTTCGCTTCTGCAATCGTCATTCGGCGTTCGAGAGTCCGCATGCGCTTCGTGACGTCTGTACAAATAACGTCTAGCGATAATGTCCTTTGATCTGGCTTATCCGAGTGCTCATCCCAGAACACAGTTTGCAGATGCTCGTTTTCTCTGATCAGACGGTCTTTAACCTGCTGCCACTTCTCAGGTCCAGCCAGGGTCTTCTTTATCACACTCTCTTCTTCGCAGATCGTTTGGAACTGGTCCCTCAGCTGGCGGTACATCTCATTGTCTAGTTTGAGGTACGCCTTGCTTTCATCGATTGTGGTTTCGGAAGGGAACCGAGGTGGACCTTCAGGATCTGCGGGCAGACCGGCCCAACCGCGGGTCCGTCGCCTACGTTTCCGAGTCCGCCAGCGTTCTTCGCTTTCTTGCTGCAGCTTGTCTAGGCGCTCTTTCCTTTTGCGTAGAACTTCTGGTGTAGGTTCAGGCGAGGGTTGTCTAGCGCCCATAGAAGTTGGAGCTTCGCCAACAGCCCCATCAGTCACACCAGCGTTCTCTTGCTATAGACGGATTAGTGCTTTTGGCTTCGGAAACTTGATCTTCTCACATACATTAATAGCCTCTTGCAGCTCTTGCATGAGGACGTTCTCCGGGACATTTGCCGAGGGTGGGGGTAACGGTGGTGTAGGCATACCCTTCATGCCATTGGGAACTCTCAACAACCACCTGTTCTTTGCTCGTACCCGCATGAGCTCGCGTTCCTTGATGTCATGCCCTTCATCATTCAGGGTTTGTAACATGTCCCGCTGACTGACGTTCTTTTCCCATAGCTCTTTGACGCGGGCAACGAGAGCCGCGTTTTTGTGCGCGGGATTTTGTTTGCTTGGAAAGTCCCATCGCTACATTTACGCGTCAACTCAGGACTTCCAGCAGTCAAGGGAAAGAGCAGCAGCACCTACCTTGAACTGGGTTTGAAATGCGCGTTTACTGTGAACTATCGTCAGCGCAGTTTCGTGTTATGGGCATCCGTATACGCAATACGGTAGACCACTGGACAGCGCAAAGAATCCACAAACCTTGGCGAGAACCCCCGGATTCTCCAAAAGTCCATTACCTCGTCCAAGGACCTCCTCTCCTCGACGTACAAACGATAGCAATCGGCCTCTTTGCCATCCCAGTCGTATACCATCTTGCACGTATTTGGTGTTTCGCGTCGTGCGCGTTTGTTGCGGAATGCGCTTTTGGTTCGCGAGGACAACACTAAGTTGGGGTTAACTGTCTTGGCGCTTTTGCGGTCACGTGGCATACTCTATATGTTGACTTCCTACTGGCTTTTTGGGAAACAACGGAGATCTTCGTTTCATTTCGAAGTTTCTTAGGACTGAAGTAGCTCGAACAGGATCACATACTTGTGATATTTGCTCTGTCGTATGCGGGGTAATATGTCGCAAGTCACGGGGTAAGGACCTTTTGCCAACGACATCAGGTTTCGTCTAGCCTCAAACAGTGTTGATTTATAATTTATTCGCATTCTGGCATCTTGGACCTGGTCCCTCTCCTGGAGGTTCCAGTTTACAGGCCAACAACAAACGCTCGTTCGTCGGTGCAGTAGTAGGGGACGACGCGAAGGGTGAAAAGTTTCCATACACGAAACTATCGCTGCAAATACAAAAAAGCATTAAATGGATGCAAGCCGAGGGGAAAGATGCCGCTGAACTGCCCTAGACAGGCGTGAAGAGCTGTTTGTAACGAGAAGTTGAACCTGAGTCTTCTTCCCAGCTTTTCGCGAATCATAAACTTTCTACTGGGTCTTGAAAAGCAGAATGGCGCAGTGACCGAGGTAGAAGTAGATGAAGTGCTTTGTCTCTGTATTCTGTTAGCGACTATATAGCTCAACATTCGAATAAACCTACCGTGAGTGACGAAGCTTCCGAAATTTCTGCCGACGATGCAGTGCCAGGTGGCTCCACGCTTGTCATCAAACTAGATATGATCAGTATTAAATCACGTGGAAGGGTAAAGACTGCATGGCACTCACCTCTTTCTTGATGTATTGGGCAATGTCCTTGGGCTGTCTAAATGTCACAAACTCTTTGAGTAATCGGTTGGGACTAAAACTATACCTTTTCTATGTTGAACTTGGTCATCGCCTCGGTGGCTAGATTAAAGTCAGCGGGCAGCCGGAGCTTTTGCTGCGTGGGGACACTTACCAACTTCGATCGCCTGCTCTTGCATGTCGAGAGCCTACACGGAAATCAGGGGGCGCACATAGGAGACGACTAGTCACGGAAACGAACCATGTCTGCGGACTTGATCTGGGCTGTTTGCCATTTTTTTAGCATGAGTGTTAAGAGCTGCTGCCGACAGACACTTACCCTCCAGCCTCTCAGTAGTTTGCGTCTTCTCGGCAGCCATGATGCTTTGTTCCTATTGCGGGCGCTTTTTGCAGTCAAGACACGGGGTGCAGAGTGGAGAACTTTCGCGAGTTGCGGAAGAGAAAAGGGCTGCGAAGGTCCGTCTGTCGGGCTGAATCTGCTTGAAGTATGAAGTGTAAAGCGCAGCAAGCACGGGTGGGTGGCAGTCAGCCGGGGGGGTAGATGATGCTTGGCGGGGTGCGTGCGTGTCCGCCCGCCGGTGGTCCTTCCGCCCACGCTAGCGAAAAAACCCTTGCGTCAAATATTTACATTCGCTCTCGTCCTCTCTCTCTGCGACACGCTCACAACAATCCGCTGTGACGCGCGCGGATTCGGCTCTTCGTAAGATGGCCTCGTCACGAATCTTCATTCGAGGCCTGCCTCCTACCCTCACAGAGGAGGACTTCAAGAAGCATTTTGGCCAGAGGGACACCATTACCGACGCGAAGCTTTTGTCGCATCGCAGAATCGGTTATGTTGGGTACAAGACGCCCGAGGCAGCTGAAAATGCTGTCAAGTATTTCAACAGGACATTCATTCGGATGTCCAGAATAGGCGTCGAAATTGCTCGTCCCGTAAGTCCCACCAACTTATTCCTATGCCACCAGTTTCTCACCCTCCATTCAGGTCGCCGAAGCGCCGCAACCGCGAAAACGGGCTCCCACTTCTAGGATGCCTGCTGCAGAGAAGGAGATACGTCCCGACAGTGACTTCTCCCTTAAGCGCAAGCGGGACACCAAAGAGGTGGCTGAAGACCCCAAGCTGAAAGAGTTCTTGGAGGTCATGCAGCCACCCTCGAAGCAGAAGGCATGGGCAAACGACGATCTTCAAGTCGATCACACACTTGCTAGACCGGAAGACGCAAAAGTCGATACCGTCCAGGCCCCGGAAGGGGGTAGTGACGATGAATATCAGACTGTCCAAAAGAAGACGCGGCGCGCAAAGTCACCACCTAACCCGTCCGTCTCAGAGCTTGAACCCACGCCAGCCCAACAACCAGCCGAGGCTGAGGCCATTGATGGCGTCGATCAAGAGGACGAGCAGCCCGTTGACGCTCAACCGATGTCGGATGCAGATTGGCTGCGTTCGCGCACGAGCAGAATGCTGGGCCTTGTGGATGACGATGAGGACGAGGCTGTACGTCCGTCAAAGCCCGCGTCTGTCGAGGCCTCGAATTTTTCAGATGCAGACGAAGAGCCACAACAAGGTGACGACATTGACATGAAGGATGCGTCCGATGTCGCCGAGCCGACGGAAGATCATGTACCAGTTGATCCAACCGTAGATTCCATCCGCAGCACCGGTCGTCTCTTCTTACGGAACTTGCCGTATTCTGTCTCTGAAGAAGACATTCGAGAACATTTCAAATCCATGGGCGCACTTGAAGAGGTAAGATACAAACCTTTCTTTTTTCTGGTACAACCTGTTACCGCTTGTTGTGATGAACACCTGATAGGGACAACTTATGCAATGCATTTGATGAGACCCAGGGAGAATATTTTAGTAGATGCTTCTCATTTACTGATACAAGCACACACTCTCACGAAGATGATGCCTATTATCTTTTGAGTAAACGCTGACAATTACACTAGGTCCACGTTCCGCTTGATTCCAAATCTGGCAAAGGTAAGGGTTTTGCCTACGTGCTTTTTCAAGACCCCGAGGATGCTGTCTCTGCATTTGAGGCCCTTGATGGCAGGATCTTCCAAGGTCGTCTTCTGCATATCTTGCCTGGTGCTGCCAAGCGCGAGAACAAGCTGGACGAGTTTACGATATCCAAATTGCCTCTGAAACAGCAAAGGCAGATCCAGCGGAAGTCCGAAGCTGCCACCTCAACGTTTAACTGGAACTCGTTGTACATGAATGCGGATGCCGTCATCTCGTCCGTTGCCGATCGGTTGGGTATCAACAAATCTGAAGTGCTCGACCCAACGTCTTCGGATGCGGCAGTAAAGCAGGCCCATGCCGAAACGCACATCATCCAAGAAACCAAATCTTATTTTGCCCAAAATGGCGTTGACCTAGATGCGTTCAAGCAGCGCGCAAGAGGGGATACGGGCATTTTGGTCAAAAACTTCCCGTATGGTACCACAAGCGACGAGCTCAGGAAGTTGTTTGAGGAACATGGTCAGGTCACCAGGTTACTCATGCCTCCGAGCGGAACGATTGCCATTGTCGAGTTCGCCCAGCCTCCTCAGGCTCGCGCGGCTTTCGCTTCTTTGGCTTATCGTAAAATCAAGGATTCAATTCTGTTTCTTGAAAAGGCTCCAAAGGATCTGTTCAAGGCCGGACATGTTCCTCAAAATGCGCCTGCGGTACAGCCTTCCCAAGGTGGTGCTGAGGCGAAATTGGCCGCAACTGATCTGTTGGCAAGAGAGGCTGTTGATGACAATGTCGATACTTCTACTCTTTTCGTCCGCAACCTCAACTTTTCTACCACCACTCAGCGTCTGACGGAGGTTTTCAAACCGCTGGACGGTTTCTTGTCTGCCAGAGTCAAGACGAAGACGGATGCCAAAAAGCCCGGTCAGGTGCTGAGTATGGGTTTTGGTTTCCTTGAGTTCCGGTCAAAGGAGCAAGCGCAAGCTGCACTCGCGGCGATGGACGGTTACAACCTCGACGGTCATAAGCTGTTGATCAAGGCCTCCCACAAGGGTCTTGACGCCGCTGAAGAGCGTCGGAAAGAGGACAAGGCCAAGAAAGCGGCGGGTCGCAGGACCAAGATCATCATTAAGAACTTACCCTTTGAGACAAACAAGAAAGACATACGCGCTTTATTTGGAGCGTATGGCCAGCTCCGGTCGGTTCGCGTCCCTAAGAAATTCGATACCTCAGCGAGGGGTTTCGCGTTTGCAGATTTCACGACTTCTCGGGAGGCGGAAAACGCGATGGACGCGCTCCGCAATACCCACTTGCTGGGTCGGAAGTTGGTTCTCGACTTTGCCTCGGAAGACCCTGAGGACGCCGAAGAAGAAATTGCCAAGATGCAGAAGAAAGTCGGCACGCAAGTCAACAAAGTTGCCCTGCAAAACCTTACCGGTGCCGGAAGAAAGAAATTTAATGTCGCAGGCAACGATGAGCTCGACGAAGGTTGAACTAGCCCAGGCAGGCGCTGACCGCACAATATCACAGGCTTTGGCCTGGTGCTCGCGACGCTCCCTTGCTTCGTCGGCGAAACGCGACCTTGAGCGCGCTACTTTGGTTTGCTTCCCCCTTTGTCGGCCATTACCCGTCACCTGGGTTCGCCACCCATGGCTAAACCGGCACGATCTCATGGTCGGTGGCATTGACCGAAATTCGTTCGAAGGTGGGAATCTTCGCTGCTTCGCCTCGCGCGTCATGAGAACCTTGCTGCGACTGATGTATTAGGCGCGATATACCTCACCTTAAATGACAAAACAAGGGCTATGACGCCTAGCAAAGCAATTTCTTTCATATCACCTGCGCTAACCATCGTTCGCATTCCTGTCAGAAGACTCGGCCGGGTGCCGCTGTAGAAGGCAGCAGTGTGTGTGAAGAACATTCCTCGCGTAGTGTACATCCCTGGCACAGCAAGCGTACGAAAGGGTCTCAACTCAACCCACACCACAAAGGACCTACTATCAAGGCGAAAGGCTCTTCTGGCCCTTGCTTATCTGGCTAACATAGTAGAATAGAAGGAAGTCAGCATTCTTCAAGTAGTCAAATCCGTGGAAAGCGGTCTGAGAATCAACAAACCTTGGTCGAATTCAGCCAATCCTCGCCCATCGTGCAGCTTCGATTAAATCTGCCTGCCTTATGTCATTGATTAACCTGGGTATCTCCTGCCGGCCGTTTCCACGGTGCCCACGCTCGTCGTTCGAGGGCGAGGCTCCTTTCTGAGTGCGGTACCCAGCCCCTCTATAAACAACTGCTCATTGCTCTTACATTCCCCACTCCTCCGCATTCTCTTTAACAGTCAAGTCATTCCTTTGGTCCAGCTCTCTACGTTCTTTCGTCTCTGAGCGCTCTCTTTGTAGAGCACCCAGACATTCTCTTTAGACCCCTCATTCTTAGCCGCGGCATTCCCGAAGCATAATGGACTTGCGTCGAAACTCATGCATCGTACCCTCCAATGCACCATCACTACACGACAGTCTCTTTGAAGACACGGCAGTTTCAAGACCCATATTGCAGGAGCGATGCAACAACCGCCAGCAAGAGTTCACTCTAGACTCACCCATAGACCTGAACGACCGTCCGAAGCATCATGGGCTCTATCAACAGCCCGAAAACTATTATGGCGGCACGGTACAAGGCTACCTAGATCCTCACCCTTCTGGCGGCAGCAGCAGCAACAGCAGCAGCAATTATGCGGCTGCGGCAATGTTCATGGGCGATGATGCAGATGACAGGATCAGCAAGGAAGTAGCACGACTGTGGCGAATGCTAAACGCGTCCGACGCGTACCGGAAATATCGCGCTCGCCAACCAAAGGACTGCAGGAAGGACTGCAGAGACCAGGAGCAGAAATGGCCGGAGCGTATGGAAATGGCGTTCTTCGCTGGTCTGTATATTCGTGTTTCATCAGTGGCCCTTACATGTCTAACGTGTATCTCAGCTCTCGTTAAATATCCCCCCATGGGCCGTCGAAAACAGATGCACGAGGGCAAGCTCCGTGGCCGAAACGAGCTCATAGCTTATGCGATTCAGAAGTGGACAGGCGAATCCCGTACACGGAAACAAGTCTCAAGCCATATCCAAGTTCTCAAGCCACTGTTCCAAGATATACCCAAGAGTAAGTTCCTACCGTCTGTTCTATGATTATGATTCCAGTATCACATGTTTGATGAAACACCATTGCTGACAATATTCAGTCATGAAGTACATGTCAAAAGAAGACATTCATGGTAGGCGGCATGCACGGGTTCACTCTGACCCGAACGCACTACGACGACGGATGGGTCCTCCTATGGGCCCTCCGGCCAAGTATGATCCACTTAGCCAAGGGGGCGCCTATCCAATATCGCCCTTACCGCCTCCGCATCATATGCTCACTTCCAACGTTCCTTCTGCAAACCTTCCAGTTCTTGAGCCTTGTAATTTTTCGATGTATGTTCGTGACCCGACCCACAACCCACCGCATGAGTTGCATTTTTTCACGAGGGTCGACAAGCGCTCCAACCAAGGCGGGATTTTCGCGACAGAGGCGCATCAATCCTCGATGCCGCAACGGCTAGACAACATGCTCGACGAGAAAAGCCTCGGGTGCGACGTTATTCTTGCCGACGTAGCCATCGAGCTGATGGAGCAAACGCTTCCTAAGGACGCCGAACTAGGCATCCAACTCGAGTTCAGCCTGAATTACGACCCCACCGCGTACGACTTCATCTCTCACACGCGCCTGTTTGAGGGCACCGATCTCGCCCATGAATGCAAGGGCCAGCTGGGCTACGACTCGCAGCACAAATGCTTGCACGCCGTCCCCGGCACCTTCGGCAGCGCCTTCTGGGCGCGCAAGTTCGCGGAATTGTCCTGCATTATGCGAACGATCAACAAAAAGACTAGCGTACTGATTCCAGGCAAAGGGCAAACGGTTGAAGAGGAGGCCCAGCGTCTCAGAGACCAGGTACGCAACACGCTAGCGGGGCTCTCAGCCGTGCAGGAGATTTCCGCTATGCCCCGAGGCGGCTTCGTCAACCCCGAACGCATCTTGGTCGTAGGATGGACGTTCCGGCACGCGGAGCGCGGCCACCCGGGCGACACGACGTGGCGACGTCTGTTGCTGCCCGCCGCGGCGCCAGTCGGCGTGTACAAGGAGGAGCAAGGGCTGAAGCAGGAGGCGTACGGGGGGCTACCAGGGCTAGACGTAGGGCCAGGGGGGATGATGGGGGCACCGGCGACGCAAGCGCCCGCGCACGCATTCCCAATGGACCAGCACGGGTTCGAGCTAGATCCGCTGACGGGGATGAATCTCACGGGGCTGCCACTAGGCGGCGGGCCAGGCAGCGGACAGGCGCCTCCCATGCCGCCCGACATGGGCGGGCAGCCGGTGCAGGACAGCAACGGGCTGGACATCACGGGCGGGCACATCAACATCTTCATGGAGCCGCCCATTGCGCTCCAGAACGGCTACTACGACATCGCGGCGCACGCGCCCCTCGACCAGAACGCCGTCCCGCCACCCCCGCAGCACTACGACCACTTGCAGCAGGCGTACCCGCGCCACTGGTCCGGCTACGGCGCCATGCTCGAGCAGGACATGTATCAACAGGCCACGGCCGGCGCGTACGATCCCACGGCCGCGCAGCAGTATGGCGATCCGCATGCGCAGATGCGCGACGCAAAGCATGGCATGCATGGGGGGCAGTATTTGGAGCCGGGGATGCCGGGCGGCAGGAGAGACAGCGGGATGCTCGGTTTGTAATGGCGGGTGATTGTGTTCATTGTGATTGATTGATGCTTCGCGCATATGTACTGTATGTTGATGGTAACGGCCTTGATGTCTCATATACCCGAAAAAGTTCTCTGGATGCTTTTGCAATATAGGTAGTAATGTAATCCTTCAGCGAAGTTTGTTTTTGACTGTTTGCAGTGTGATGCTTGTATTGGCACTAGTGCTGCTGGTGAGTGCTTGCGTCCTCAAACTTTTGCGTGTGCTACAGTACTTCCTTTGGCCAATGAAGTGCAGGTTGGCAACATACGTGCTGTCCGTCCAGTCGGAAGCTCATCCAAATAGAATAAAAAAAATATGTATCCGTGTAGGATGGCAAAAAATGCAGCTTCTGTGGATCGAACACAGTACCTCCAGATACCGCACAGGTTTGTAACCGAAGTTGGACTTCAGTCTGGCGCTCTCCCAAGTGAGCTAAAGCTGCTATTGATGAGTTGCAAATCAACAATTGCTTTTATATACTGCTACAAAATAGTAACTCTTGCCATCATCATTTTTGTTGTTGTTGAGCAGTCAGAAGCGGCCCGAGAAATCTTTGTCCTCGCTACGGTAGACGCGGAGGCCGTAGCTGACTTATTCCAGATTCAAAAAGTCAGTGTGGGAGATCTCGCTTCCACAACAAAGAAGAGTAGCGAACCTCTACCGAAAAAACTATCAAAATAGAAGAAGATTTTTCACTTCACAGAATTGACAAAAGGATGTTTGCACGTAGACGGATCTGTTTTCACAGAACCAAAAAAAAGTGACCACACCAGGGGTCGAACCTGGAATCTCTTGATTCGTAGTCAAGCGCCTTGCCATTGGGCCATGCGGCCATTGTTGAAAAGTTAGATAGCGGGTTTACTTATGTAGATACTTCCAATCAATTTCCGTCATCCAACCCCATTCGCGCGCAATCCTTTCGCTGGAGGATACACCAGGCACAAGCCAACTTTAACGAATCAGAACAATGTGCCTATAAAAATCGGGGATTAGGTTAGGGGACCCCTCATTCATAATTCATAATCGTCTCGGCCTCGGTGTTTAGCGACGGTGCAATTCCAAGCTCCGACGGTGTAACTCCAGCTCCTTCCCCGAAGCGGAAAACGCATTTCAAAGCATATGCAGCACTTCTCAAGCACACCACTTGCCGTAAACTGGCTAGTGGGGCTGCGTGCTTGGCCCTTTAAGAAGAGACCACAGGTGCTTCCGAACAATGCACATCTTGATCTCCAGCCCAATTGTTCAGTTCTCAGTCGATCTCAAGTCTAACTATTAACCACCATTAACAATGAAGGAAGCCATCGTCTACACTCCCGACAAGGTGAGAGCCAACTACCAGCCTTTCCAGAGGTTTCAACATCTAACAATGATCAGGTCGAAATCGTCGACTCTCCCATTCCCACGCCCGGTCCCGATCAGGTAGTGATTAAAGTCATCGTCAGCGGCTCGAATCCCAAAGACTGGTACATACCTAAGAAGCTCACCCCGAAACGCTTGGATAGAGTAAATACTGACTCCAGCACAGGAAGCACCCGGAATGGGCCAAAAATCCCGAGAACTCCGGCGATGACATCGCAGGGACCATTCACTCCGTCGGATCCAACGTCTACGAGTTCAAGCCCGGCGACCGCGTCGCCGCCTTCCACGAGATGGCCGCGCCGCATGGCTCGTTCGCAGAGTACGCGGTAGCATGGAGCCACACGACGACGCACATCCCCGCTGGCGTCAGCTTCGAAGGCAAGCAACCTCCTCCCGTCTCTCCCTAAACCTCATCAACAAACTTAGACGGACTCTGACCAGCATCACAGAAGCGGCGACGCTCCCGCTCGCCGCCCTCACAGCCGTAGTCGGCAACTACGACCGGCTGCAGCTGCCGCACCCGTGGCAGCCTGCCCCCGAGAACTCGCGCATCCCGTTGATCGTCTACGGCGCCGCAACGGCTGTCGGCGCGTTCGCCATCCAGCTCGCCCAGCTCTCAAACGTGCACCCCGTCATCGGCGTCGCGGGCAATGGCATCCCCTTCGCCGAGAGCCTAATCGACAAGAGCAAAGGCGATGCCATCGTCGACTACCGCGGCGGCGACGACGCCGTGCGCAAAGGCATTGCTGACGCGCTCAAAGCCGCCGGCGTCGACACTGTCGCCCATGCCTTTGACGCCGTCAGCGAGAAGGGCAGCAATGAGAACATTACTGCGGTGCTGGCGGCCGATGGGCGCGTCACTAACGTGTTGCCGCCCGAGAAGTTCGCGAGGACGAAGGGCTTCCGGTACCCCGACACGTTTAAGACGTCGCTTACGTATGTGGGTGATGTTCATGGTGAGCGGAAGCAGTTGGGCTTTGTCTACTTTAGGTGGATGGCTAGGATGCTGCAGGAGGGCAAGTTGAAGCCGCATCCGCATGAGGTGGTTCCTGGTGGGCTGGATGGCGTGAGCCAGGGGCTGCAGAACTTGAAGGCCGGGAAGGCGAGCGCTGTGAAGTATGTTTTCCGCATTACGGAAACGGAGGGCGCGGGGAAGGATTGAGTGAGGTTGGGTTTGAGCCGTCTGGTAATCGGAAGAAATTGTGGTAGTTATCTATGTAACTTTTTTTTTTATTTTTCTTTTCTCTTTGAAGCCAACAAAGCAAAATACGGGTTTTGCTACCTTAAGCTATAGCTGCAACAACAATTGCACCCAAGGGTCACAAACACACCCACAAGCGTCATAGAACCACCTAACCAACAAGCGACCTAACTTCAACCAAAACACAACGCGATCTCTCTCAAACCACCACCATCGCACCACCCCTCACCCACGCCGCACGCACACGCACACCACTCACCCACCACACCACACAACCATCTCCTCCCAACCCCAACCCCACACACAAATCACGAAACAAAACCCCCAACCTCCAAAACTCTTCCATCAACAACAGCAGCTTTAGCTCACTTGGGAGAGCGCCAGACTGAAGTCCACTTCAGCCTCTACAAGCATTCTGTGCGGTATCTGGAGGTACTGTGTTCGATCCACAGAAGCTGCATTTTTTGTCCTCGCACACATGGACACGGATAATTCTTTTTTTGAAAATGCTTTGAACTTTTTTTTTTTTTTTCGCGCGATACGATCGGACCGTCTCGAGGCATTAGATTAGCGTTTTTTGTGCCGCGCCGCGGCGCGCATGGACCACCCAGGGAGAGCGGCCCTGGGTGCCTGGCAGTGACGCGCGCCGCTAGTCCCGGACCGGCAAGTCTGGGACGCGGGAACGGGCGGATGGTGCCGACGATCGCGGGGCGTTGGGCGCGCGGCTGTGGATTGTGCGTTATTCTCCTGCCTCGCATTGTTTGCTTTGCATGGGGAGATTTGCGCGGCGAGGCGTGGGCATGGCAGGGCATGGCATGCGTGCGTGGAGGCGTGCGTGAGCTCCCCATGCCATGCCGTGCCGTGCCGTGCTGGGGAAGAGAGGGAGGGCGAGGAAGCGAAGCGTGCGCAGCGCATTCTTGGAACCCCGTGGCGGGTATTGCTGCGCGATATGCGATGTGCGCTCTCGACATGTCAAGGGGTGTGTGGTCTTTTCCAGCGAGCTTATGCAGATCATATCGTCCTATGCTGCGTCGAAGTAACGAAATGCAAAAACGAAATGCAATAACGAAATGCAAAAACGCCCGGCGCCAATGTAAGACAAGATGGCCCAAGAACGCTGGCGCTGCTTGTTGCTGCTGCTGCTGCTGCCAATGCAATGAATGCCATTGTTCATGCGCGCGCCGGCGCGGGCTCCGGTGCTCGGGTTGTGATCAGTCGGGAGACGTGCTGTTCTAGGCTCCAGAGGCGGACATCGAGGTCTTCGAGCCCGTCGCGCACATTTCTGACGATCCTGCAGCGTGGGCGGGTTAGTTTGCGGTATTCGGTCGTCATTCATTCACCAGGTACTGTACTGGACTGCCTGGCTGCTGCGTGCGGGAATGGATAACAATAAAGGTAAAGAGGTACGTACAGCGCTGCCTCGCCCACCTCCTTCGCAATCCGTCTCGTCTCCAATCTCCCCAGCCGCTGCAGCAACAACACGACGTCGGCTTTGCTCCGCATCCAGAGAATCCGCTCGCGGAGCCCGCATTCTCTGTACGCCGTGTGGTAGGCGCATTCTTCTTCGCTATCATCATCATCGTCCTCATCGCTCAGCGCTGCCGTGTCGTCCTGCCCTCCTTCGCCATTCCTGGCATTGGCATCGCGGCGGCTGCTGCTTCCCCTTCTCTTTCCCCCGCCATCCTCGTCGCGCAGAAACGGCTTCTCCAGCACCCAAAACTCGCGCAGCATATTGCGCACGGTGGCGCGCATGACGCGAGCAGTCACGTCGTCGTCATCGGCAGCACCATCACGGCCATGGTTGCCGCTGTAGCCCGCGTAGCCGCGCTCGGCAGCTCCCGCCTCTTTTAGGCTGGCCTCGCAGCCGTTGGTGCTGGTGCTGGTGCTGGTGCTGGGCCGGTGGCGGCGCCGGAATCTGGCCGCCCGGCGCAGGTGCGCGCGCTCCTCGTACAGGCCCTGCTTCAGGTTGCCCAGGTGCGTGTCGATCTGGCGGTGGGCGTGGCGGAAGGTGGCGTAGTTCTCCCAAGTGACGCGCAGGAAGGTGGCGATGGTGAAGGCGAAGGAGATGAAGCCGGCGGTGGTGCTGGCAAGGGCGAGGGGCGACACGCCGCTGTGCGTCGATATCGTCACGCCCATGGATGGGGATGGGGCGCGGCGCGCGGGGTTTACGCTGGCCCTAGCCCTCTATTGTACATGGATTAGACAGACGAGCCATCGTGGAGATTTAGTACGACGATGGTGATACAGCGGGCGGCGTGGCCGGGTGACCGAGGGTGGGCGCGCGCAACTGACACGCAGAACGGACGCGTGGGCTGGACGTGGTCAGAGGGACGCAAAGCGTGATATGATATTAGACGCAGGAAGTTGAAAGGCCGTTGGGATGGAACGATGGAACCCCCCCTGCTCTCTTGGCTCCCGCTTCTCAGACGCGTTTCGCGACGTCACTGGGGCGCGCCTGCCCGGGCAGCCAAGACCGGGGGCCAAGAGGGAAGAGAGCTGCAAATGCACTGCTGCGCCTCCGCAGTCGCGCGTCCTTCCGCTTTTCTCCAGCGACCGTCGTGAGAGACAAACAACTCCTCCACTCCACACTCCACTCAACAATATGTTCTTCTTTTTCACCTGCGGCGAACACAGTGCGTACACCCGAGCTCCAGCTCCGCCCCCTCCTCCCAAGCTCCAAGCTCCCGCCACAAGGCGGCATGCGCCACACATGCATGCATCATCGCTGACTCCGCTCGCCAGCCTTCACGTCGCGCCTCAAGGGCTACGAGAACGTCACCGCCCAGTGCCAGAACTGCGGCAATTTCAGCGGCCACGTCTACAAGCGATGGTACGTACGACTGCGGGCAGCTGCCCCAAAGAATGGCGGCGCGCCGACGGCGCGTCGGGGCGGCTGCGCCAAACGGCTTGACGAGCGTCGGCGCTGACAAGGCGGACTTCATGCAGGCAATGGTTCACGCTCTGCTTCGTGCCCATCATTCCCTTCAGCTTCAAGCCGTGGCACGAGGTCGGCTGCCACATCTGCAACTTCTACCAGGATATCAAGTGCGTTATGCCGTCCTCCCGGCTGCCCTTCGCCATGCGTGCTAACGTGTGTTGGTGCAGATACCGCCCTGACGTGCAAGCCCAGGCCAACGGCGGCCAGGGCATGCCGATGCAAAACTACGGCCCGCCGCCCGGCGTGCCCGATCAGCAGCAGCAGCACCCGCAGTACAAGTGAACAGGCCCGCCCGCGCTTGCGCTGAAGCCCACCGCGTACGCACCCAAACGTGTGGCGGCGGAGTTGCTGACGGGTCGTCGCGCAGCCAGGCAAAGGATGATACTATGCTGTTTTCCTCGCCCGGTCTGGCTGGGCTTCAAGCGCGCGGCCAGGTTTAGGTGCATTGCGTGCGTCATGAGCTGGCGGGCGCGGCGGATAGAGAGCAGTAAGGCTCGGGGCTACAGCGAGGCGACGTGCTGTTTCGGACAAAGCGCTATGAGGGAATGATTGGGCGATAGTCGTCGATGCTATTGATTTTGCGCGCTGGGTAATGGGGCGGCGTTCCGGGTCGGGAAGCAGCGACGGGGTTTGAGGACACGATACCAACAATTGCATTCTTGATTGTCTTTTTCCTCGACTGCGGCAGAAGGTGATGGTGGATGGAGCAAAGAGCTTCTAGAAGTAACTACCCCGTACCCACCGGACCTAGGTACCTCGGCATGCCACGTCTGCTTGGCTGGCCTTAGCTCGGCCGTCAACGGCCGTACAAGGCAGGTCATGTCACAGGAGCCGGCTCGCAAGGCGGCAGGCAGTATGTAGGGCGACAATCAGAGACGGTGAGAGGTCGATGGAAAGGAAAAAGGCGTCGGAGGGTCGGAGTCGGGGTGAGGGGTACCTAGGTGGCGGTGACAGAGGCGCGAGAGGATAATGGGCGCCCTATGAGGCATCTTGGCCAGCCGGAGAGGGCGGGGCGATCATGGCAGATCGGGTGGAGACTAGCAGGGGCGGGGAGTTTCCCGTTGGAGCAGGCGGCGCCGGTTGGGCGGCGGAGCGGAGGACGCGAAAGGCACTTACGGCCGCGGGGGCCCGGCGTGATGCAATGTCCACACCGGCCGAAAAGAAAGAACGCAAGGAGCAAAGAAGCACCGTTCATGATGCCATTGGCCCTTTGGTTGGTAAGCTTTTTGGTTGGTAAGCTGCGTAGCTTTGCGGACATACGTAGGCTATGTGTAACCCCTTCTTTTTTTTTTCCTTCCCTTTCTCTTACGGTAGGTGGGTTATCTATCTGCTTCTTCTATTTACTTTATAGATCCTCTCTTCTTCCCTTCCCTTATCTCCTTCCTCTCTCTTCTCATCTCCTCCAGCCTTGTCTCATCAAGTCTCATCCTACCTATCAATCTATCACCAACACAATGGTGCAAAACAAGTCGTTCGTCTTCTCGCACCCGCCCACGGGCTGGCCCGTCGCGGGCAAGGATATCACGGTGCAAGACGGCACGTTCGACGAGGCGGCGGCGCCCCCCGCCGGCGGCGTGACGACGCGCAACTTCTACGCGTCGCTGGACCCGTACATGCGGGGCCGGCTGCGCGACCCGGCCAAGAAGTCGTACTTCCCGCCGTTCCAGCTCAACGAGCCCATCGACAACAGCATTGTAGCGCGGGTGTTGAAGTCGGACTGCGAGGGGCTGAAGGAGGGCGACGTCGTCGTCGGCATGCTGCCCATCCAGGAGTACAGCACGCTGTCTGCGGCGCAGGCAAAGGGCCTGCGCAAGCTGACCAACCCCCACGGCCTCGATCCCCGCGTCTTCATCGGTCCCCTCGGCATGCCCGGCCTCACGGCTTACAGCTCCTTCTACGAGATCGGCAAGCCCGTCAAGGGCGAGACGATTTTCGTGAGCGCGGCCAGCGGCGCCGTCGGCCAGCTTGTTGGCCAGTTGGCGAAGCACGAGGGCCTGCGCGTCGTGGGTAGCGTGGGCAGCGACGACAAGCTCGAGTTCATCACTAAGGAGCTGGGCTTCGACGCGGGGTTCAACTACAAGAAGGAGAAGGCCGCGGATGCTCTTGCCCGTCTGTGCCCTGATGGCGTCGATATCTACTACGAGAACGTCGGCGGCGAGCAGTTGGAGGAAGCTATCAACGCTATGAACAACCACGGCCGCATTGGTAAGCTCTCTTCCCCCCCCTTTTTTTTTTTTTTTTTTTTCTTTCCCCCCCTACGTATAAACACGCCCCTGCTAACACCCCCGCCCCCGACAGTCGCCTGCGGCATGATCTCGCAGTACAACCTGGAGCCGCAGAACATGTACGGCGTGAAGAACCTGTTCCACATCGTGTCGAAGCGCATCACGATGCGCGGCTTCATCGTCTCGGACAAGGACATGGGCCCCAAGTACGCCGAGCAGCACCAGAAGAACATGGCGCAGTGGATTGCCGACGGCAGCTTCAAGGTCAAGCTGCACATTGACGAGGGCATTGACGCGGCCCCCGACGCTTTCTTGGGTATGTTGGCTGGTAAGAACTTTGGTAAGACGGTGCTCCAGATTGCGGATTTGGAGAAGGCGTAAGGGCGTGTCTAGATGGGGTTAGAGTTGGATGTGGGTTGTATATAGACGCGAATATTCGAAACGTTTTCTCATGAGCTTGCTTGTGCGTACTTGGCCTTGTTCACTTGTGTATCTGTTCAATGTCGTACTGTACTATACGTAGCCCGCGGGTATCATGCCTCCAACTCACCACTATACAACCTCTACGAAATGGCATCCATCTCGCCCATCCCCCCATTCACAGAACAATCATAACTCGTAACAAGCGTCCCTCAAACAAACAAACCTTGACCCCCTACACATCAACCCCCACCCTCACCCCTACGCACCCAAGCCCAGCCTCTTAGCCTCCTCGGCCCTCCGCGCCGCCACCGCCTTCAAATGCGCCAGCACGCCCTTGGCGCACAGCTCGCGCGCCGTCTTCTTGCCCCACACGTTGCGGATCTCGGCCACGGGCCCGTTTTTCGCGATCAGCGGGTCGTGGGGGAAGAAGGCGGCGCCGCTCCAGAAGCCGGGGACGCGCGCGTCTTGCGCCAGGCGGTACTCGGGCTGCATGCATCCGACTGTGGGGCAGAATGCTGTTTGTTTGGTGGTTGTGGTTAGTGTTGGTTGGGGGTTTGGGTGAGGGTGTTGTGGGCGAAGAGGAAGTGTGGATGGGGAGTCACTACTCACCCATGACTTGCTCGCCGTAACTGCGCTCCTTGCCCATCTGGCCCCTAGCGACCGCGCCCTCGCTCTCAGAGCCCGACCCGCTCCCATTGCCATTCCCGCCAACAGGCATAGGCCCAACCGGCCCGCCACTCAAGCCCGCCAGCACCGACGGCGGGGGCTGCGGCGGCGGGGCCGGCGCGTTCGCGGCTCGGAACTTCTTCTTGCTCGGGTGCCCGCGCTCCGGCATCATGCCCTGGCTGCGCAGCCACTCGACAGCCTCGCGCGCCGCGTTCGTCTTGGCGCTCTTTTTGTTCGGGAACAGCTCTTCGCGCGTGCCGAAGGGCTGCGAGGCCCGCGGCGCGAAGGCGCATTCGCACGCGAAGCGCGACCCGATGCTGAAGTCTTGGAATTGGGGCGGCGGCGTGCCGGTTGCTGAACTGTATTCTGTAGGGGGGAATGGGGGAGCGCGTTAGCTTGCTGTGTGTTGGCGACAACGACTACCTACCACCCGCGCACTTCTCCTCGTCACTTACCCAGCAGCAAGCCGATCCAGTTCTCCGTCACGGCAGACGCGTCCCTTGCGGGCTCGCCCGACGGCGGACCAGCCATGGCTTCCATCGCCGGCGACGGGCTGGCATTGGCCTTCTTCTCTTGCGCGCGCTTCTCGGCCGCCTCGAGCAGGACGATGGACCCTCTCTCCGACACGGCGGCCTTTGCCTCCTTCTTGTTCACAAACGGGCCCTTCTCTTCAAGCTCAAACTGCTCTACTCGGCCCTCAGCACCCAGCAGCCCGAACCCGAAGCGCAGCACCACGGACCAGCCCTTGGGGTCGGCGGACTCGGTGTAGCTGAAGTCGTTTACTACGCCGTGCGTCTGGCAGAGGTGGTTGAAGCGCTCGACGTGGGCGGATACGTAGCCCCGGCTCAGCGCGACCGGCGCGGTGATGTCGGCGGGCTTTTGCTCCTGCTGTGCGTGATATTCTGCTTCAAAGGCTTCGATGGTTTGGGTTTGTGAGGGTTGACGGATGTGGGCGAGGCCGGGGATTGAGGGGTTGTCGCCGGGAGTGGCCATGGCCGAATACGCAGCGATAGTGAGAGAGTGGACGGATTTTACAATCATGCAGGCAGTACAAAAGTAAACTCTCAAAGTCCGCTGGCGAAAGTCGTGGCCGCAGAGCAACTAGGCGAGTCATGCACGCTTTTGAGTCAATCGACGGCCGGAAGAAAAGCAGCTTTCGCACATCGCCGCCTCGCAAACGTCACCAAGCATGCCTCCCAAGTCGAAAAAGGGCGCTTCCAACGAGAAGCAGAGGGCCGCCGATGAGGAGGTCGAGGATCCTCTCCAGGCCGTCGTGCGTGTGCCTTTGACCCAAGACCACCACACGTCATGCTAAATAACACTTTCTTGCCAGATCCTCGCCGACCCATTCGAGACGCGCTTCAGCCCTCTTACCCTCGAGCGCCCCCGGGTACTGCTGCTCTCCGGCCCGCTGCCTCTGCGTGCCTTCTGCTGATGCGCGCCCTAGTGTCTCTTGCCGCTCGCAAACACCCCGCTCATCGAATACACCTTCGAGTTCCTCGCCAACGCCGGCGTCGAGGAGGTCTTTGTGTACTGCGGCGCCCATACCGACCTGGTCGAGGAATACATCCAGTGCGTATGAGCTTCTGTGGCGCGCGCGGCGCTGTCGCTGACACGGTGGTCCAGGAACTCGAAATGGTACTCGCAGTCGTCGCCCTTCTCAAAGGTCGAGATGATCCGCTCGACCTCGAACACAATCGGAGATGCCATGCGCGACCTTGACCAGCGCGCCCTTCTCGTCAACGACTTCCTCGTCGTCTACGGTGACGTCGTGAGCAACCTGTCCATGGAGTCGGCCCTGGCGGCACACAGGGCGCGAAGAGCAAAGGACAAGAACGCCATCATGACCATGGTCTTGAGGGAGGCTGGCACCAACCACCGCACAAAGGCGCAGGGCACGCGGCCCGTTTTCGTCGTTGATCCTACAAAGGACAGGTGCCTGCACTTTGAGCAGATCAACTCCAAGGACCAGATCAACTCGGACCAAAGCAAGCGCTTCGTCAGCATCGCCCCGGACCTTCTGGACGAGAACGACGAGCTCGAGGTTAGGACCGACCTTATTGACTGCGGCATCGATATCTGTACTCCGGACGTGCTGGCCCTGTGGAGCGACAACTTCGACTTCCAGGCGCCGAGGAGAGGTTTCCTCCACAGCGTGCTCAAGGACTACGAGCTGAACGGCAAGACGATCCACACGCACGTTGTAAACGACCACTACGCAGCACGTGTGCGCAACCTTCACGCCTACGACGCCGTGAGCCAAGACATCATCTCGCGATGGACATACCCGCTTTGCCCGGACAGCAATCTCCTGCGCAGCCAGTCATACCGCTTCCAAAAGGGTAATATTTACAAGGAAGAGGGCGTCATTTTGGCCCGGTCTTGCGTCATCAACAGGGGCACCGTGATTGGCAAGGACAGCAGCATCGGCGACGGTAGCATCATTTCCAACAGCATCATCGGCCGCAACTGCTACATCGGCCGCAACGTCACCATCGACGGCGCGTACATCTGGGACCATGCAGTCATTGGCGACAACACCATCATCAACAAGGCCATTGTCGCCAACGAGGCGAGCATAGGCAGGAAGTGCAGGATCGAGCCGGGTGCGCTGGTCTCGTATGGCGTGCGGATAACAGACGGCATCACGGTGGACGGCACGAGCAGGATCACCCGGGCCAAGGAACGGAGAGCCGAGGGCGAGGACACGGTGAGGGCGGAGCCGGACTTTGAAGTCGTGGGCGAGAGCGGCGACGGGCGCGAGTTTGTCGAGCCAGAGGGCGACGAGCTGGACGAAGTGATTGAAGGCCTCGTGGCCGCAAAGTCAAGTAAGACTCCTGTTTTCCCACACGACGCGCAGCCAGCAAGCACGACTAACAAGGCACCACCACGCGCAGTCTACAACCTCGCGAGCCTCTCCCTGTCAACCGACTCCATCTCAACTCTCAACTCCGACTCCGACTTCACGGACACGTCCGGCCATCTCCGCTCCGCGCACGGCAGCTTCGTCTCCATCGCCTCGGACACATCCAGCCACCACGCGGCCAACTTCGACGCCGAAGCCGTCGACAGCATCCTCGACTCGCTGCTCAAGGGCGACGAGAGCGCCAACATCCAGCTCGAGCTCAACAGCCTGCGCATGTCGACCAACGCATCCGAGCACCAAGTGCGGCGCGCCGTCATCCACGCCTTCATGCGCGCCATCGGCGAAACCATCAAGACCAAACCCGGAACCTCCCCCAAACAAGCCACAGACGCGACGCTCGGCCCGCACCAGAACCTGCTCAGCCGCACCATGTTCGACCGCGACGTCAGCGGCAAGGTGGACCAGGTCGACTTCCTGCTGGTCATGCAGGCGGAGCTGGCGGGCCGCTTCGAGCGCGGCGAACAATGGGCGGATGCCGTGCTCCTGTTTGCGTGCATGAAGCTCTATGACATGGACGTCTTGGAGGAGGAGGGCTTCGTGCAGTGGTGGGGCGATGTCAAGGCTAGTGAGGACGCGCGCATGAAGGCTGTTAGGGGCAAGACGGAACAGTTTATTGCGTTTTTGGAACGGGAGAGCGAGAGTGAGAGCGAGAGTGAGGACGAGGAAAGTAGCGAAGAGGACGAGGAGAGTGATGAGGAGTAGGGTGGGTAGCTAGGTTCGGCATATAGGTATAGAGGAGGGCCGTGCTTCACGGTTTTGGAAAAGGGACGTTTAGCAGACAGATGGAGAACAAAGTAGCAAAAACCAACAATTTTCTTCTTCCAAATCTTTAAATTATAGATTAATTGGTTGGGTTGGCAGTGATTAAATATTAAATTAGGCCCCTCGTCCATCATCCATCTCTTATCTCCACCTCTTTCATTCATTCATCCCCTTCCCCAGCAAAACGTTACCACCCCCTTACCACCAAACCCACCGCACCACTCTACTGCATAGCAGCAGCAGCTGTCCCCGTCATCGTCGTCGTCGCCGCTGCCGCATTCTCACCACCAACCCCCTGCCCCACTCCCCAGGGCACGAAGAGCCCCGCCGGCGGCATAGACAGCGAAGCAGCAGCAGCAGCGGCGGCGGCAGTAGCAGCAGCGGCCATAGGGTCGAAGCCTTGGAAAGCCGGGAGCAGGAATGGTGTCGTAGCGCTAAAGCACACGGAGGTTTACGTTAGCGGATTTTTGTTCGTTTTTGTTGAGTTCGTGCGTGGTGCCTGCCAGCAGGCAGACAGACAGACAGGCAGGCAAGCAAGCAAGCAAGCGGATGGACAGCGTGGCGAACGCAGCGTGTCGAAGGAGGTGGAGGAGAGGACGAGCGGGGAAAAGACGTTTCCCTCCGATTTAATCGACTAGGTAGGTAGGTAGGTAGGTAGGTAGGTAAAACGGAGCGGAGCAGAACGGAGCGGATCGGAGCGCGACGACGACGACGACGAACGAGTACGAACAGGCCCAGATAAGGATGATTGATGACGAGGATGATGACGATGACGGCGCAGGTGTAAAGGCGAAGACGGATGGGTATATCGGTAGTGTAAACCAGAGCCAAGGCAGAGATAGAGCGAAGCGAGCAAACTCCAGGACGCCATGTAGTAGTAGGAAGGAGACGCAAGCATCAACCGCAACAGCACAAGCACAACCGAATCAAGACAATTATGAAAGAAGCCATTGCAATTGAAAAGCAGCATGCTCTAACAAGCATAGCGCTCGGAGCCTTAAAGCCCGTCATTCGCAAAACCAGAATTTGGGGGGGAAAGAAGAAGAAGAAGACTAGCTACAACCCGAGAGAAAACCCCCAAGAGATGGGAGAGAAGAGAAAAGCCTCCCGTCATGAACGAAAAAAATAGCATGCAGGAGGCCCCATGTGTGGAAAAGAGCAAAAGCAAAAGTGCCTGCAGAAGACCCTCGGCCAAGCCATTGTTGTACATGGGAGATTTTCTCTAGACCGCAGCGTCCTGAAGAAGAGCAACTTTTTGGTATTGGAGAGGAAAAGGCATAACCCGATGGAGATGTGTATGAGACCGAACTTGTGGATGATGAGAGTCGTGACGTGGCATGCATAAGTAAAAACCAAAGCCAACCGAGTGAAAAGACCTTTCAATGCTCGTGTCGTTCGCGAACTCCCGCTAAATCTCAAGGAAAGTAAGGAATGTGCTTACTGTGTCAGGGTCAGTGAGCTTTCAAAGGCGGGGACCGGGACTGTCTTTTGCTCTTTATCCTACCTTCATCGGAGCAAAGCCGCCGTAGGGGTTGGGCGGCATGCCCATGTTGGGGTAGACAGGCGGGGGAGGGGCGGGCCTGTAAGGGGTGCCTGCAGGGCCAGAGTTGTTCTGAGAACGGCCCCAGCTCAGACGGACACGAGAGTTGCCGATGGGGTAACCCTGCATCTGGTTGATGGCCATCTCGGCGGCGTGGCGCTGGACGAACTGAACGAAGCCGCAGCCCTTTCCAGGAGGAATCTTGACATAGGTGATCTCGCCAAAGCCCTGGAAGAAAGAGCGGAGCTCATCCTCGGTGACGTAACCAGAGAGACCGCCGACGAAAACAGTCGTGTTGTTGGGGTCCGTGAACTGGTTCATGGGCTGAGGAGCACCGTAGTAACCCATGGGGGGAGCACCCATGCCGTACATGCCAATGGGACCACCAGGACCGCCCATGCCGCCCATGGGGCCAGCGCCGGGACCACCACCGCTCTTGTTCTTGGGAGTGGCAGTGGAGATGCGCATCGGGCGGTTTCCGCAGTACACACCCTGCATTTCGGTGAGGGCGCGCTGCTGCTCGCTCTCATCAGAGAAGCGAACGAAACCGTAACCGCGAGACATGCCGCTGATCGGGTCCGACATGATCTTGGCGGACTTGCAAGACGGGAACTTGTTCTGGAACAGAGAGACCAGCACGTACTCGTTGACCTCGGGGCCAAGGTCGCCGACAAAAATCGAATACTCAGGGCCACGGTCATCGCGGCGGTCAGCAAGGCCACCGCCGGAAGCCCAGTTGAGCTTGAATGGGCGAGTCGAGTTGGGGATCATCTGGCCGTTGAGGGACAGGGCCTTGGCAGCGGCCTCGGGGGTCTGGAAATCAACGAAGCAGTAACCGGCGTTGTTGCTGACTTCACGTCAGTATCCCATTCCTTCCGGCGATCGAGTCATTTTGATGCGACTTACCCAGAGAATTTGTCACGGATCATTTTCACATTGACTGACTCGCCCATGCCGAACCAGACACTGCGAACGAAGTTCTCATCGATCCAAGGCTCGAGCTCGCCCATCCTGCGAGTGAAGTCAGCATCGGGTCCGATTGCGATCTCGGAAGGCTTGGCCGAGGCGCGTCCAGAAAAATGCCGAGGAACTTACCAGAGAGTAGTCTTGGAGTCACCACCCTGTTGAGGACCGGGCGCGGGCGCCGGGCCACCAACAGGCATGTTGGCGCCTTGGAACTGACCGGCAGCGCTCTCAATTGGCTGGCCGATTTGAGGCTGTTGTTGGGCGGCAGCGACACCTTGCGCATTCGCGTCCTCGGCGCCGGGCTGGCCCTGGAAGCTGTTGTCGTACGGGAAGCTCATTATGATTGAGAATCGTAAAGCGTGCTAAGTCAGATAGAGATAATCGAACGCGTAGAAAGTCGAACTGTGTTGAAGCCCAAGTGGGGTGGATCGCAGGCGAGTCTGGCGGACGAGTGATAAGTCAGCATTGATGACGCTCTGATCGCATTGTGGAGGGCATGCGAAAAAAGCCGGAATACATACACCAAGATCTTCTTCACGTCGGCTTGTGTATGAAGCAAGTCGATGTCCTTTGCACACAAAGTGACTATGCGAGATAGCGCGACCGAGCGGAAACCGAAGGGACTGGGAGTCGTAGTTTGTGAGAGACGACAACGTTAATCCTAGCAATACGCGAAAGGTAGGATCCCGATCGAACTCCGGCGAAAGAAGGTTTGAAGCTTCGAAGGCAATGATTGAGCTGGAGAAGTCGCTCGCGAATCTGCGGTGTGAGGGTCAGTTGGGTGGCACTGGGGGAATCACATGCGCAGGTGCAATGGTGGCACGAGGCGTCGCCAGGCGTCAAACAACAAGGCGCGATGGGCGCAGGCCAGGCGTGGGGCGAGGTGAGAGAGCGAGAGCGAGAGAGCGTGATGCGCCGGCAGCGAGCGGCAGGCAGGCATGAGCGTCGCGAGCCTCGACGGACGGCCAGGCTTGTCGCTTCTTGGGCGCGCGGCAATCCAAGGCACGCGCGGGTCGGCGTGGTGGTGATGACGAGGCGGGCGGGTGGTGGATGGGAAAATCTTGACGTGGACTTACCAATGACGAAGCAGAGCCGCAATGCAGGCTTGGAGGAGCAAGCACGAGAAAGGCAGGAACGAAGACCAACACCGCGCAAAGGCTCAGACTCAAGGAGAGGGCGCGTGGGACAATAAATAGTCGGATGCTGGAGATGGCGGACGGGGGGGAGGTGGGAGAGGTGGAGAGGAGGTCGGGCAGGCAAAAGAGGTTTGAGTTTCGCGGGCTATGGAAGTGGAGGGGTCATGGCGAATCCCGTGACCGGGGCACTACCGTGGTTGGGAGGCCCAGAGTCAATACGCCAGCCCGCGCCAGGCGTCATGGCGACGAAAACATTCCCACGACAGGATCTCCCGTAGGGCTGTTTCGGCCGCGCGCCACTTTTCGCACGAACGGCTCTCTGGCCCTTGGGCGATCTGGAGAGGCGCTGCGACAGCACACCGCTTTCAGCCAGTGACCCAATCCTCGCCCATGATCTCCCCGGCGACCCGCGCCCCCGGGTTTCTGCAAACAGCATGCGAATCAGGCACGAGTCATCCATTTACCAGGCCCAGAGTAACTACCTAACTACCCATGGTCTCCTACTATCATCTCCATCCTGCTCTGATCCTTTACGCCTTCACTGCCGCCTGCTGCGTCGTCACAGGCGGCACCCCCTCGGCAGCCTTGGTCTCGCTCTCGCCAAACTCGCCCCGCCCGCTGGCAAACACCTGGTCGAAGTCGTACTCGCCCCATCGGATGTCGGGGCACAGGCCCGCAAACTTCCACTCGCCGTTGACCTTCTTGTACCAGTGCGTGTTGGTGCTGTGAGCGTGGCCCTTGACGGCCACGGTGCGGCGCGACTCGTCCGTGTACCGCTGGTGGGGCACGCGCAGCTGGTGCACGCCGATGACCTCGTCGTCCGACACCTTCTCCCACTTGGTGCCGCCGATGAAGTGCTGCGTCTTCAGCAGCGGGTCGCCCAGCACCGCCGGCGACGAGATCATGGCCACAAACTCGTCGGCCGGCATCGCCTCCCACAGCTTGTCCAGGAAGGACCGGTAGTCGATCTGTATGCACGTTGGCCTGGTTCGTCACGCCCCAATGTGGGGGGGTGGCTGTTCACTGACCCTGAGAGTCGGAGCAATGCACTTCTTCAGCCTCTCCCAGTCCTGTCGTTTCCTTTTCGTCAGCAACTACACTTTATCCGCGTCTCGTCGCCCTGGTCCTTGCCTTGCTATCGTAGCTGTCCGCCCATTCGACCAGGCAGTTGCACAGCCCAAGGTAGTCTGCTTCACATTAGCCATGTTCTTGTTTCAAACACCCCAGAGTCCTACCGTCAAAGGTAATGTTGCCAGCCGCCATGGTCACAGTGTCTCGTCGGAAAAAGTAGAATGCGCTATGGCTTGAGCGGCTTCCGCGATGGTGATGTGAACGCAACAATGTTTAATTTAACCTTGGGTATTTGCGTTCCCCAGCAGCCAGGTGCTGCTTTATTATAGCCGTTGGTCGTGCGTCCGAAGCCCGCAGTCTCACCGTCGGGTCCCCTCGCTGCGCGTTGTCCGCTTCGGACTCTGCGGGGACGACCCGAAGGCCACCCCGACGGCCCGTAGGAGAGAAGCCCCGGCCGTGGAACGGAGTTGGTCGAGAGGCCTTGTGGAATGCATAGCATGATACTGTGTCGCGGGAGTCAATGCAATTTCTGACCTGTCATTCTTGCAGAGCCTATCGTGGAGTGAACGGATGAGCACGGGCAATTCAACACCAAAAGCTGCCGTGGCTGCATCACGACTCACCTCTACCAGAACAACCATCCGCAAAAGACGGTCCACCTCGTATGCGGTAGTCGTCACCACCCACAGATTTAGCCATGTTCACGCCTTGACTCAGGCCTCGCTCGCTTTTCCCGCACCCAGCAGCCTGTCTTTCCGGGGCCGAGCGCGTCGGAGAATCTGGAACTCTCTCAACAGACTCCAGGGTGTCTCGCGAAACCTTGCACACCGGATGTACCCCCGAGGCCTTTTCGGGGTAGTCTTTATTGATCCCGCTTATCCATTTCGACGCTTATCCATTGTGGAAGGTTGCCGAATGCTCCGATACAAGTCCCGTGTAGTAGCCCCTATGCCACTGCTTTGCTTTGCACTTGAAACTCGTCACTTGTCTGTGCTCCAAATCATTAGCATATTCAGTAGCAGCATTTTCCTATATGAAAAATTGGCCCGTATTTACTCGTGGTTCTTCCAATGATTTTGGCCATGACCCCGATGCCGTCCTGCCTATGAAAACCCCTGTAAACAGCGACAGCTCACTAAGACCAGGGTCGACACCAGCGTTCACAGGAGACGGAAAGCCCCTCCGTAAGCTGTATCAGCATAGAGTCAGGGGAGTCGTAATCTCCATTTCCCAAAGTCTTCGGACACAAAGTACCCGCGCTCCCGAAGTGACGCAAACTAGCCTTGGCGCGCCCTTGGTTTCCCAAACTATCGCCCGTAGAGCATAGCTACATACAGCTTACAACCAACCCTAGACTCAGCAATTGCACCGCCGCCCATCATGTCCCTGTCCGACATCAAGTACCAGCCGGCTCCCTCAGACCCGCCGTCGTACGACTCCATCAACAAACGGGCCTCCGTCTCAAGCTTTTCGCCACGAGCCCCCGGTCCTCGCGCACCGATGCCGCTGTCTCTGGATGCGCTAAACGAGCTGCGGGGCAAGAGGGTGATATTGGCATCGGCCTCGCCGCGGAGGAGACAACTGCTTGCGCAGGTACGACATTGCACGCTATAGGAGGCGACCCGCGAGTGTCTGCCGACGGCCTCTTTGAAATCGCTCTTAGCTTACACAAGTCGGCTCCGCGTGTAGATCGGTCTGACCAATGTCGAGGTCGTCCCATCCACCTTCGCCGAAGACCTGTCAAAGGCCATGACGCCATTCGAGTATGTCCTCGACACGGCCTCGCAGAAGGCCATGGCCGTGTACGAGCGCGAGATCAATAACGAGGAGAAGGGCGAGCCTGCCCTGATCATTGCCGCCGACACGATCGTCGTGGGCTTCTTTGGCGAAATCCTCGAGAAGCCGCGCAACGAGAAGGAACACATTGACATGCTCAAGTCGCTGCGGGACAATGGCGAGCACAAGGTCTTCACGGCCGTGGTGTGTATGGCTCCGCTAGAGAGCGCGAGAGACCCTGGCTATGCCATGCAGACGCACGTTGAAGAGACGGTGGTCAAGTTTGACAAGACTGGTATGTACACCAATCGCGAGCCAGAACAAGGCGTCCTGCGCTCGTCATATAAAGGGGTAGTCTAATTAACAAACAACAGCTACGGACGACTTGATCCTTGCCTATGTCAGGACGCGTGAAGGCGTTGACAAGGCGGGTGGCTACGGTATTCAAGGCATTGGGTCCATTCTCGTTGAGAGGATAGAGGGCACCTACGACAATGTCGTCGGTCTGCCGCTAAGAGCAACCCTCAAGCTGATTGAAACCGTGACGAAGGATGAAGAGGAGATGGACGAGGATGCCGCGGATGATCTGGACGAGCTCGAGTGAGGCAGCGCTGTCTCGAGTTCACGCAACTCCTGTACATTCAAGATATACCCAAGCACACAACCCGCATAGAATGGCAACCCGGAGTCAATGGTCTTTTCTGATTGTTGAGATTCATGCATTAGCAAAACCTTCTCCTTGATTTTGAGTACGTTTATGTCTCGGGGCAAAAAAAATCCATTTTATCAAGCCGTAGTCAGTTCTTGTGGGGGAATCTTCCTTGGTAGTTCGCAGAGCACTGTTATGTCTCGTGCTATTCCACCCACCTACTATACTAGCAATGTTTTGATAAAGTAAAGCCTTAATACATGGCAGGACGGCAAATTTTTCGGAAATCAGCTGATCCTCACCTGTGTGGAAGTGTGTCCCTCGCCACTGAAATAATATATGGCACTTCCTCGTACGACAAAAGGCGATATCACGGGCACCGTTGACAACAAGAAGTAATTTGTCCTCTCCAGACAGGAGCTTTCTCATACTTTCAGACTTTCAATATCTGTGGCTCAAAATCCCGCTGTCCGAGAAGCATGAACAGGAACTTGACTTTGTCGACAGGGAGTTTACGTACACACTGTCCGTCACTTTCACGATAGCAACAAGCTGATAGTTATCCAGGTCTCACTATTTAAATTCCGAAAAAGCCACATGTTTCTCTGGAATTAGCATCAAGCCTCGACAGTGAGTAAAAGCCACACTCTCGTGGTTCGTTGTCTTGCTCTGCTACTTTGTGGCTTTCTGTATACAGCCAGCTGCCCACGTGGCTGTCAATCTAAAACCATCATTCCGAATTTCACGCATTACTGTTCTTCCTTGATTATGACAACGGCTTCGCTATTAGCAATCACTGCGTGCTCTTTTAGGTAGCATTGTTTACATAGGTCAGAGCCTGAATTTTTCCTCGTCCTACAACTCCTACGTCCAAGAAACTTTACTATCACATGAAAGATGCAGCTACTGACCGCTTGCCATCGCACAACAGCAAACACACCTACACAACAGGTAGCAGGCAGCAAGAAGCAGGCACCCTACACCCTCACCGCCCCTCACCACCTCACCCGCCTCATCCACGCGCCTATACTGCCAAGCGGTAAATCAGTCTCACCATCACATACGCGGCTCCTCCCTCCCAGCCCCATCACGCGCCCCCCGCATCTATATAACTCCCTCCCCCTCCCCCTACCCACCACCGCTTCTTCCTTTCTCCAGCTCTCTCTGCCATCCAGCTTAGATCCAAGTGAAGCATCTGTTCTTTCCGTCTAATCGCCAGAACGCCCTCTACAGAGGGCATATTCGAGATGAAGTAGCTTTTGGACCCTGCGCTGCTGCTACTGCTGCTGCTAGGACTTGTCTTGCTTGGTGCGGCGTGCTGTGTCGCTTGTATTGCGCTGTTTTGGGCTGATGCGATGGGCTTGCTGCCTGGGTTGCGGTGGTGGCGAGCTGTGGCTTTTTTCTGCGCTGCCGTATGTCCTGGTTGCTTTTGTTGCTGTGTTTAGCTTGGCTGGGCCTGTGGGGGTGGGGGCTTGGGGTGGAAGGGCTTTTTTCGTTGCTTTGCTTTTGGTCTGGGGTGAGGGTGGTTTGGGCGGTTGGCGGGGTGGTGGTGCTGGGATTTACGTGGTTGTTGGTCGGGACGTGGTGGTGGGCAGAGCTGTTGATGGGAGAACTTTACTTGAATTGGCTCCTAGGTGAGGTTAATTTGTCGAGTGGAGGGAACGGTGGTGCTTGCTGTCGGGTTGGGTCTGGGCCATGGGAACTCGCAGTCTGTATGCATCACTGAGTTTGCTGGTTGGTAGCGTACTGGCCGTAAGGCATTTCGAGAGAACTGTTTGCGATTAGCTTAATCATGTTTCTTTACGGCTTTTGACTTGAGAGCGACAAGAAGACTTTGAAGAAATCGAGAACATACGATTTGATGTCCTTTTAGCGTTGACTGTTTAGAACATTATTCTATAATCGTCGAGATCTGTATAAGACTGTGCAAAACCTATACATTAACGGTCGGAAGTTGCTGAGCAGCTTAAAAATTGCGAACAGTCTTGACTGTGCTGCTTAGAGTCAGTGATAAACGAGTGCTAAAGTTATAGAAAGTCAACAGACCTGTTTCCTAACATGAGCCAACTTATAGAGTTTTATGGCTCGAAGGAACACTTCTTGACCGGCCTCACTTCAACTGTGTTTTATCCTTTAAAGCTGCTTTTCCTCTGTCGAAACCTTGACCGGTAGGGATTGCGAAAGGGTAAAGTGGACTTAATCTAGTTTTAGACTAGACGCTTGGAAAGAGGAGAAAGAGATAGCTAAGAGATAGCTTGGGGATATGCTTTGGTCCATCAAGTTTTCTGTGTCGTAGTTTAGAACGAACAAAAAGCAATCACTTCTGTCTTTGAAATATCGATTGACGAAGAGAGGAAAGCGGGTGAAATACACCGCAAGGCGAACTCAAGTAAAGACTGGAGCCGTTAAGCTCGCAGTGTCAACCGTAGTTACAATATTCGACCAGCAGATGCCATTGCAACACTCTGTTGCTACGGCTGCTCACACCATAACATGTGACAAACCACTGCTAGGGAAAAGATCATCTGACACTGCATTGAGGGCAAAACATGCGGTGCACAAGTGCATAACGGAAAGCACTATGCGAGATGGTTGTGTTGACACGGAAAGGACAAAGGCGTAGTTAGAGGGCGCCGTTGGGGAGGCTGAGCGAGCAAAAGCAAAAGCACTCACACAGGTGCGACTCCAAGAGGAGAGATGCTAGTCGACGGGGAAGAAACACGGAACCGAACCCTGATCGCGCATGGGCTTGGTTTCAAGAAGACACGGCGGCGCGGGAGCCGGAACGATGAAATAACTCATCCATCACTTTGACGCCCCATCGGTAGGGCATCAGACAACCGCGAAGGCCTAGCAAAGGGGCATCGTTTGGGCTTCGTCGGCAGGCAGGAGGAGGAGGAGGCTTGCGGCACGGTGGCAGACGGGGAGGGCGTGGAAAGGCCTGGCGACGGGCGGTATTTTGGGGCCTGGCCCGCTGGAAATTGAGCCGTCGAGCGCCTGCGAGGCCTGGAAAACCGGGGGGTAGGGCAGGGCAGGGCGCTTGCATGGCCTGAGAAGGCACGAGATCAACAATGTACTGTAACCAAAAGGTGACAGCTCACACAGGGCTCTTGTCACGGGCTTGTACATTGGCCAGAAGGACTGTTGATTTTATGGTATGTACAATGTATGGCGGTGGAGGGAGACAGTTATGTACTGTATGTATTTATGGCAGGGTGTGCAGCAAGAGGAGGAGGGGAGGAGGGCAAATGGGGTGGTGGATTTAGGGAGGGGGAGCCTATCTGCAGTGTGTGGTCCGACGAGTCACAGGCTGCAGGGGCTGCTGGTTTGCTTGGGGGCTCGGGGCTGTCGGCTCTAAAAACCAGCTGACACCCCCCCACAACAGCCTGCGCTCGTTTTCTTTCAACTTTTTCCCTCCGCACACAGTCAGATCTTTTGCATATTCCTTCATCGCACTTGTGTATACCATCCCTCATCACAATGGGTCGCCCAAGAAAGGAAGACAAGCAGCCCAAGGAGACTGCCGAGCTGATGATTTCGGTCGAGGATTTCGCGCGCACCAGAGATTCGGTGAGTCGCGACTTTGTTTTGAACGCGCCCTCAGATGCGCGCTCTCATGCCGACATTTGAACTTTGACCCGCGCCACAGCACATGTCATGCGATTATCCCCTAGAGCCTGGCTTCTTCAGCTCAATTGCATCCCTGTTGCCCAATATGGCTGCGCGCCCGCCTTTCCTGGGGCACGCGCAGGCGCGTGAAGCCGTCGCGGGCCATCACGCGTTCTCGCGCAAGCTCTTGGACATCATCGCACAGCTTCAATTGCTCCTAGCTCAATTCAGACGCGATCCTAACCCGTCCGTGTTCTACCAGGTCGTCACCGGCTTGACTACTCTGCAGACTGCCGTCACCGACCTTCTGCGCTCCTACATCAAACACACCAACTCGGTCCTGGGATCTACCCCCCACGGCCTCGACACCCTTGGCATCTCCAACCCTCTCGGCTCCGACCTTCTGTCTGGCGCCCTGCGCAACGTTTCGCCCGGCGACATCCTTGCTGCTCCTGCGCCTGCCGCTACCGCTGGCCAAGAAGCTGCCGAGCCTCCCAAGAAGGGCCGCAAGCCCAAGAAGGAGAAGAAGGAAAAGGACCCCAATGAGCCCAAGCGCCCACTCACCATCTTCTTCCTGTACTCCGCGTCTGCCCGTCCGGTTGTGAAGGAAGACCTCGGTGTCGAAGCTACCAAGGGCCAGGTTGAGAAGGAGATCCAAAGGCGCTGGAACGCCCTTCCCGATGAGGAGAAGCAGGTAGGATCTATCTTTGCTTCGTCTGATCAGCTTCACTGACAATGATGTAGCCATGGAAGGACCTCTACGATAAGAACCGCCAACAGTACTTGAAGGAGATGGAGGAGTACAAAGCCACAAAGGGCGAGGAAGCTCACACTCCTCCGGAGCTGCCTGAAGCGGATGCTGATGTCGACATGGCTGATGCTGCCCGTGCGGCCGCCGCGGCTGAGGCGACTGAGGAGGCTGATGCGGCCGATTCTGGCGCCAACGCCCAGGAGAGCTCTGATGAAGAGTCTGAGGAAGAGACCGAGGAGTCTGAGAAGGAGCCCACTCCTCCCCCCAAGGCTCCGACCCCTCCTCCCGAGACCAAGACGCCCAAGTCTAACAAGCGCCGCAAGACCGGCAAGGAGAACGGCGTTGCCTCTGCCGCTGCCGCTGCCGCTCCGGCTGCCAGCCCTATTCCTGTCCCCACGAGGCCCAAAGCTGCGGCCGAGACCCCTGCTAAGGCGAAGAGGGAGACCAAGAAGAAGGAGGAGGCAGCTAAGCCTAAGGAGCAGCCCAAGCCTGCTGAGCCAGTTGTGGAGGAGCTGCCCAAGAAGAGGCGCGGTAGGAAGTCCAAGGGTGCTGAGGAGGCTCCCGCATCTGCTCCGCCTGCGTCTTCTGCCCCCGAGCCTACCGAGACGCCTGTTGCTACTCCTGGGCCGGAGAAGAAGAGCAAGCGCAAGCGCAAGAGCGAGGGCGCGCAGGCTTAAGCTCCGAGATTTGCTTGATGTTTGCTTGAGTGGTCTGACAGCTTTCGGTCTCGCGTCGTCGGAGATGGTCTCATATTTTTGTATTGAATGACCTGGTGTGGTAAAAGTGTTGCTTTAGTCTGGTTTGGAAAGGGAACAGGGGGAGAGTTGCGAGCGAGTTTTCTCCATTGTTTCTTTCCGTTATCTGCGGGTTGTAACGTAGCCAAATCGAGAAGTGTTGTTTGTTTATATTGGTCAAGGAAGTCGAGATTAGCTTCAGACCGTTCTTATCGCAACCCCGCAATCAGCGTCGCGGATCATGATCAGATTGTGAGATGGGATTAGTCTCTAAAAAAAAAATGCCTCTGCTAGTGGCAATAGAGGTAGAATTGGGCGCTCAATCGGTCCCAGCTCGTCTTTCAAACGACAGTCGAATCTCTAGAGACCGTTCCTGCCGTCAAGATGCAGCTCTCGCCTAAGGAGGTTGTTGGACCCTGCCGTTTTCGAGCTTCCTGCAGCCGCCCGTGCTAATCATCACCGCCCGCCAGATCGACAAGCTCGTTATCTCGCAACTTGGCACGTTGGCCCAACGTCGCCTTGCGAGAGGAGTCAAATTGAATCATGCCGAAGCTACAGTATGTCTTCGTAGAATTGTTTGCTGTACCGCACTGACTCGGCGCAGGCGCTGATCGCGAACAACCTCCAAGAGGTACCGCCCAAGTCCCTACGCTCTAGCGCGCTTTATGGCTGAAACCTACATAGCTTGTTCGCGATGGCAGACACACCGTCGCCGACCTCATGTCCATTGGCAAGCAGATGCTTGGCCGCCGACACGTCCTTCCCTCTGTCCTGAGTTCGCTCGCGGAACTGCAGATCGAAGGCACTTTTCCCACGGGCACCTATCTCGTTACTGTACACCATCCTATAAGCTCTGACGACGGAGACCTCGAGAAGGCACTTTATGGCAGTTTCTTGCCTGTGCCGCCCAAAGACGTGTTTCCGCTGGCGGACCCGGAGGAGTACAGGCCGGAGCGACAGCCTGGCGCGGTCGTACCAGTAAAGAACAAGAGAATTGTATTGAACGAGGGTCGCAAGAGAATCAAACTCAGGGTTGTCAGCAAGGGAGACAGGCCGATTCAGGTACGGAACCTGTAGAACTGACTCACAGTTTGTGGCTGATCGAGGTGCAGGTCGGTTCGCACTATCACTTCATTGAAACGAACCCTCTCTTGGAGTTTGACCGGGTCCGCTCTCATGGATTCCGCCTTGATATACCCGCCGGTACCTCGGTCAGATTTGAGCCTGGCGACTCTAAAACGGTTACTCTGGTTCAAATCGCCGGCAATCAGGTTATCAAGGGCGGCAACGGCTTGGCGTCTGGTCACATTGGCGACTTGTCTATCGCGGAGAATATAGTTGGGCGCTTGCAGCAAGGAGGCTTCCTCCACAAGCCTGAGCCAATTGGTGATGCTGCGCACATCAACTTCGCTACCATGGATAGGCAGGCGTATGTGACCATGTTCGGACCCACGACTGGTGATCTCGTGCGTCTCGGTGCTACAGATCTCTGGATCAAGGTCGAAAAGGACTTTACGCACTATGGCGACGAGTGTTCTTTCGGTGGCGGCAAGTCCTTGCGTGAGGGCATGGGACAAGCTGGTGGTCGTTCCGATACGGACACTCTTGATACCGTCATCACCAATGCCTTGATCATTGACTGGAGCGGTATATACAAGGCTGACATTGGTATCAAAAACGGCATCATTGTTGGAATCGGCAAGGCTGGTAATCCAGATGTCATGCATGGCGTGCATCCTGATCTCATTATAGGCTCTTGCACCGATGTTGTTGCTGGAGAAGGGAAGATCATCACGGCTGGTGGATTTGACACCCATATCCATTTCATCTGTCCGCAGCAAGCAGAGGAAGCTATAGCTTCAGGCATCACTTCGATGCTTGGTGGAGGCACTGGACCAAGGTACGTTTTTGAGTACTGCAATGAACACATACTGATCGTTTTAGTACCGGAACAAATGCTACTACTTGCACTCCTGGCAAGACGCATATCCGCCAAATGCTGCAGGCTGTCGACCACTTACCACTCAACTTCGGTATCACTGGCAAGGGTAACGATGCAGAAATGAAGCCTCTCCGTGAGCAGTGTGAAGCCGGCGCAGTGGGCCTGAAGCTGCACGAAGATTGGGGCTCGACGCCTGCGGCCATTGATGCCTGTCTGAGCGTTTGCGACAAATACGACGTCCAGACGCTCATCCATACGGATACGCTCAACGAATCTGGTTTCGTCGAGCAGACCATCAAAGCCTTCAAGGGCCGGGCGATCCACACGTACCACACCGAAGGCGCTGGCGGCGGGCATGCCCCCGACATCATCTCGGTTGTTGAACACCCCAATGTCTTGCCCAGTTCCACTAACCCTACGCGTCCATTCACAAACAACACGCTTGACGAGCATCTGGACATGCTGATGGTGTGCCATCACCTCAGTCGCAACATCCCAGAAGATGTCGCGTTTGCGGAGTCTCGCATCCGTGCCGAGACCATTGCCGCCGAAGACGTTCTTCATGACCTCGGCGCCATCAGCATGATGTCGTCGGACTCGCAAGCCATGGGCCGCTGCGGCGAAGTGATTCTGCGGACATGGCACACGGCGCACAAGAACAAGGTGCAGCGCGGGCCTTTGCCCGAAGACAAGGGGACAGGCGCCGACAACTTCCGCGTCAAGCGCTACGTGTCCAAGTACACGATCAACCCGGCGCTGACGCAAGGCATGGGCCACCTGATGGGCAGCGTCGAGGTGGGCAAGCTGGCGGACCTGGTGCTCTGGAGCCCGGCCAACTTCGGCGTCAAGCCGCAGCTGGTCATGAAGAGCGGCATGATCGCGTGCGCGCAGATGGGCGACCCCAACGCCTCGATCCCCACCATCGAGCCCATCTACATGCGCCCCATGTTCGCGACCTTGGTGCCCAGCACCAGCGTGACGTGGGTGTCGCAGGCGAGCATCGACAGCGGCGCTGTCGCGGGCTATGGGCTCAAGAAGAGGGTCGAGGCTGTTAAGGGGTGCAGGACTGTTGGGAAGAAGGACATGAAGTTCAATGACTCGATGCCTAGGATGTCGGTCGATCCGGAAAGATATGTGAGTTTGCTCCTGCTCCTGCTCCTGGTGTTTGTTGTTACTGTGGGAGATGTGTTAATGTGCGGGACAGACTGTTGTGGCAGATGGGAAGCTGTGCACGGCGGAGCCGTCGGAGAGCTTGCCGTTGGCGCAGGCGTATTTCGTCTACTAGGTTTGGGTGGGATGAGGAAAGGGGTTCCCAGCCAGATTTGGTTACAATGTTTGGACTGGCTAGCAGCCTTGGACTGTTAATATTAGCGTTGGCTGCTTAGAAGGTTCCTCTCGTTATAACGGTAAAGACATGTGAAAGATTGCATATAAAATCTGAGATTGATCGTGAAGCCGTGATGCAAAGAATGGGTACTACTGATCTAAGCCGCTGGAAGCAAGCCACTCGCTCAAAAAATGCCCCCAAAGGCAATTATAATATCGTAAGCGCAACCCCTCGGCAGGCCACCTACTCCTCAAACCTGACATCACCCTTGCTAACATCGGGGTAAACATCGAACCTCCGCTGCGTATAGATCGGGATGCCCTTCCTGACCTCCTCGATGCGCTCACCCGTCAACTCGGCCACCAGAATCCCCTCCTTCTCATCCAGCTCGCCCAGCACCTCCGCATTCGGATCCACTACCATGCTATGGCCCCACGCATTATACTCGGCCTCCATATCGCGCGCGGGGCTACACAGCGCGACGTAGACCTGATTATCCATCGCACGCGCACGCGCCTGCAGGGACCAATGCAGCGCGCCCGTGGTAAGGTTAAACGCGCCAGGATAGAGGAGGGCAAACGCGCCCTTGCGGGCCGCGATCATCGCGAGCTCCGGGAAGCGGACATCGTAGCAGATGGCGACGGCGAGCGTGCCGTACTCGGGGAGCTCGACGAGCGTGACCTTGTTCCCGGGGTCCAGGGCGTCGGACTCGCGGAACTTGATCTTCCCCGGGATGTCGATGTCGAACAGATGCACCTTGCGGTGCGTGCCCAGCAGCGCGCCCGCCGGGCTGAACGTCAGCGACGTGTTGTACAGCTTCCCCGTCGCGGCGTCGCGCTCCGGAATGCTGCCGCCGACGACGTACGCCTGGGCTTCTTTGGCCATTGCTGCGAGCGCGTGCCAGCTGGGTGCGCTGTCGGCCGGGGGCGGCGAAGGGAGCAGCGCTTCGGCGTACTGTGGGAAGTGCTTCGTCCCGTAGGGCGAGTTGAAGCATTCGGGGAGCACGACGATCTTCGCGCCCCGTGATGCTGCTTCGAGCACTTTGCTGCGCGCCCGCGCCAGGTTGTCGGCTTTCGAGGCGCTGGTGGCGAGTTGCACGAGGGCGAGCTTGACGGGTTGCTTGAGGAGCTTGGACATTGTGGCGGTTGGGGGCGTGCGTGGCTGAGTTTTCGAATTGGCGTGGTAGATTGCGTGGCCTTTGAGGTGTGGTGGGTGTGAGGTTGTTGTGTGCGCAAAAGTGGGATGAATTGTTGATGTGATGACATGCGGAGTTAAGCTGCCGCTGTCGGAGGAGATCCCGAGGACCCCGCAGTGGGCTGTGGTGCCTGAGGCATCATAAGTGCAAGCAGACGACACCACGCGACAATTCACACCAAACCACAAATTGGTACACAGTAAAACCTGGTTAGAACATTTAAGTCGTTCAGCAATCCCTAACTCTCAAAAGGTAGCTCTCGGTATATCTGGCTAATACAGTCGTCAGCATCATGGACCTCTTACCCATAAGTCAATCAATCACCTTATAACCCAAAAGCCAAAAGAAGGGCAAACCAATTGCCAGTCACATCACACAACCCACGGCACAGATAGTAAGGAGTTTACAGCTATTCATTGGCGCAAGTACGCGAGATCGCAAGCAAAGAGAGAAAGCAACAGAAAGCTCAAACCCATCGGTCGTTCAACGACCGAGGTAGAAAGACGAAAAGCCAGAGAGTATTAGAGAAGCAAACAGAGAGAGTGTGTAAGCAAGTAAGCACCGAAGCCAGTAAACAAGAAAGAAAGAAGGAAAGAAAGGAATCAAGAAACAGGCACTAAACAAGCTCGCCAGCCATCCCGCGCGTCTCAATCCATCCAGTCCAGCCAGCAGAGATAGAGCCCGGTTCTCTCACGACCGTCAGCTAGCGGCGCTGCCGCTCATAGCTGACAGCTCGCGTATGGAGGCAGAAGGAGAGAGAGAAAAAAAAAAGCAGATTATATACCAAGCAAGGCCATAGACAAAGGAGGTAGCGTCGGTTCACTCACAGCCGCCATCCCGTAGCGTCGAGTTGCCCACCGAGGTCGCCGTGGCAAAGCAAGCTGTGCAGAAACATTCAAGTCATTGTGTTTTCTTCCATCTTTATCTTTTTTTCGTTGGACAGTCGTAGCAAATAATGTGGTGCATGCACCCACAGATGAATGTTAAGCTGTGACATTCGCCTGGAGTTTCCCTCTCAACTTTTCGAAAGCTAGGAAGAGGTTCAAGTGAAAAGAGTGGAAAGCCTCCAGGGCCGTGGTACAGTCTCAGACATGATCAATGTACCGTAGAAGTTGAGCCGGGGCGAATGTCGTAAGAGATGGTCATGATTCGTTGTGTGGCCGTTGTGGACTCTCACTGCCTCAAGGCGTGGAAGATACCCACGAAAATGGCGGAGACAATTGCAGCAACCGTGCCTATGATACCATAAGTGAGGGCAAAGCCCTTGTGGCCTTTACCGCATTGAGTGATCAAGCCGTTGGTGCGACGAATCATGACAGGGTCGAACATGCCAGCGCCGTATGCGACAGCGAGCGGAGGAAACCAGGCGCAGCACATGAAGAAGATAACCCAAGACTCGCGGTTCTTGAGGTCCGCGGTCATGGTGCAAGCCGAAGAGCGAGGCCGCGGAAGACGCTGCAGGACCGGTGTGTGGCCGCCGAAGCGAATATACCGTGGGTTAAGCGGAACCGCCGTGCTGTTGGACGTAGGACGTGACTCGTAGTGGTTGTAGGGTGCCGGGAAGAGCGATGACGCGTGCGTGTGATTGCTACGGATTGACTTGGCGCCCGGCGGCTGGATGCGTAGGCCTCTCAACTTATTCTGGCCGCTGACAGCAGGACGAGACATGGAAGCAGCACGCTGCTTTCCATGGCTGACAGGCATAGGCGGAGATGATACAGACATGGAACCGCTGCGCACTTGAGTTTTTGCCTCTTCGCGGAGCTTGAGAAGCGTCTCTTTATACTTCGAATGGCGATCTCCTCTGGAGGCCTCTGGGTTGGCATCGATGTGATCGCTGACGCCTGAGCTGTAGCGTGCTAGAGGCGACTGGTGTGAAGGACTAAAATGAGACTGAGGCGAACGAATATGAATGGGGGCAGGTGTCGACGAACTCGGCTGATCAGGTTGACTCGACCATGTGGGCTGAGGGGTACTGGAAGGAGCCAAGCTGCTTCCTACCTCACGCATGCTAGTGCCCATAGGTGTACCGGTGAGGTTGCCCTTGGGACCAAGAACGGTGAGCTTTTCGAACGAATTATCGCGATCAGGCTCCAATTCGCTCCTAGTACTGTTCAGTCCGGCATCTGGAGCGTCCGCAAAATCCCTGAAAAGCGTCTGGTTAGAGATCGAATCGTATGCGCCTGCGTGTGCTGCAGTCCTATTTTGAGGATTAGAGCCCTCCTCAACGATGCTGTCTCTCTGATCAAAATGGGCATTGGAAGTCCGCTTATCAGGGTTGAGAAAAGTGAGTTGGCTATCGTTCGGGAACCTGGGAATCGCAGGTGACAAACCAGGTGGAGGGGTATTGAAAGGATTGACGTGGTCTTCGTCCATCCGCTTGGGGGAGCTCCACGGATTCGTATTGGAATGCTTTACCGTGATCTCCGGTACCGGGCAGTTAGAAAAGTCAAACTTCGGGTCGAGTTCACCATCTCGCATGAGGTCATACAGCGAGACTTGCGGCTGCCTACCAACCATAGAGTTCATGCTGTCCGCAGCGGAGTGTAGAAAACTGTCCTCTCCGCGCTTTAGATGCGGCCTACTCGGTCCGATAGTCTCCCAGTCACCATCGGTGTCCTCGTCTTCGTTCCCGGCATCGGATTCTGGAACTTCGAATGCAAACTTCATCTGAGGCCCGGGAGAAGCTTTACGCCACATCATCGGAATGCCGCCTGAGCCAGGTTCAGGCTGGGTATGCTCGGCATTTGCTATGATAGCTTGCTTGCGTAGAGGGCTTGCCATAGACGTTTCCGAAGGAGTCACACGACCACCTTGGGTGCTCATTTGACGCGAAGGTGGAGGGCGGCTCTGAGAAGTCTTGCGAGGAGACGCGGTTTCGGACACCAAAAAGACATTTCTGTTTGAGTTGCTGCTATCATTTTGAGGGCTCACTTCGTCAAGGCCCTTTGCTTGAAAGCCGCTCGGAAGCTCACAATGATCCACTGCAGAGACCTTGCGAGCATCTAGGGCACGAGCCTCAGCAGCTTCATTGACCCTAGCAGGTGACCTTGCGTACGGATACCTCAGAGAAGTAGTGCTATTGGGAACAGACAGCTGTCCGAAGCTTTGCGAATCGAGGTTTCCTGAAATACCAAGCAACTTTCTCGTGTCACCGTACGAACCACGACGGGAAAGTTCACTCGAAACACCAGAAGCGTCCCGAAAGAAAGGAACCTGCGGCTGCAGGAGCTCAGTGGGAGAAGTCAGCTCAGGAAGAGGCACGACTGGAGGAGCACCTGCTGAGGCTCTGATGATTCCAGGAATCCGCGGAAAAGCGCCGTCTTCTGGGGTCTTTGGTCCTGGAGTGGTAGGACTTGATATCACACTGCCGCTGTGGTGACTGGCATGCTCCAGCCCAAAGTCGAACTGGCTTAGACCAGCCACGGGGGGTCGCAATGTGGCATGCGATGAGTGTTGGCTTGCGGCATGAGCATCTTGGTACGCGAGGTTTTCTTCGTGGAGGCGGATGAGATTTTCGAGGGACCCTTCAGTAACATTACCACTGTGTGTGTAGTCGTAATCGTTGATGATACTTCCGTAAGTCTGAGATCCGAGTGTGCTATCCTTCGGGTCTGGGTTTACTCCAAGAAAGTGCTGACTGGAATTAGGATAATATTGGCTGGCGCGCGGTGAGGTGACAAACTCGTAGGCGTATGATGTGATGTCGGCTTCACTTGAATAATCCGTCACGCGTTCCTTGACTCCAAACGGGACGCTTCGGCGATTTCCTGGGACATCAACGAACAAAGACTTCGTATCACCTGCGTGCGACTCAGTGGGATAGATTGAGGCTGCATCGTAATAATCGTAGTAGTTCTTCGGCGTTATCTCCGTATCGGATAAGGAGATGCGTGGATCCGGGACAGCCCTCTCTTCGTCTGGTACTACCACAGGCGCAGAGTACATGGTGCCAGCAAAAGCATTGCGATATCCCTTTGACAAACGCTTCCTTGGCATCGGTTTGAGCTCGGTAGAGCCTTCAAGAGCGGGCTCTTGGGAACCTCGATTCTTCCTGTTGAAAACCCGTTGAAGAAAAGACGGCGAATCGTCGGAATTCTGGGTAATGCGCGGCGATGGCATAGGCTCCGGCTCCAGTACATCCGGTATTTGGGTATAGGCTCCCCTGGGGCTCAGCATAGCGGGTGTGGGGGGCAGTGGCGCAGTTGGATACTGTTGGGCGACGATGCGAGCATTGTCGTGACCAGGCCTGCGAGTTGAACGAAGTGAGCCCGTCAATGAAGGGGGAGAAAGGTTGGGCTGCGACTCGGGCACGTCGTGCTTCGTTATAGAGGAGTAAGCCGCCGTTAAGTCGTTGTACAGCGGACGGACAGGCTTGTCTGGTGCAGAGAATGCCCTTTTGCCATTCTCGAACGAGCCTGGGCTCTCCATACCTGCTGGTAGCAGTGGTTCAAGCGAAGTTTTCCTATGATGGTAGTCATTGTGTTCTAAATCTTGGTCTTCCGGCGCTTCTAAAGTACAAAGATAAAGCGATTTATGAGGGTTCACCACGTCAAACGAGGCGCCTCTGAAGTGCAACACCGCCGGAGCGACCGGAGGGTTCTGCAGCAACGTTTAGGCTTCTGAGGAGCGCGTGTCTTAAGCGACACGAGAGAATTACTTGGAACTTACTTGGTTAAAGTTGTCAGGTGGCAAAGGAAACTGGAACTTGGAAAGGGTGAAGGTAGAAGTTTCCCTTAGACCCGCAGTTGCGAGCAAGTCCAGGCTTGAAGGCTCTGACGGAAGAGCCTGGCGGGAAGCGGGGCGGATCTCAACGTCTTTCGGTCGCGGAAGGCGCTTGCGTGACTTGAACAGAGTCTTCGAGTCGCAACTACGGGGAGATGGAGAGAGTGCGCCTTGAAAGCCGCGCGGCTTGTGCGAAGCGGGCGAAGCGGAGGCGTTGGTGATGTCGCGCGGAGGTGAGGATGGAGAAGGTAAGTCAAACGACGGGCTGTTGTCTGAAGGTGGAAGGACAGGTAACGATCGGAAGGAAGACAGGCGTAAAGATTGCCGATTGCCTGCGAACCGGTCTGACTGCGCGCGCCTGGTCGCTGGGAGCGAGACGACCGAGCAGTTGAAGTCTTGAGGGAACTGCTCGACCGTGTTCAGCGCGCGGGCGGCCGGCTTCCTCTTGAGACGGCGTCCGGTGGATGAGCCCGGCGTGCTCGGCGATGCTTGCTGCCTCCGATAGTCGTGCAAAGACAAAGAGTGGATTGGGGTGGGAGTTGGAGGTCGGGTTGAGTGGGAAGAGTGTTGTTGTGACGGCGTGGAGGAGGGGTAGAGAGAGAGCGGCGGGACTGCCATGACGCGCCGTTTGTTTACCACGGCCCTACGGGCAACAGCGGCAATACGCCTAATCTACGGTCTAAAGCTTACGCTTTCGTTGCCATGGCTTTCCCTCGCAACGCAGCACCCTGTCCGCAGGTTCCGTTTCCGGGTCGGTAGCGGGTCCGTGTGCACTGCAGGGACTGTTATTCCTCTACTTCTCCTTCCAATCAATCTGCCGCTTTCCATGCACTTACGCTGCACCAACGCCTTTGGATTCCTCGGCCCACACGTAGTACGCGATCTCTTTTAGGCACCACGCGAACCGTGGTGCGGCGAGTCCAGCTCGACTGAAGAGGAAGGCGTATCGCACGCGTTGAGAACCGGATATCGTCGGCGGAGTGGCCGTATGCTTTGCGCGATCGGCTTTTAAAGAGGCAGGAGAAGGCTGTAAGAATATTACAATTATGAAGGCTCAAGTCAATAACAACGAGCACACCAACACAGAGAGCGGAAGCTGCGACTGTCCAGGAACCAGTAGCAACGAGCAACGAAGAAAGAGAGGGAGATGAAAAGGAAAGTTTGTCGAAATCAGCCGCTGCCCTCGACCGGCAACTTAATCATATTTTCACTTCTCTGCCAAATCACCACTTCCCCGTCGTACATCATCTCTCGAACATGTGTGGTCTGTCTCCCCTGCCACGGCTGCCAGTGCATGGGCCGCACGCCACCACGGCCATCCAATCACCTCGCGCAGCCTGGTATAGAAGTCACGCCGCCCCGTTGCGACAAGAGACGGTGCCGAGTGCTGTCTGCCAATCGAGGCCCGTTTCGTGCGTTGCGGCAGCTAATGCGTGTCATCTGCACTGCCGGGGTTGCGCCAGCGCAGCCAATCCGCTGCTTTAAAGGGCTTGCCTTCACGAACGCCATCGTCTGCCTTTACGTAGAGAGAGCCACATGCTGGCGATCCCGGGGCTGTGGCCCTGGGTGCCTGGACGTTGGTTCGGCGGAGACCGATCGGAGGTTCCGGGAGTCGTGAGGGTAGAGTAGAAACGGGAGCGCAACGGCAGGCTGAAGGATCTGCCTCTTGGCTCGGCGGAAGGCTGAGCGAGCGATCGGCGAACCGTGACAACCTCCACTCTCCAGCACACCATCTCAACAGAAATTACCAGGGAAAAAATCAAGTTAATATGTACCCAGCAATATTCAAATGCAACCCGTCAAAGACAGATATCAGTGGCTTCAAAAGAATCAAATCAAAGCAAAATTAATCCAGCGTATATTCAACCAAACACCGCACCAATAGCACCCGGCCACGGTATCTTCAAAATCGACAAGACCAATTGAAAGCACCAAACCAAAGAACAAGACAGCAGAGCACGCCTACGAAGCCCAAACCCTTCCATGCACAGCCCAACAACCCCACTCTACTCCGTACTCCCCTCACTAACCACCGCGACATCATCCTCCTCCTCCGCCGCCGACTGATACACACTCTCACCCGGCCCGCCCGAAACGACATCCGCATAACTCGGCGGTGGCAAGACCTCGCCCCCCTTCTCGCCCTTGACCCACACGCTGCCCAGCTCCTCTTCGACCGCCTGTCTACGTGCCTTCCACTCCTCGACCATAGCCAGCCGCTCGCGCAGCTCAGCCAGCTCCTTCTCGACGCTGGATTTCTCGCTTGCAGTGCCGATGCGCTGGAAAGCCCATTCGTCGCCGTGCTCGCCCAGGCCGAGCGTCAACGTAAAGGTATGGTAGCGTTTGAGGGAGGCGCGGGTGGAGATTGTTATTAGTGCTGGAAGGGGTGTTAGCAATTTCATAAGTATGGGGCGTTTTGGGATGGGTGTAGAGGCGTACTGATGCCTTTTGCCTTTGCGTGCTCGTACAACAAGCCCTCGACATCACTGCTCACGGCACTCGTCCCCTCATCCACAAATGCGTACCGGGGCTCATGATACAGCAGCCGCGCAATCCCCATGCGCTGCTTCTCACCGCCGCTCAGTACGTCCTGCCACACCTTACGGGTATCCCACCCGCCCTCACGGTCAGGCAAATAACCCAACTTTGCCTCTTCCAGCACTGCACTGAGCTCGAAGTCACGGCGCCCAGCCGCGTTCATATCCACCGCCGTATGCGGGTAAATAACCTGGTCGCGTAGTGTCCCCGTACTCAGATATGGCCGTTGCGGCAGGAACATGATCCCATCCGTCCCGATGCTGCGCGGACGGCTCACAAGCCCCCGGTACGTGGGCCACAACCCCGCCACGATGCGCGAGACGGCGCTCTTACCGACGCCGTTAGGGCCTGTGATCAGGAGGTGCTCGCCGGAGTGGACGATGAAGGAGAGACTTTCGATGAGCTCGTCGCCGCCCATGGGGTAGAGCGAGGGTGCGACGACGGGGACGTGCTCGAGGCGCACACCGTCGAAGCCTTTGTGGATAGTGCCTTGGACGTCGGCGAGGGAGAAAAGTTCGGAGCGCTGGCCTTGCGGCGAGAAGTACGCGTCGGCGTGCGCGCGGTGTAGGGTGCTGATGAGCGTGTACACGCGCGAGGTGTAGCCCGCTAGCTCTTGCAAGTCTTTGATGCTGTACATCATGCGCCCGCCGGCGTCCGCAAGAGACAGCATGAGGCGTTTGTTCGTGATGAAATCTTTCATGCGGCTGCGTTCCCGGCCGCTCTTCTCGACCAGGTCGGATAGTTCGGAGACACCGCCGAGGCCTCCCCAGGCGGGTAAGAAGACGGGTAGTGAGGTGATGAGGTAGCCAAATGCAGACCAAGAATACTTGAGAATAAAGTCCTCAAGCATGTTGTAGCGGATCTTCAAGCTGTAGATGCCTTCCATCCAACCCTTGAGTTCTTTAAAGCCCTTGTCCAAGAAGGTACGCTCCATCTGGTCACCACCATAAAAAGCCACTTCTTCTGCATTTGCAATTAGCCTCGAATGCAGCGCGCGAAAGTCGCCTTCGCGCCTTCCCTCTACGGCTTTTAATTTGCCAAAGGGAGGTGATAGCCTGCGCAGCAGACTTGCTGTGCTAAGGTAGTTTACAAGGAGGCCGCCCAAAGCGAGGGGACCTAGTGAACGGAACAATTGGTAGTTGAAAAGACATATGTCAACAAAAGGCTTCCCGAGTGACGAATATAGCGATGCTGCGGCTGCACAGAACTGCGTGAGATCTTGTGTGATAAATTGATCTGCACCTTGTCCGATGCCTCCGTCAAGATTAGAGAGTTTGTAGTAGTTGAGATGGTCATTTAGATAAAGGTCGTGAACGTATCGGGTAAGCCGGGTCCGGAAAGCGATAGACACCTTTGACTGTAGGAACTTGATCATGGCGTTGGTGTACGAGGCGAAACTACCGATACCGCACCATTTCGCGATGCCCCAGAGGAAGGCCTTTCCGTTGCCGGCGACCAGATCTCGGACAATCTCTCCGTCAAGGCGCGCTACGACTAGTGAAAGATAAGTGCGCAGCATGAGGAAGACACCATGGCTCAGCAACAGCCCCGTTTCCTTGCTGTTCCATCTGGGTATCATGATGTTTAGCAAGCTCAGGAACTGGTGCAAAAAGGCCAAGTTCAGTCCTGGCTTCGTCTGCGGCGGCGGCACCTGCGGCGTATATCCATCGCTCAGCCCAGCAGCACGCGGCGGCTGGAGGAACAACCTCCGATGCGCATCGAAGGTCGTCGGCTTGGTCGGGTATATGGTCACTTTCGATGTCGAGTCGCGGTACGGCACGAAGATGGTGCGCGAGCCATCCTTCCCTCGTATGCCCGAGTTCCTGCGCAACAGCCGCCTTCCCTTCTCTTTCTCAGCCTTGCGACGCCGCCACCACTGGCTCGTCCCATAGCCAGCACCTATTATAGAGAGGAGAAGCGCGAGGGTGGATAGGAGCTTGGTTGTCTTGGAGATGTCCTTTGATCGCGCGCGGAGCTTGTCGGTATAGAGGGTCCAGAGGGCGAGGAGCGGGTCTTCGCTATGGCGAAGAGAGGACTGGGCGGCCATGGTGATGGTGCTTCATGGTACAGCGGGGCGGTGGGCGATCATAGCGGGGGGATCTTGAGGTAAGAGAGAGCTGAGGAGTGCATGGTGTAGCTGACAAGCTGAGTCGTGTGCCGCAGAGCCTCTGTGCCTCGGTCCATGTGAGAGCTATGACGCGCCTCCACACACTCCCCGGACTTTCCCCACATGTGCATTCGGCACCGACCCCCGACCCGGACGTGACAATGCATCTCTGGTGTTTCTTTGTTCTGAACAAGGCGAAAAATGACACTTGACGTGTTGGATGTCACTTGTCAGCTGTCAAGTCTCTTCCGCCGCCAAACGAACCCGAAAGTCACAAGAAATGGCGCCATCGCGAGCTGCAATATATAGATTCGCGCCGCACCCATCACCTAACTTGAGAACGTCTTCCACCCACTAGATGACCTGTTGAAATTTGGAAGATGATACCAGTTCTTTGACCATCATACAATGCTGATTGTTTGTAATACCAAGCAACTTTTATCTTTCTCAGCCTCAGATCAAGCAAAACCTACTATATCAAAATCATATACAGACTATTTCGCAGATTATTCTTCCAGTCCACTCTCATTTTCATCCAAAGTCTTCCATCCATATCAAATGGGAATTCCTAGTTCCCCGTTCCGCGCTCTCCCGCCCAACTTTGACGATCTCGGGCACTGCACGGCCTCCCCGACGTCCCTGCGGGATCCCACACGAATAACACCACCACATCCCGAATCTAGGCCTTCAAGGCATCTCAAATCACTATCGGGCTTCTAACTGGTATGGATCGATGTGTCGTTTATAGAACACTATGGAGTCGAAGAAAATATGCTCAATGGCCGGATTAGACACCGCACAAACACAGCGAATGGCCAAAAGCAATCGTGTTCACTACCAAAGCCATCAATCTGGCCGGAACATTCTTGGGGTAAACGGAACAACCAAGTGTCCAACAGTCTCCATTATTTTACTATTGATGGCAGAAAGAGATGGAGTTTACTTTCGGGGGGAATATCCCCGAACTTGTTCAACTGCCACGCGGGATTTACTCATACACAGTAGTCCGGTCATAAATCAACACTTCGCACACAGCACCCTCCACCCAAACCAACATCAACAGCTCCTCAGCCCATCACTTCACAAAAAGCACCAAACAAAATGCACGTCACCGCACTCATCCCACTTTCTCTCCTCTCCTTCCTCTCCCTCACCAATGCCACCATCCAACCCAACCAATTCGGCCTCATCGGCCCGCAAAACATGATGCTGATGCTCAACAGCTTCCAATTCATCTCCGGGCACACGGGTTAGTACTTGCAAGCAAACCACCACTGCGTCATCATGGCCGACGTCGAGAGCGGGCTGCTGACGGAGCCGGGGATGCCAGCGAGGGTGGACGACGAAGTCATGAAGATCCTGGCTGATAGCTATGGCAAGATACGTTGCTCCCAGCCCTTCTCTCTCTCACTCACTATAGGGAAGAACCGGACGGACCAAAGACACGACGCAACGAGTCACTAACGCGGCTTACCAGACAGTCCGCACCTGGCGCTACGACCAGAAGAACAACACGCTTCCACTGGGCATCCCGGAGCTCGTGAACGGGTATACGTAGGACGGGCAGCTGGGGCAGGGTGTTGTCAACGCGCGCGACGAGTACTTTGAGCTTAACTCGCCGGAGGTCAGACAGCGTCACAGGGAGCACAATGTCTCGGTTCCGGCCGTGCAGAGGGTGCGGATGTCTGGAAGAAGGAAGTCGTGCTGACGCTCGAGCTGAAGAATACGACAAGTGGTTCGCATTTTGCTGGGCTTGAGGAAGGGGTGAAGGGTTGACTGTTTAGGAGAGGGAGGAGCAGGGGGAGTAGGATGGGATTGCGGATGGGGTGGTGTTTGTGGCTTGGGAGAGGGTTGGATATGCGTAGTGTTGTTTACGAGTTGAAAGGTTGATGGCTGGTGTTGAGACATATGTGTGGTGGCCCCGGATGATTTGCCTGCCCCTTACCTACATATTAAGTGAAATCTACGATACCTAGAGAGAACTCCTTAGGTGGTTGTAATAGACCATCACGCTACAGCTATTGGGCACTATATAATTACATAAAAGCAAGAAGATACTAGGTATAATAATATTCAAAAAGATATAAGAGTAAGAATATATAGTTGCTAGAGTATTCCACGAAAGTACGAAAAGAAAATATTCTAAGGGTATAAGAGTACTTGGAAAGGTATAATGATATAAGCCATCTAAGAGTAGAAGGTTTGCCATATAGTTTTGCAGATATGTTATCACGAGGGGCGGGCAAAATATCTAGAGGGGGTATACAAATTATCTAGTGTTTTACTGAGGAGCGCATGAACAAGCAAAATCAACCTTATTAAGTCCATTTCTTCATTAGTCAAGGGCAATTAATTAGAGGAGGTGGTTGACAGGCATAAATATTTGTTTGGACACTCGTTTTTTCTGTGCTAATAACAGGCAGTGTTTGGGTATAAGCATAACAGCCCCAGAGCTTGTCGATAGGATCAGGTAGAATCTTCACGTCGTTCAAAGCGTCCTTCGGATTGATATCCAGCCTGTCGTAGGCTTTAATCTGACCTCAGTGATGTCCCAGCCTCTTGCATCGTTTCAACAACCCTGCTCAGCAAAGCCTCCGACCCCTCGCCTTCGGATGCACATGATAAGCGCAACGATCCACAACATTGAACTCCATACGGGTAAGTACGGGGCGAATAGACGCGGGCTTACAAGCCGCAGCATCGAGATCCTCGAGGAAGTCTGGCGTCTGGGCCGCGACATCGAGGCACTTGACAGCGTCGAGATCGCGTCGTGTGCGCAGCACGAGATCGACAACGAATCTGCGAATGACGGACCGCGGAGCCGTACTCTCGTACACGAAGCCCACGGCCGCGAACGGGAACTGCCACGTGTAGGCCGCGAGCTCGAACAGCGCATCCGTCGCCGCGTTCTGGAGCGCCGCGACGCCGCGCACGTCGGCAAATATGCACAGCGCGAACAGGTGCGTGTATTCCTCGAGTAGCTTCGTGCTGTTGTTGTACTCTTTCACGCTCAGTGTCGATACCCGTCGCGTGTACAACCAGTTGAGAAACGCTTCCACGATTACCGGGTCTTCGTCTGGCAGATGACATATCCCTGTCGTGCTCTCTAGGAAGCCGCCTTCGTACGCTGCCCGGAAAAATGTCGAGTGGTGGCAGATCAGCCCGCGGTGCACTGGAAATTCTTGTCTGCTTTCGCCGACGATTAGGAGAACGATGGGCCCGTAGTTATTGCTGCGAGCGTGTCAGGTAGCGTGTATATAGGCATAGGTTGTTTATTGGATAGGCAGTCAACTTACAAAGGCGGGGAGGCGTTCAGAGCTTGTGCGTGAGGACAATTGCTTAGACAGCGATAGACTCTTTTTACGGTAGGCGCCATTTTTGCTTTTTCCTGGCGCGGTCTGAAGGTTGGTGGACATGCTGGGTCTAAGGTAAGAAATGATGGCAGCAGTACTGGCGGCGACGGCGACGGCGGTATTGGCGACATGGGGGTGTGAAGGTGTGGATGTTTGAACGGTGACAGAAGCAGAAGAACGGATGGAGAATTTAGGTAGTGAGGTGAGTGGGAACGACACAGGTACGGGGAAGGAAGTCGCGTGGCGGTTGTTCCAGGGTACGAGGGTACATGGAGCTAGTCGTGCGTGTCGTCCATGTCATAACCTATACTTATTCTTCTGACAACTAGTCGCGCGTGTATTGTCATGATGTTTCCAACGGCGCGAATGTATTCCGTGACAACTCCATTGCGCACCTTTTCCGCCTAGAAAAACTTAAGAAATTGCGCAACAATAACCCATATGGGAATCAATAGCCTCGACACATCTACTCGTCATCTTCCTCATCATCAACGTCCATACCGTCCACCTCGTCCTCGCTGTCACTGCCTGCTTCCTCAAAGCCCTCAAATGTTCCTTTCCTCTCCTTATCCTTCTCATCCCGCTCCTCCTTCTTCTTCTCTTCCTCCTCTCTGCGGCCCTCTTCCACCAACTTGGCCTTCTCCTCCCTGACCTTCCTCTGGCCGACCACATACGCGCCCAACGGCGTCTTTTCCCACTCGGTCTCCTTGAGGAAGCCCTCGACACCCGCGCGGTTGTTCGGCGCAAATTCAACCTTGACGCGGCGCTCCTCGATCCAGCGAGAGTTGGTCTCGAGCTTTTGCACAATGAGCCCGATCAGGGTGTTAACCTTGCCGTTCTTGTTGCCAGACGTCTTGTTGGTGACGTCCTTCAGCCAGCGCTTCAGCATGACAATCACCGGCAGTGCCAGCTCGGGAAAGGCGATGTTCTTGGACCAAAGTACGAAAAACTCGGAGAGCAACTCCGCAACCTGTTCGCCAACACCGTCTTGGTATATGCGCGTACGCAGATACGATTTCGCGGCACGGATGCTGGTCGTGAAGTCGAGCGCTTTGAGCGTGCTGGGTTTGGGCGGCTTCCTCATCTCCGCAGAGTTAAGGACCTCGTAGAGAGCTGGCGCGACAGGGATGTAAGTAGAGGTGGAAAGCGAAATGCGCAGCAGGGAGCGGATGAGCTGGAAGCGGAGAGGGAAGTACTGCGCCGTAGGGATAAGACGCATAGCACCGATCGTAACCTGGACGACGGGGTAGATGAGCGGGCGGAGAGGGGATTCCTTTCCGGACTCGGCCTCGCGAAGGGTATCACACTGGCTGGCGACGACACGGGACCAGAAATCAAGAGAGTGAACGTATTGCCAGTTGTAGACCGTCTTGTAGGACTCCTTGGACTTGTTGGTGATGCTTGACCGCAGGTGGATCGCAAGCTGGCGAATGAAGGTAAAACCGGTAGTGTAGCCAATGTTCGGATCCAGACCCCAAAGCTCGGCCGCAGAATTCTTCATCAGGTTGACACCGGCAAGCGTGTGCACAGTGGTGTTGCGAGATCCCTTGACAAATCCCTGGTACACGGTTTTGAGGGTAGATTCCTTGATACCGGCATCGCCAATGACGACGAGCCTACGGAGCACAAGGAAGGCAGCGATCCGGCTAGCTTCGTTGTTCGACGAGTCTGACCAAATATCAACGACGACCTTGGCGAGGTCGCGGATGAGTTTTTTGAAGGAAAGAATATACGGCAAGAGAGGGAGGAGAGACGACAATGTAATGCGAATGGTAGCCGCGTCAGACAGGTTTTCGAGGAGGTGAAGGAGAGAGGTTGCATGAGATTTTAGCATAGGGGTAAGAGTGCGGAACTTCTTAGTTTCCGTTGGAACGCGACTGGCGATCGTTAGTATCACAGAAAACCAGGCGAGCAAAGAATTGGAGCGGTCTCTTACACTTTTCCAGCAGCAGTTTCCTTGACGGGCAGATGGTGTTGAAGAACCTCTGGAACCTTGTTGAGTGCCAGTAGAAGCAACTCATGGTAGGCATTGGGATTCGATATAGAGTACTTGTACTCCTTGCCATCTTCCTCATTCAAATGCGCAGCTGCACGGAAGGCCAGAACAACCTCCTTCATGGCGCGCATAGAGTGCTTCTCAGTCATGGCATTCCGCCACTTCTTGAGCATAGGCTTCGTGACTTCATTTCCGGACTCAGGTTCCTCGTCAGACTCGACCTCCTCCTTCTTAGCCTTCTTGTCTTTCTTCTGCTTCTTCTTAGGAGTCTCTTCGTCCTCGCTTGCGCTCAGTGCGTCCAACTCGCCCAAATCTGCATCCTCGGCGAAGTCGAGAAGTTCCGGGTCGTTCTCCTTCATGTACTTGTAGAACTCCGGGTCCTTGTTCTTGAGCTCCTCCAAATGCTGCTTGTGCGAATCGAAATCGTCTCCAGACTCGGCCTCGGAGTCGTCATCCGCCACAGGTTGCGCCTCGACAGACTCGTCCGACGAAGATGCAGCCCCTTCGTCATCCTTGGCAGTATCGGTGCGCTTCCTCTTTCCATTCGTCGTGGGGGCGTCCTTGGCTTTCGAGGCCTTCTTGGATTTGGGCTCCTCCGGAATGTCGAAGCCGCCTTGGAAGAAGTCATCGATGCTCATATCACCGAAAGGGTTCGCATTCGCATCCTTTGACTTCTTCGCGCGCTTCGCTTGCTGTTCCTCTTCGACATCGCTGGCGACCTCGTTGTCTTCTGCCTTCCTGGCCTTGCGCTTTTCCTTGAGCAACTGCTTCTGCTTGATCTTCCGGGACTCGTTGCGGCGCTTGAGGGTATCTTTCAGGTGGTTCTTTTCGAACTTCTTAGTCGCCTTGCTTTGCGCCATGGTGAATCGTGTCGATAAGCGTTGTCGAATGTACGGGCAGGTTGCACGGCGGACTTTGGGAAATTTTGTGACTAGCGCATCTAAAGATCCCTGTCGGGCTTGGCATTGCGGAGGACGAAGGCCGCCGATTTGCGACTGCACGAGCAACTCCACATGTACTTGAGAGCACTCGGTTGCGGAAGTATTCTTATAACCTCCGCACCAATGGCAGTCTACATTTCAAAAAGGTTCAAAGAAATTCTTGCCCTGTCGTCGTCTGATGTATGCTCTATTCCGTACGTTTGTATGATTGGTCCGCTGCACGCGGAAGGCGGTCAGCATGTACAACATGACTAAGTTCGGAAGCTCTCAAGCTCTCTCAACTCCGACGACATCACCATCATCCATTTTCCCCACCACCCATGACGATACGCCCAGCGCCCGGTGTTGTTTATGTCTATCCCTTACAATGTTACGTTTACTAGTACCTCTCGCCTCAATCATCAATCTTGATGATGGGAGTCAATTCTAGCAACGTACTGCCGACCGAGGACTTTACGGAACCGCGACGATGGGAGGTCAAGCTCTCTACCAACATCGGCCATGAGATCGGGTGAACAAAGACATGGATGAGATGCCCGGAGACAAAGGCAAGGTCACTCAGTAGCTGGTTACGCTCGATGCGATGAAGGCAGCGAATAAATTGTCGAGGGCCTGGCCAAAGAATTTTCATTTTATATGAACCAGGCCTACTTGTACCACGAATTCAGGACAGTTTTGAATAAGAACTGCGCCGGAGGCTACCCGAAGATGGAGACCGTCGTTTACCATGAACTGGCTTGGTCTGGACTCTTTCGGACCGGCAGCGGCAAAGACACTCGGCGCCTCGGCGCATTGGCCATGACCCTACTTTTCCCCATGAGCGCCTCCGACAATCGCGGTGTCCCCTGCGCCTCGCTCCCAAGCAAGCAAACATGGAAGGTGAAGACAGAGAACAGAACGAGGAAGTCCTCCACGGTATGGGAACTTACTATCCCCCTCATCAAAGCCCCAGCTAACACGGTAATTCAGTGCTGGACCTTCCGCAACTTTACACAAAGCCTTCAGCGCAAGAGCTTCTGAACACTCTGACCCTGCTGACCTCTGAGCCGCCCTCTTGGGAAGGAAGCGATACCGAAGATGGCGATGAGTCCCCTCCGATAGTCAAGGCTATGCGGCGACAAAGCATCAGCGTTGCCAAAGCCCGGCCAATCCAGATCAACCCGGAAGGCCTGACCTCATACCTCACACGAATCATCGCAAGCGAACTTCGGTGGATCGAGGACGATTCAGTCAAGGAGGAGATCTGGGAAGCGGCTAGTATTCGCCTGAGCGAGCGTTCCGGTCGTACCGCCATGCCGGCCATGACGCGGACCTTTCGCATCCCTCCTTCCAAGGATGAAGTGAGCGAGGAACTTCAGATCCACGAGCCCTCTATGACGGCAGATAATCTCGGACTGAAGACTTGGGCATCATCTTACCTGCTGGCGAGGCGTCTACATATATTGGCTGACGACCATGCAAGTCTCCCAAAAGTGGACGGCAAGAGACGTTTCATACTCGAGCTCGGATCTGGAACTGGACTTGTAGGCCTGGCTGCTTCGATGGTTATGGGAACGGAAGTCATCTTGACCGACTTGCCTGAAATCGTAGAGAATTTGGATCGCAACGCGCTTACCAACCTGGAAGTCCTTGAGAAACACAATGGAACGGCTCATGCGGCAATCTTGGACTGGACTACGCCCTCGACCATGACGCTTTCGGCTGGTGCCGTTAAGGATGCTGACTACCAGGACGGGACCAAGTTCGACATTATCCTCGCGGCTGATCCACTGTACTCACCAGAGCACCCGGCACTACTTGTACAGACCATGGAATACTGGCTTGCAAGACACGATGATGCGCGGATCATTGTCGAGCTGCCTTTACGCTCCGCGTATCGTCCGGTCGTCGAGGACTTCTTCTCTAAGATGCAAAGGATTGGGCTTAAGATTTGTAATGAGGGCTACGAAACGGGCGTCGACGACTGGGGTAGCCAGGGCGACCGTACGGCGGTGCGTTGCTGGTGGACGGTGTGGGGCTGGAACACGCCCCAGGCCAGCGAAGCACACACGGTAGAGCACGACGAGGTTGCAGTCAAGGCGGGGAATATGGACGACTCGCACAAGGAATTGCTGGCTGAATTTGCGAGACTTGACGAGTAGACGGATGCATGAGCTGGACTAGAATTGGTCTCACGACAGAACGCTGCTTATGAACGGACGGAGTTAATTTTTTGGAGTCATCTGATAGATGCATAGACTGCATAGAGCAGAGCACAACAGCTAGCTATAGATCTAGAATCGGCATGAAGCCATGGACATTGCAGACTCAGACCACAATCTCTCGAACACGGCCGGTTAAATGGGCGGGTAAAGCGGACGAATTTGACCGACGGGCGAGCCCCACGTCCTTTCGTCACTCGCTCATGAGGAGCTCGAGTACCCCCGCCTGCTGAACAAGATGAATGAAATGACGCCCCCGTCGCTGCGCCGCCTCGCACTTTTCTCTCCCTGACCTCCCTACTCCTTTTCTCCTCCCTCCAATTCATACCATCCAGCATTGATTCAATTGATTGCAGCAAACATGGCCAAGGTGCGCACTCGCTCGGCACACCTTCCCTCCCCGCCAAAGCCTCCCCCGCAATCCACTGGCACACCGACAGCTGACAACACGACGCGCAGAACCTCTCTTTCGTCCTTGAGAAGCCCGGCAGCGTCAAGTACGAGGACCGCCCTGTCCCGGAACTCAAGTCTGAGCACGACGTCATCGTGAGCTTCGCTTAACCAAAGAGCTCGCAGCGCGACGCTGACACCGAAACCCAGGTCAATGTCAAGTACACCGGAATCTGCGGCAGCGATGTAAGTGCGCTTCTTTCGCAAGAGGACGCGGGCGAAGACTGACGCGGCTTCACAGGTCCACTACTGGGTCGAGGGGCGGATCGGCAACTTTGTGGTGGAGAAGCCAATGGTGCTGGGGCACGAGTCGGCGGGGGTGATCCACAGCGTGGGGAGCGCGGTGAAGACGCTGAAGCCCGGTGACGAGGTCGCGATGGAGCCGGGCATTCCGTGCCGCCGTTGCGGTTTCTGCCGCGCAGGCGACTACAACCTTTGCCCGGACATGGCGTTCGCGGCCACGCCGCCTTATGACGGCTCTCTCGCAAAGTACTACAGCTTGCCCGAGGACTTCTGCTACAAGCTGCCGAAGGGAGTGAGCTTGGAGGAGGGTGCGCTCGTGGAGCCGGCGAGCGTTGCTGTGCACATCTGCCGCATGGCGCAGGTCAAGCCCGGCGCGTCGGTCGTCGTGTTTGGCGCGGGTCCCATCGGTCTGCTGTGCTGCAAGGTCGCGCGCGACGTCTTTGGCGCTGCGAAGACTGTATCTGTCGATGTCAACGAGGACCGCCTCCAGTTCGCCCAGGGCTACTCTGCCACCCACGTCTTCCGCAGCCAGAAGGCATCGCCGGAGGAGAACGCGGCCCGCATGATCCAGGAGTGCGAACTCGGTCCCGGTGCGGACGTCGTCATCGATGCTACGGGCGCTGAGCCCTGCATCCAGATGGCTGTGCATGTCGCTCGCGCCGGTGGTCACTTCACCCAGGGCGGTATGGGCAAGGTAAGCGCTTTCCTTTCCACTACTCCAGCGGATCTTTCCGTGGTAGTCTGTCCAGCAAGTAGACCAGAAAGCGCTAACAGCTGCACTCATAGCCCGACATTACGTTCCCCATTGTCGCCATGTGCGCCAAGGAACTCACCATCACGGGCAGCTTCCGCTACAGTGCCGGCGATTACGCACTCGCGGTGCAGATGATTGGTCTGGGCCGTCTCAGCGTCAAGGAGCTTATCACCAAGAAGGTCAAGTTTGAGGACGCCGAGGAGGCCTTTTCCAACGTCAAGCAGGGCAAGGGCATCAAGTGGCTCATTGCTGGGCCCGAGTAAGGTGCAGGTCGCCCCCACACGAGGCGTTGAGGCGTGAGGTTTGATGAGTGATGAGTGACGAGCATGATGAGAGAGCATGTGATTGGTTACGGCCGCGGAGCAGCAGGCTGCTGGCGTTGAGGTGAGCGCACCGTAATGAAGAACGGATGTGGGCGCGATGAAAATAAAGTACTTGGTAGTTAAATACGAAGCAAAAGAAAATGATCTAGGGGTGTTTATCCTCCAACATAGTACCCGAAGACTCACGAAACTCTCCGCCGCCGCCCGTGCACGACCGACGTCGACCCCACGACGCCGATCACCGCGCGCGCAACACGTCCAACTCCAACACCCCACCAGCAAAGCACCTTAACCACAACCACAACCACAACGACAGCCCCAAACAACAACAAACGACAATGCCCCCCCGCGGCAAACTCATCGCCTTCGAAGGCCTCGACCGCGCCGGCAAATCGACGCAAGTCGCGCGCCTAGCCACAACACTGCGCGCACAAGGCCACAGCGTACGCCAGCTGCGCTTCCCAGACCGGAGCACGCCGATCGGGCAGCTGATCGACGCGTACCTGCGCGGCGAGCGGGAGCTGAACGACCGCGTCGCGCATCTGCTGTTTAGCGCGAATCGGTGGGAGCTGGTGTGCGTGTTTGCCCGGAGGGAAGGAGGAGGGTGTACACCGGGTGTAGGGGGAATAATTTGCTAATGTTGTGCGTGCTTTACTACAGCGATACGATCCTCGCCGCGCTCGCGGCTGGCGAAACCGTCATCCTTGATCGGTATTACTATTCTGGGCTGGTGTACACGCTCGCGAAAACCACCAAAGACACCACAACTTCACCAACCCCCACCGCCCCCACCCCCCCAGCAATCACCCCCGCCTGGGCCCTCTCCCCCGACACCGCCCTCCCTAGGCCGGACCTCGTGCTCTTCCTGTCCATCAGCGCCGCCGCCGCCGCCGAACGCGCCAACTACGGCGCCGAGCGCTTCGAGGAGCACGGCATGCAGGCGCGGGTGCGCGCGCTGTTTGGGGCGCTGATGCGGGCGGGGCCCGAGGGCGCTGACTTTGTTGAGGTGGATGCCGCGGGCGGGGAGGAGGAGGTCGCGGAAAGGGTGAGGGGGGAGGTGGAGAGGGTTTTTACGGAGGTGGATGAGAGGGGGGTGGGGGTGAGGTGGGTGGGTGCGGAGGAGGGAGGGGCGCTGGAGGGGGTGCTGGCGGAGCGGGAGCGGGGGGCGGGCGTGTGAGTGCTGGGCGCTCTGGCGATAAGGCTGGGTGGGAGGAGCGTGTGCTCGAGAGCGGCCTGCGATGCGGGGGTTGGCGCTGCGGGCAGGCTGTCATGCATGGGTAGGCTCAAGGACTTGGCCGGAGGTTTGGGGGATTGGAAGGGAAGGCCGACTGCGATTGGGCTGGACGAGCAGCTTCTCCTCTGGGCGTGTCTCTGATGCCGCTGATCGACAGCCACAACGGCTGCATTAACAACAATGGCAGCAATCCGCGCGCATCCATGCAGTCACTTCCAACGCCCCCTCCCAGCAACAAGCAATGTACGAGTAGGGAGGCGAGGTAAGCAGGCCTCCTCCCACGATAACGACGACACGCCATCATTCTCGAACGAAATTCATATGCCTGTCTCTTCTATTCGTTAGGTACACCCACCGTCCGGCTGGACCCATAGGGCAGCCATGCGTATTAGAGAAAAAAGGGGAAGAAGGGGAAAAAAAAAACTAGCAAAACTTACCAGTGCTCCGCTGCATGGCTTCTATCTACTGCACTGTCTGGGCACCGTCTCCTAAGCCCTGTCTGATATGTGCCGTCTTTTTTTTGCGCGGTAAGGGAGGGAGCTTCGTGCCGTTGCCCTGCAGGCACGCCGTGCTTCCCCCCCGCCGACTTCTTCGAGCGCCCGCGCCGCGAAAAAGATCGCTACCCATATAGCGAAGACGTCTGCCCCCCATCCGTTTTTTGCCCGTGTAACCATCCCACCACCGCCGCCACCTAGCTCGCGTCGGCCCAGCTCTTGCGCAGTTCCTCCAGCTCCTCAGCCGAAGCGCCGCCCGCCTTCGCCTCGTCAAACCTGACCTTGCGCTCGCGCGCAATCTTGACGACCCGGTTCCCGTTCCCCAACGCATCCTCACACGCCGCCTCGCGGGCCTTGGCCATACTGCCGCCCTCGCCGCGGCCGATCTCCGTGGGCGGGAAGCCCCAGCCCTCCATGATGGCGGCGAGATAGCAGCACTGGCGGCCAGGGCCATACTTGGTATCCATGGGCTTGTACGGCTGATACGAGACCTTCATGCGCTGGCCGCCCAGGAACGTGTTCAAGCGGGCCGCGGCATTGGAGCGGGGCTTCGGTGGCACGAAAGCCTTGAAGACGGGCTCCCACAGCGCCTCCAGCCAGGCCTCGATCAGGGGGCCGCCTTGCGTCGTGCCGTGCGAGAGCACGACTGCCGCGACGTACGCCTCGAAGACGTCGCCGCAGATCTTGGCCCACTTGTCCGTGGCGACGAGGGCGGCGCGCTGGGCCGCCGAGTTGAAGGCCACGCGCGAGGGGAAGCCGTACAGCTTGCTCAGCGCGCAGAGCGTTGCGTTGCGGACTAGTGACTCGCGCAGCGCGGACATGGTGCCTACGGGGAGGGTGGGGAAGCGCGTGAAGATGGCTTTGGTGGCTGCGGTCTCGATGTACGCGTCGCCGAGCCATTCGAGCCGCTCGTACGACTGCAGTGCCATGGACGGGTTGTCGGGCACCGTGCTGCTGTGCGTGAAGACTTGGGTTTCGAGCGCGGGGTCGAGGACGGGTGGGAGCGGTGGGGGCGAGCCTGTGCGCTGTGTTAAACGCGGAATGACGCTGCTGAGGAATTGGCGGAGGTAGGCAGGGGTGATGCTACTTTCAAAGTACTTGTCGTACGGAATTGGCGTTGCGCTGCTGTCGCCCTTCTCTGTCGCCGACTCCGTCTGCTGCTGGTGCTGAGCTTGCCCGGCCTTGCCGTTCTGGCTGTGCTTCCCTCCGCCCTTGTGCTTCTTCGCCGAGTGGTGGTTGGCGGAGTGGTCGTGGGCACCACCGTCGCGGCCGCGCTTGTGGCCCGCGTTGTTCATGGTTGCGATGCTGCGGAGTGAAAGGATGGTACAAGAGGCGCGGGAGCGCGGCGATTTCGGAAAGGCAGAGGCGCAGGCGCTGCGACGTGCGGCGAGGTTGTGCGGGGTGCACAAAAAAAAAAAAGTTGCGATGGACAGCGGCGGAGGCGGAAGAGCAAGGGTACGGAGCTTGAGCTGGAGCCGGTGCGCTAGTACGCAGCTGCTCGTACCTCACTACCTACCTCGTTCTCCACGCCCACATATAATGACGTCTCCGGGAGCGCGGTTCGTATAGGACGAGGTCGAAGACAAGTGATGCAGTTGGTTTCAATGGAGGCGGGACAATTTCAAATTCCATCGTTGGATATCCTACTGTATCCCCTCCAAACGCCGTCGCCAATGCTAGGTACTTGAGATAGAAAGAAAAAAGCAAAATAAAGAAAAACTGAAACCACTCCCATGTTTTTTTATTCCTGTCTCCCTCTACTTCGAAGACTCGGCCGTCTTCTTCTTTTTCTTCTTCTCCCCGCCATCCTCGTCCCTCTTCCGCTTCTTCTTCTCCTTGACGTTTTCCTCGGGCGCAACAAAGTCCTTCTCGCGCTCCTTCCGCTTCTGCTCCATCTTGGTCTTCATCGCATCCTCCCTCCTCTCCTTTTCCTTGCGCTCCTTGGCCTGCTTCCCGAGGAAGTACTCGCCGCTCTCGATCTGCAGGTCGACCTTGCTCTTCTCCTGGGGCGGCGGGAAGGGCGTGTAGACCTTCTTGCTCTTGTCCGTGACCTTGAAGGGCGTCCTGCGCTTCGACGTGTGGCGCTTCTTGAAGTGGGGAAGGAAGCGTTCCCAGTTCTCGTTGGCAAGCTCCGGGTCCTTTGCGAGCTCGCGCTTGATCATCAGCTCCTTGATGTGGTAGATTGGGTGGATGTTGGCCATGCAGTCTTCCACGACGCGGCGCACTTCCTTCAGGCCCTTGTAGCCGCCCATGCACGACACCGTGTTGCCCTGCACCAGAATGTAGCAGCCCGTGAGCAGCTCCAGCGCCTTCAGCGTGCTCCCGTCCGGCCCGAGAATGCGTTGCCGCCGCTTGACGAAGCGCTCCTTGTTGCGCACCAAGTTGCGGACCTTGATGACGTCGCACGCCACGCCGTCGTCGAGGATCTTTATCGCTTGCGGCGCAGGCACGCTACGCGCCAGCAGCTTGATCAGGTCTCGCGCGTTGAGAATGGCAGCAGGATCGTAGGTTTTGCGCGTCGTCTTGACCGTCATGGAACCCTCGACCAAGTCCAGGGTACACGCGATGCCGAGCTTCTCCAGAGAGCGCGTGATGAGCGGCCATGCTTCGCGCAAGTAAACTTCGCGATACTTGGGGAAGAGGGTTGCGAAAGAAGATTCCTCGGTGAAGGTGCCGCCCAGGTTATCCTCGGGCTTGAAGACATCGACCTGCAGAGGTTAGCATAGGCGCGGGGAAAAACAAAAGAAAAAGGCAAGAGAAGACGTACCTTCCACTTGTCAATGTCATCGGTATCCCAGGGCTTTTCCGTGTTGTGAGTGGAGGGCATGGTGAAGCGTGTCGGATCTGCGGCGTTCTAAAAAAAATGTCGGAGAAGGGCGAGAAAGGTGTTGCTCGCAGCAAGCGGCAAAAAGTCACGCTAGCAGTCTGTCACGAGTCATTCATTCAACGTCCCTGCCCGGGAGGTCACCATGCACCTTGTCAACATGCTCCATGTCTGAACGGTTATTGCTCGATGCAGGTGGGTCATTAACAATGCACTCTTTGTCGTTCATGCCGAGAATATTCATCTCAACTTCTTCTTTTCTTTTCTTTCTATTTATACCGGTTGTTCTGCCGGCGCAGCTATTTGATATAACCAGCCCATGCCAACCTCTGCCGAGTCGAGACACTGATCAGGACAAGTCCTTCATGTTGAGAACCGATGTTGCATTACACATCATGTCAAAAAACCAGCAGCGCACCCGCCACGCCGCAACGCCATGCAACCAGACAGGTAGACAAACAGATAAACAAGCATCATCGACGTCGACTCAGACAACATCGACCATCTCCTCGTCGCCCTCGTCCTCGTCATCTTCGTCTTCGGCAAACTCTGGCTCGGGCGCCATCTCCTCCTTGATGGCGTCCTGCTCCGCATGAGCATAGTTCGCGACCTCGGCCTCCGGATTCAGCATCCACGTATTCGCATATTGGCCTGTTCGCACCAACGTCGCGATCTTGGCCAGCGTCTCACGGAGATACGCTTCGGGCTGCTGCGTCTTCTCCTTAAGCGACTTAATCGGCCAATACCGGTACTCCTTGAAGTGCTTGAGCAGCATATCGAGCAGCTCGTTCTGCGGAATACGCGCGTACTTGTTCTCCTGCGCCTTGGCCTTGGGCTTGTTGTTGGCGATCTTGATGACGTTGCTGCCGGTCGTGGAGGCGATGCCGCCGATGAGCTTGGTGAATTTGCGGAGGTCCTCTTCCAGCACCAGCCGGTTCGTCGATTTTTGCGTCTTGGCAGTTTCGCGCGCCCGGAATGCAAACAGCTCTTCGTTCTCGACGGGCACGCACGACAAGTCCAGCGCCGACCGCGCGGCTAGCGCCGTGTTCTTGGGAATCGGCTTCTTGCCCCTCCGAAACTTATCGACCCGCCCGTCGCGGATCCGGTCGCCGCTAGGTCCGGATCCGAATCTTTGCTGCTGGCCGGGGCGCTTGTAGGCGTTTGGGTTGTAGCCTTCGAGATCCTTCTCGGAGAAGACGAAAGTGTTGATGGGGTTGTTGTTAACGGTGTTGACTTGATATTCCTTGGGGACTTCCGAAAACCTCGGAAGGTCCTGACGCAACACGAGCTTCGACTGCGGTGGTGGACGAGATCCAGCCCAGGTCAGCGCGATTTGCCTTTACACAGCCGGCGCATCAGAGAGGCGCAATGCTCCTGCGCCGCCCCTCTCCTCACTACTCACCTTCTGCTCGCCGCCCTCTTCCCACTTCATCAGCTTCCCGATCTCGAGCTCCTCGTCGTCCTCGGCGTTCGCCAGCACGTCCCACAGCCACTTTGGCACGCGCGACAGCCACACGTTCTGCGAGCCAAAGTCGCCAGGGATGGTAAGCTCGCCGGTGTCTTCGTAGACGTCGTCGTCGACATAGATGCCCGGCGAGCCCATCGCGTCCGGGTCGGCCTTAACGGGGGGATTGTTGTCGAGCTCCATCTTCACGCCGCTCATGGCGGGGACGGGGACGGGCGCGCGCTGCCGGTTCGTGTCGTTCGCGGGAGATGCTATGCAAGTGCAAGCGGCCGTGTGTGTGGCTGGTAGGAAAACGTGTGCGTGGTGGTGGGCGAGGCGGCGAGCGGGTGGGAGGACAGAGAGTTGCGGAGGTTGCGCTTAGGTAGATGGCGGAGCGGAGGTACGAACGGCGCGCGGACGAAGCGCTCCGCTGAGTCAGTCATGGGCTAGATTCGCTGTTGCGCGAGTCGTGCCGGGGCGGGTCGATCTTCCGGGTGGCCCATGAGCTGAGCCGAGAGCGAGGATAGGTATTTATACATGCAAGCACTTTGACACGCAGCAAAATAGACAGACGGAGTTGTCTACAGTGCAGTCAAGATGGGTTTACGGGGCAGGTTGGAGCGCGTGAATGGAAAATTCTTATGACCGTCTTTATGCTTGCTTGATTCAGAATTGTGATGAGATATACTTAAGCATGCACAGATTGAGTTGGTCGGCATCATATCACGTCACATTAACAAACAGACAGGCATTCAGTACATGTAGAACAGTAAGTATAGAAGTAGGCATGCACAGCCAGAAGCGACTTCGTGTTTAGCGTGTACAACACACTCCCTCTCATCCTGCGTGCATATAAGTCCTCCAGGCCGCCGAACACAACGAGCGAGCACTCGCGCCAAACCCTCGTCAACTCTATCTCTCTCTTTCCCTCACCATCACCGTCGGACCACTACCCACACACCCCTCATCGACACTGTGCCCAAAAGTCAGTCCACTCTACCATCACCATGCCTCCTCACCACAAGCAACGACGCCGCACAAACGCACCTTCTTAAAGCCAATAGCCTCCGCCTGCTCACGGAACGCCTGCCGCGACATATTGAGGCCGTACTTGCGGATGATGCCGGAGCGTTTCTTCTCGCCTGTGACGCGGCTGCACCAACACAAGACAGTCAGTCCATTAGCCTTAGTACTAGAAACCTCTGTCGCAAGACAGTAATGGTAAGGGTGTAAGAGTGCGTTATCAAGGAGCGGAATTGCTGCGGAAATACTGTGTCAAAGAGAGAGAGGCGAGAGACGAGACGTACCAGCCGCGCGAGCCCTTGCCGTAATTGCGCGGGTGCGAGTACCAGACTGTTTCGTGCGCCATGCTTGCCGTGCGTGTTGTGGTCGTTGATACGCTCAGTACGTATAGAAGTAGAGAAGGCACGAGGATGTGAAATTTGCGTGTGTGCGAGTGACGGTGCTTTATTGCTTGAGTGCTACGTAGTAGTAGTAATATGTGTGGTACAAATATGTGGTACCTTGGGGTCCTAGTCCATCATGGTGCCATGGTTGGGCCTGACCAATCAGATGAAGCTATGCTACCAATTCTCTCCGTTTCGATCTTGCACCGTATTGCTACGACGGAGCGCCACCAGCGCAGATGTTGCTTCTATTCCTTTTTTGAATCACTTACTTCGTAGTTGAGCGGAGCGGACTTTACATTTAAAGCGACCGTGTCCCCTATCAACGTCGCCAACGCATGGGCACAACCTAAGAAGAACCAGGACGTGTTCGGCTACGAAGGCCAAAGACGTCAAGTCAACATGCTCGGAACTGTCTCTCACCCCATTCAAGCCTTGACGACATGTCTGTCGCGTGCCGCTGCTGGCCTTACGCCTACGTTGTCCATTCCTCCATCCTCTCTTGAACCAACTTATCACCTGACCAAGCTCGACTGACACCCTGCCTCGATACCCGACAAGGGAACTGTCGGGCCCGCCTCCAAGCACTCTAGTCGCGCCACCATCACTACTCTCGTGTGTGAAAGACGAGCCATCATGCGAGGTGAACATCTGCGATGTGAGAGCGGAGGCACAGGGGCCAGCCGGCGAGGCTGGGCACGCGCAGCAGCAGATGCAGGTTTGCGAGCTAGGAGTAGTTGGAGACTTTTAAGACGGATCCTCGCCCGACGGACGCCGACTCACCGAGACCTACATTCAAGTCCCCATGCCCCCCTGCCGGCCAGACTCGGTCGGCAGGACAGCCCATCGACTTATGGTAATCTCTCGTCCGCTTCACAGGAATAACCAAAAAGCGTACGATGAAGATAAAGATGGTGAGATGACAAGATAGAGCGGGGTATTGCGGAGAAACAAGCGAGAAAGATATACAAAGACACATGGACGACATGATGACATTTACTCCTTCTCGGATCGTGACAGTGACGACATCATCAGAAAAAAAAAAAAAAAAAAAAAAGCGAAAAACATTAAACTTCCTACTCTTACGACGATGACGACGGCGTGAAGAACGCCTTTTGGTCGATGATGACCAGGCCGGCAATACTAGCACTGGACAGCGTGGCCAGAATGCCCGTGAGCAGGGCCGAGACGGCGACCCTGGAGATATCACCAGCGCGGCCGGGCGAGAGCTGGTTCAGGACACCGATCTGGTTGCCGAGGGAGCCAATGTTGCCGAAGCTACAAAGCGCATACGTGGCGATAAGGCGGGAGCGATCCGACAGGTCGGAGTATTCAACGTCCGTCTGCAGTTTGTTGTACGCAACAAACTCATTCTCAACGATCTTGATGCCGATGAGCCTCGCCACCTTGAGCAGGTCGCCGCCCTTGCGGTCCACGCCAAGCAGGAACGCAATCGGGTAAAACGCATAGCCCAGGATGAGCTCGAGAGTCAGGTCATAGTCGCCCGTAAGATTGAGGTCTGGATTTGAATTAGTATCTGTCCTTTCAGGTAGCCGGGTTCCCAATTGCACTTACAGCGTCCCCACCAGGTAAGCAGACCGTCGACCAGGCCGATGAAAGCAATGATACAGAGGAGCGTCGCCATGATCAGTCCGGCAATCCTAAGACCCAGAAGAGCACCGTTGCTAAAGGCATGCAGGGCATTGGAGGCCTTGTGGTCCTCATCGTCGGGAACCACAACACGACCAGCCGTGAGCGTCTCTTCCTCTTCAGGGTAACGGAGCTTGCTGTACGCTAAAGAAGCCGGAATGGACATGACACAAGAGGAAATGAGCGCTTGCGCGTTGACGCCCATTCCAATGTACGAAACCAACACGGAACCGGCAATGGTCGCGAAACCGGAACACATGACTTGATGGATCTCGGCCATGGTAAGATGCGGGACGAACGGCTTGATAAGCATGGCGGATTCACCCTGGCCGATGAAGGGAGAGGCGGCAGCGACGACAGCCTCAGCACCAGAGATGCGCATGCTCCAGAAGAAGAACGCGGCAAACTTTCCGACGAACCACTGGATGAGACCGACGTAGTAGAGCAGTTGGACCAGCGAGACGAAGAAGATGATGGCAGGCAAAACGGTAAGGAGGAACCATTTGTACGTTTTCGGGATTGCGTCCGTGGTCAGGAAGGCGGTGCCTTTGTCCGCAAATCCCAACAGGTCTCTGGCCCGTTCGGAGATGAAGTTGAAAATATCACTTCGCAAGGGTCAGCGAAGCCAAGAGACGCAGTAGACAGAAGACTTACTATCCAACAGTCGTGCGCAGGACAAAGAGGGCGATGATGTACTGCATGAGCATGCCTGAAATGACGGTGTGCCAGTTGATCTTCTTCCTGTTGCGAGACGTAGCCCAGAGGGCGAACGTAAAGACGACAAGGCCAAGGAGGGAAACGCCACGGTTGGACAGGGTGTTCTCGGCGCTGACGGGACTGCAGAAGGTACCGATCAAGTATACGGCGACAGTGACGGCACCACCAAGTGGATACCTCAGCCTTTCGGGAATGAGATTAAGCAACGGAATAGCCGTCTTGTTCCAGGACCAGTACATGGGCCGGGTGACATAGGCAATGGGGACATGGAGGAACAAGATGCGCAGGGAGATGGCGAGCCAGAAGAGGAACGGGATGACCCAGTTCTTGTCGTGACGGTGCAGGACGAGGCCTACAATCCACCATCTGTAGTCGACGCGCGTCAGCCATGCCTCACGAGCTCCGCCGAAGAATCGCCTCGCTCTTGCACCGCTGCGTTTTTCTTTCTCTCACGCGTTCGTGTCGCGTTTTCTCGCCTGCCGTCACACGACCACCGCGCCACCTCACAAAAAGAAGATTTTTTTTTATCTTTCTTCGGTTTTGCGGGTAACACCTAGCGCGTTCAAGGAGGTCAGGAGACGTACCCAGTGAAGACCAGCCAGATGGCGATGTGGAAAAAGAGGCGGTATTGCGCGTAGAATTTGGCGAATGGGCCGCGTTGCTTTTCTTCCTCGGCGCGAGCAATGGGGCTGCTGCTTCCCTTTTCGGCATCGTCAATGTCGACAATGCCGCCCTTCTCATTCAGCGGCTTGCGCTGGTGCAGACTGGAGGATTGGTCGTCAGTGGCCTGCGAGTAGGCAATCTCAGGCGCGGCAGCTTGAGAGCCATGGTGCAGGTGGGGGTGGTGGTGCTCGTGAGTGACGTCGAGGACGGGATCTGGGTTGAGAGCGACGCCCGTCTGCGGCGAGGCGTTGTGTAGTTGGTGCTTCTCCATTGTGGCGAGACAGACAAGAAGGGGACCTTGGGAACTGGAGGGCTGCTGCTCTGGATTGGAAGGGAGCTGGAGCAGAGCAGAACAAAGCCGAAAAGAACGGCAGACGCGCCACGGTTAAGAACAGAAGCCGTGGCTAGGCGAGGTCGCGCGACCCGATCTCTTGCCAAAAGGACCCGCGCCGATCTGTGCGCTTGGCCTTTCGTTTTTCAGCGGGCAGGGTCTGGCTTATCGCAGCTCGGGCAATGCTCACGCCTCGATTTGCCCGCTTGGGCCCAAGTGCCGGAGCTTCCCTCCCGTTTGCAGCCAAGCGCAAGTCCACTTTCTAGAATTCTTCCATCGGCACACGCATGGCACTGCAGACGCTTGTCACATTCCCCAGCTTCGCTTCTTCCTCGTGTGCCAGGGTGCATGTGCTTGTGCTTGCCGCTGTCAAACCTTACCAGCCGCTGCTCCGTCTATCCCCAATCCAAGTGGTGCCAAATCTGTCCCAGAACACCTGCCTGGCGCGCCGTCCGAATTTTTTTTTACCTGATCACTCGCGTGCGTGCCTCGGGGCGTGCGGTGCGGTGGCGGCCACACCGCGCCACCCACTGACCACCACTAACTACTGCCCGCAATCCGCAATCCGCAACCCGCGCAACCAAACCTTATCACGCTCCGTTATATCGCATTCCCACGCAGCTATCGGGCTCGCTTCCCCCCGCCTTTAAGGCTGATCCTTGTGCCCCGGTATGCCCGGCATTGGTGCTGCTTGCGGCGTCTCCGCATGCCGCTATCGAGACGTGTTGTCGGGCTTAGCCGACCCCGGACGACGTCGCTGCTGGTTATCTCGTCGATCGCTGCGTCGCGGGGGCCGGGACAGATAGCCAGGTAGCCTTGATCCATCTCGCATTGGCTTGGCGCGACACAGCATGATGTAGTTATCTCTCTATCTTGGCCGACCGCCTGCTTGCCGGCCTGCCCACTAAGGCAGGTATCGGCGCGCGCGCCTCTCTGGCGGTGCGGCTGCGAACACCCGGCTACTACGTAACTATGTAGGTACATTCGAGCCCGGACGCCTATCTGTGACCACGCTGTCGGATGGCGCCGTGCGTGATAAATATGTACATAGAGTAGTTTCGGTATGCAGTTGGACTTGAACGACGCGCGAGTGCTGGCCTGCTTCATCGTGAGTGGTTACCGCCTCCCCGTTCAGCTCCCTCCTCTTCCTGCACGCCGCACCGCCATGCCGTTCAGCCAGCCCGCCAAGCCACACACGGCACAATCCGGCACACACACACAACCTTACCAGCCCGCCAGCCAGTCATGCACGGCAGATAGGGTAGCAGCGCCAACAGTAACCTCACCTCAGACCCCCGAAGCAGTGCAACGGTGCAGCAGCGCGACGCCCTCCCCCCTTCACGTCTAGATCCGGCCGACCACCAAGAGCTCGGCGTCAGGCGCTGCAGGGTCGAGTCGAGACCCGCCTCGCCCGGGGCTGGCTGATCGGCGGACCTGCGGAGCGCGACTCGCCGATCCGGTGGTATGGTGCGCGGATACGGAGGTGCTCAGCTCAGCTCAGATCCATCTGCTTTGCCCTTGCATTGCTACTCCTATCGTGGTTGTCGTTGTGGTCGTGCTTGCGCTGCCTGGCTCGCTGGCTGCTTGGTTCTATGCTGTACTTGATGCGGGGGGTTGTGATGGATAGGTAAATGTCGTGTACACTTGGGGCTGTCCTTGGGCTGGTTCAGTCTTTGTTTTGGATGCCTGATGTTAGGATCACTAACTCAAGCATTGCTTGGCGACGCGGAAAAATTGATAGATGATGATTAAAGCTGTGATTGTGCGTGATTGTTTCCCACGCTCCTCTATAATACATTCCTTCCCACAAGAAAGCCCCATTGCGGCTCAAGTAAATAATAACATAAACTAATACAGCCAGCCACAGCCTAGCCTATACGCCACCCAATGCCTTGCAGGCTCTCTTCTACCAAATAGCAACTTTTACCGCCATTACCATACCTCTTCCTCGACCTGTCAACTCCAGCCTCAGGCCAAAGGACAACAAGACCGCTCAGAGCAGTCAGTGGCACAAACCCCGACGCCCCCACTACTCCTCCACCTCTGTCCATCCCTCTTGCTCCTTCTCAATAAACTTCTTCATCGCGTCCTCGTCAAAAACACTTTCCTTCGGAATGCCCGCCTTACCAAAATCCACCACGGGGCCAATAATATGCGTCCAGCGCTCTTTCTTCTCCATGAGTGCGCGAATCTCCTCGCCAAGCCCGCGACTCGACACGCCACCAGCTTGGACAACGTGCGACCCACCGCCAGCACCGCCAGGCCTCTTGTTGTTCTTTTTGCCCTTGCCGAGGTTGCGGTTGCGCTTGAGATAGGCGGCGTTGAGCTGGTTGTTGAGGTCGTCTTCGATGGCCGAGAACTCCTGTTGCGCCATGCGTGCCTGGGCGAGCTCGAGGAGCCGCGATTTTCGTGCTCCGTTGACGATTGATTGCCGCCTGAGTTCATCTTGCAGGTAGCGCAGCCGCGCGGCGACTTCATCGTCGAAGTGTCCGTCGTAGTCGGGCTTGTCGTCTGCCGAGAGAAAGCCGATGTGTACAAGCTCTTGCATCGCGCGTTCGTCCATGCTTGCATAGTCAAGCTTGGTGGCAGGTGCGTTTTTCCAGTTGGGGAGATTGGATTCGGGCATGAACGTGGCAGCAGGCTGTGGTGCATTGCTGCTGGATTCGCCTGCTTCGCCGTCGATCTCCATTTCGGTGCCGTTTGCTTCGTTGGTGCTCTGGCTTCGACCTTCCGCGCGCAATGTGGCTAATAACCGCGAGACTACGGGGCCCGCGGAGACGGCCTCCGTCTCCCCAACTTCATCGTTCATGACATCCATACTGCCGCGCGGTTCGTTCGGTGGTAACTTATCGGCATTTTGATCGATAGCCATAGCGCCGTCCTCATCAGCCCAGATCTCTTTGTAGTATCGTGGGCCACGGCGGGGCATCTGGAAAGGGGTGACGCGATCACCCTGTAATGATCATCAGTCTGATGTAAAATAATCAACTAGTATCAAAACTTACGCGCTCTTTCAAGAATGAGAGGTCTTCTTCGGTCAACGGCCGGATGTATGGCTCGGCATAGTTGGCAAAAACAGTAGCATTAATCTGCGTCTGCGGTTTCGGGTTGCTATAGTCTTTGTCTGGTGGTGTACCAGGAGTCAAGTCATGGAGATCATCCTGGGGGTAGACGGCCACGCCAAGTATTTCCTTCTTTAAATACTCAGGGGTATCATCTGTGACTTCACGAATATGGTAGATTGTGGGGTCATCGAACTTGGTAGGATCCGGGCCAAATGTTTGATAAGCAGGTACTGCCGGCGCAGGTGGAGGTTGGTGAGATTCTTCAGAACCGCTAGGCGATGCCGCGTCCTCCATCTTGGTGCCAGTGGCCGAAGGCGGGGGCTGCGAAATGGGAGAGGAGATTGTAGATGATGCATCTGTTAGGTGGTCAACTGCCATTCTTTATATAAAAAGGAGCCGACAAATGATGAATGTTAAAGCCGATGCGAAAGTGGCGTCGAGAACTGAGTAATGGCGCAGTCAACAGATGCAGAAGATTGCACCGTGGATTCTTATTTTGAAGCAGGAATTGAGCCCCCCTCTTAACATATTTGGCGCGCATGTTTGAGTGACGGGGCGACTGAAACACCGGACACGACACGGAAGGCATTTTGAGTGTTTGAATAAGAGCGCTGAGTTGGAGAAGTGGTATACAACACGTAAAAAGCACCTACCCTTGTGAACGTCAACACCATCTTGCCTAGCCACGCCATGCGCGCCTACCGCCAATGGGCGGTCCTCGTCTGGCTCGCGCTTCTTCGAGACCTTCTTCAGCTTGTGCTTTCTCTCTTCGGCCTCACGATCGGCACGCTCCTTATCACGCTCCTGTTCCATACGTTCTTTGCGGCGCTTCATCAGATGGCGCATAAATCGCTCGCTCGTCTCGCCGCGCTGGGTCTGGGCGGGGATGAAGCGGTTCTTGATGTCCTCCTGCATGGCGTGCAGAGCCTCGGCGGAGGGGATGTTGTTGGGGTTGGAGCCATTGCTGAAAATGTCCTCGATGAAGATGCTGGACGTGTTTGCGAGCTGTGACAGGGCGGTGTGGAGGTAGGAGGGCGAGGTGGTGGGCTCGATGGTGACGGCGACGCTGTTACCGGAGATGGGCGTTGTGTTACGACTGCGCGAACGGCGTGAGTCGCGTGGCTGGCTACCGGGCTTGGCCTTGCCCTTGCTACTGGCAGAAGGCATGGGGGGGGAGAGGAAGAAAGAGATAGAGACGAGCTAGGTAGGTAGTCAGTGGTTGACGACGGGTGAGGTTCGATGTGCCTGTCGGGCCGTCGGGAGGTTATCGATAAGACACCTCGAGCTACGCAGTGACACTTGACAGGGAAACAAGCTTTCCGGGGTTCGCGCGGAAGATTGGCGCCCCAGCCCCAGCCATCCCGTCCATCCCGTTCATCCTCTCGTACCTCCGCTTCCCGTCTACTCTACATATCGCAGACTCCTGCGTGCCTCGCCCCGTTTCCTGCTACATTCCTGCGAGTCCCGACCGACTCCAGCTCTTGCTCTACCTCAGCGCATGACGTCCTCCCGTCGAGCTGCCCGTCCTATGCGCCCGCCGTCGCCATGAGTACGTCACCCGTTCCACCCTTTGCGCGCCCGAGTTGCGCTCTTATTGACTCGTTGCAGCCGCACAGGAAATCTACTTTCAGACGGCTGTCTTTCCTTCTATCGATCCTGTCGTTGGCAAGAACGTCTATACTTTGAATGTGCGTCGACACTTGGGCCACTTCCCCTCATCATCGAGGTAGATCATAACACTAATCGCCGTCAGTCCACCGTCTCTTTTGAATATCACGAACTGGCCATCCGCACCCTCTCCACCAATGGAGTCACCCAAGGCTCAACCATCCGGGGCTCTTTGTTCCTCCCGGACCTCTCCACTGACACCTGCCGGAGTCAGACGGAACCTTATGTGAACAAAACCGCCACCACCCTCAAACAAACTCCTCGCGTTGGCAATTTTCACGAAATCGCATTCGCACCATGGACCTCTTCGCAATGCATCTACGAATATCTGGAAAGTGCTCGTCAAGATCCCCAGCTGAAAGCCTTTATTTTCTTCGTGACGGACAATAATAGCACAGCCACTCCGCCCGCTCCGAGCGATCCGATGTGGCACTTAGAAGATGGTGGCAACTGGAAGTCCGAGCAAAGTTTTGCCATATATGCCGTCTCCAATGTTGTCGGCAGCAAAGTGATGGAACAACTTGCGGCCTATTCCGGGAACCTCACGACCGTACCATACGGACACGACCTCGCGGAGCAGATTGATGCTAGTGAATGGGTCCGTCTGATAGCTTCGATACAGACAAGTGAGTCTAACTTTTCCAACGCCATCCACGCAGCAGCTCGCGAGGAGCGTTTTTTTCAAACAGGACACGCAAAACTTGAGTTGCGGATGCTGGTGCCTGTTGCGATTGTCGCGATTCATGCAAGGACCCAGTCCTGGCCATGGCGTTGCTTTCTTGTGTCCATCAGCATTTGCCAACTAAGTAAAGTGTACCCTTGTTGAATATTGTGCTACCTGCGGCTGCGCGAGAAAACTTGGTCGTTCAAGTTATGCTAACTGATCCAAGGCGGCGGGAATAGATTACCAAGCCTTTGGGTTTTCCTTCTCATCATTCTTGGTCTTCTCGTTGCCGTCATCTGCATCTCATCTTTTGTGATGCATTGGCTGCAGAGCAGAAGGCGCAACAATCTACGTTCCCGTGTTATCCGGGGCGAAGTAGATCTCGAAGCCCTTGGGATCAGACGTCTAACCGTTCCGCAAGAAGTTCTTAACAAAATGCCCCTTTATATATATACCGACAGACCTGCGACACCTCCAGCAGAACCTCAGCACAATCCAACGGAAGAGATCAAAGAAAACGGAGTTTCTCACATCAAGGGGGCGTCGCAGCCAAGCTCGTCTCCCGAAGTCCGCCCCGCCACCTACTGTCAACCGACTTGCGCAATTTGTTTGGATGATTTTGTCGCCGGCGAAACGAGCGTTCGGGAGCTTCCTTGCCGTCACATATACCATCCAGAGTGCATAGACAGTTTTCTGCGCGACAACTCATCTCTCTGCCCGTTATGCAAAACGACGGTCCTCCCCAAAGGATATTGTCCCGCCGTCATCACTAACGCAATGGTCAGGCGCGAGCGCTGGGTTCGCCGCATCCGCTCGCGCGCTGCCTCACAGGGCATCACACAAGCCGAACTAGTGCAAGAGCAGCAGCGCATGATGGCCGAAGAGCGGTACCGACCGGGTCTGTTGAATGCGTTTGCCATATGGACAATGGGCAACCGGCCCTCGCGGCGGGAGCAGCGCGGAGATGTCGAAATGCAGCGGACGAGCCCCTCGACCGCCGACGCCGCCACGGCCGCTGAACAGCAACTACCGGCTGCTCCGGCTCCGGTAGCGGTGCCCGCAGGGGCCTCGACCGATGCAACAAATATGACTCCTGTCAGTCCTCGCCCTGAACGCGGCACTGCGTCACGGCGTGAATGGGCGCGCCAGCGTGCTCTTGCGCTGTTGGGACGGCATCGCCACCATTCCGATCTCGTCGATGAGGACGAGGAGCCTCCACGCGGTCGGATGCGCAAGGCACTCAGCCGTGTGTTCCCAGGCGTTTGATCTTTTTTTCTTTGCGTTTTTGTACAGATACCCTCTCTACCTATTGCTGTCGTCATCTTCTTTTCTCTCGATTTGTACGCTGCCGCATCCTTTAATCCCTTTTGTTTCTGCGGCGTCCTCCTGCCTGCATGTATGTACGACGCGCTAGTGCACCTTTCCTACCTAGTTGCACGGCGTTTACTGCACGGGGCTGGCTGGGTGGCCGCCTAGAATTATCTTCCTACCTTCTTTTCTTACCTTTGGGCTTTGGATGTGCTTTCTTGGGTGCTTTCAGCGCGGCGCTGGGGAGTGGGGTCGGCTGGATGGATTAGGTAATTGGGGCTTGCGTGGTTCAACCTAGGAGCCTTTTTGCGTTGGTGGTTTGGGGTGCCATGAGTGTGGGTTGCGAATACTGGTTTGGTGGAATGTATCCTGTGGGCACGGCGAAAACATACATACTCACGCGCGGAGTGGCGGGCGCTGGCTACCTTACCCGGGTAGCTCTAGTACAGTGTATATGTAATTTGATAGGCAGCGTTTCTCTGACCACCGCTATGAAGATAAGAATATCGAGCGTGTGCAAGTGGCTAATCCATGCTTGCGTACATGTTACCTTGGTTAACGGGGTTGGTTTCAAAAAGTTCACTATCGTCTTATTTATTCCAAGATCTATCACTAAACTAAATTGCCGGTATAGACATATCATATAATGTATCTGGATAGCGGAAAGTGGGAAGGATCCACTAGAGTTGACATGTTCACTGAAGCAATAGCAGGGAGTTTTCGTGGAGACGTCAAACTACGTGTCGAGTGGTTCGGATTGAGTTTGATCATTTTCTTGTTTAACAGATCGTTCTCTTCAAACTGTAACTTGCCACAATTTAAAAATTTAGAGATGTCTTTAGCATGATAAATAGCTAAAGTCTTTTACTGCTAAAGACCGCATTTGGCAGCAAGCACGTTAGGATGCCTAAGCAACTCAGCAGATACTTATTACTTCAGTAGCCAATATTCTTTAATAAGAAAGCTACCTCGGAAACCCTTTCCATTTGACGATCAATACCATGCCAATAAACCTCCCGTGTCCCTGTACAAATCCGTATCTTTCTCCTGCTCCACACAACAAGACATACATTCCGCTCAAACACATACATCTTCGGCCAATCATCATCTCAATGTCTACCGAGGCGAAGTCACCGCCGTGGCCGCACCATCTCACAAAGCAAAGTCACGTCTTGACTCAACTCGGAAATAATACTCCAAAGGCTTTGCAAAGTGCAAACCAATGAGTGCGGTAGTAATGATGGCCAACGGCAATGGTATTCTTTGATGTAAATCGGCAGCGGGAGATAGTGATGACGAGTATTACCACCGCTTTACTTTTCAGTTACTAAGGGATGAGCGACTGCGTTCGCATTTCAAGTTGCCGGCAATGTGACCGAACCTGCCAGCCTCGCTGGGGTGGCAAGTGGCGGCGGTCGGAGACCCGGTTTATGGTTTGACCTAGAAGTGTCTCCCTCACTCATCTTAGAGATGTGTGAGAGTTTATTGTACGGTCTTGTGCCAATGGCCGTGTCGTATTTCCTGTGCCGTGTTTGTGTGGAGTAGGGAGTAGGATTTGAAAGGGTTAGACGCGGTAGAGAGCAGTGTAAGCACTGTCCGTTATTTTGGCTTTAAGTGCAGTCTTGTTCGGAAGATTCTTGTGCTCTGACAGATATAACTTACACTCAGCCTTTCCATGTATCTATACGTCCGTGTGGTACTTCTTACCTTAAGTATATATGTAACCAATCGAGGACGCCATTACGGATATTGACTGTGCTCTCCAATGTCCCAATGCCTCCTACGAAGAAAGCGCAAACTGTCGGTGAGCGACGGAAATGCCAATGTCACATAGGAGGTACAAACGGGTCCTTCTCAGGAACCAGCGCGGTCTTCATAGCACTCCTACTCTCACTGTATATAGTAGTGATGATCATTACAACTATCCATCATTAACGCAGATCACCAGCAGGTGGGAGTGGTAGCGAGTATTACCACAGCTTAGCCTTCCAGCGAACCTTTTCTTATAACTGTATATCGCCAATAATACAAGAGTGTCATCTAGACCGCTGTACAGGTTGGTAGAATAGTGTCTGTCGACGTTTTCGCGCATTTCGCCCATCATCCTAGGAGAAATGTCAAACAACTGCGAACACATCGGTAAACATTTCAACACTGCACGCGTAATAAGGTCAATAATGGACAGTAAGCCAAAGTGGGGCCTGTACTTCCTATCTGCTCTAGAAACGCATTGAAGTACTTTTCTGCGTGATCCAATCGTTGTTATCTTTTGATGTGAATTGCTTCGACGTCTTAAAACACGTTTTGTCAACACATTAGGCTAACCCTATCACACTCAACCAACTCAAACCTACTTACCAACCACATCATCATCTACGCTGTGCCCGCCGCCGCAACCTCTTCCTCCTCTTCCTCACTCTCACTCTCATGCCCTTGCTCATCGCCCTCTTCATCCCCCTCCCTATGCCCCACCCACCCCGTTCCAGCCTGCACAAACACAACCACCACCGCCAAACCCGCAGCCGCGACCCACAATCCCCTCAACGCACCCTCGTACGCACCCACTGCAACCTCTCTCTCCGCATCTCCTAAACGCGGTACCATAGCCGGGCTTCCCATCAGCACCCTCACGAGCCTCGCCCTGCTCTGTTCACCTCCTCCTCCGTTAGGCAAATTCTTGAATCCCTTTTCCAGCGCAGGCCGCAGCAGACGCGCGAAGACGCCGCCGCCGAGCGCAGCGCCAAAAGAGCCTGCGAAACCGCGGAATGTGGCGACTAGAGCCGTAAGGACGAAGTGCGTGGACGTTGGGGTCAGGTGCAGCGCATGTACGAGGGTGTAGTTGACGGCGGCGCCAGTGACGAGGCCGTTGCTGAATGCAGCGGCAAGGAGGGCTGGGGCAGGGGAAGCGCGCGTGGTGGTAAAGGCAAGGAAAAGAAGAGTCAATGGGAAGAGGGCGTAGGCTATTAGGGAGGGCCTAGGTGTGTGTTAGCAGGAAGGTTGTGCTAGTCGGAGGGGAGACGTACAGGTAAAAGCTTCCGGCGCGTCGGATGTGGATCCAGCCGGCGAGGAGGCCGCCAATAGCAAAGCCGGCGTTGGTGGGGATCAAGATTGAACCCGCAGCTGCCGGCGCCCATGCTCGTACGGCGATAGCGTAAACGGGCGTATAAAAGAGGACACACCAACGTGCCATCATGAAGCCGAGCGTACCAAGACATGTGAGTAGTGTGCCGCGTGACTTCAAGAGCGAGATCGGGATGATAGGGTCCCGGGCGAAGTATAGCTCGATGGTTATGAAGGTGGGGATAAGGATCAATGAAAGGATGAGGGGGATTAAAAGGATTTTTGGGCCGGAAAGGGAGATGAGAAGGGAGGTAATGGATGCAGTCTGTTCTGAGTTAACAAATGTGTCCGATGTGTAGGTTGGACTTTCTTACAAGTGTTATAGCTCCCAAATAATCAATCTGAGCAAGCTTCTGAGAAAGCGTCCGCGAATCATCTTTCCTTGCACCCAGGCTTGCTGGTATGCTGAGGAAGATGGCGACTCCTGCGACTACCGCCAGTGGAGTCTGGAGCCAGAAAACAGACCTCTGTAATTCCAAGTCAATCACTGAGATAGCCGGATTGGAAACAGTACGATCTTACCCATCCCAACCTAGGCTCAATAGCGCCACCCAAGACTGCACCGAGAGAAACACCAGTCGTGATGACACTGTTGATGCTTCCCAAATAGAGGCCTCTGTGCTCGTGTCCAGCCATTTGCAGAACAATGATGATGACGAGAGAGAAGATCCCAGCCCCTCCTACGCCAGTCACAGCGCGTCCAACAAGAAACCACTCAACCGTAGGTGCGAATGCAGTGATTAGCCCACCCATGGAAAACAAAGCACTCGCTGTGAATATACAGCTACGAGGGGAGAAAATCTGACTCAGGCGGCCGGCAAGAGGCGTGATGCTGGACATGGGCACCTATGGAAAGTAAGCAAATTAGTAGTTGAGTGTGTCCATATGAGAAAATGAGGATTAAAAAGTGAAGAATTGAGATGACAACAACATTGACGAATTATCTATCGACGTACAGCATACTGAACACATTCAAAAAGAATAGTAGGAAGGAATGGTTGACTTGGTAGAGGGAAAAAAGGGATTGAAGAGGGCATACCAAGTACGCAGAAGTAAACCAAGTGGCTTCCTCAAAAGCATCGAGATCTGCAGCTATCGATGACTGGGTGGTGGTGAGTAGAGAAAAGTTACAAGCTAATTCGGATCAGCTTTGGTGGTTTATCTTCCAGCGGCCACGGCTTTGGTCAAACATACCCTGCAAGAAGACGATAAGGCCAAGAGAGACGACCATGACGGTCCCCCTCGAGACGGAGATGACTTCATCTTCTCGGTCGATTGGTTTCCGAGAAGAGTGAGAGGCTGCGGAAGACCCCGGCAGGAGTGGGGAGGCCTCAGACGGCGGTTCTTGATGCGCGGCGGGCATGTCGTACGAGATGGATCAGAAGGCGGATTGACACTCGGCCAGCATCCGGAAGAAGAGGGCATTTTTACAAAAGAATGGAGGAGAAGGCGTGCGATTACAAAGCGGGCTATCAATGGCTCAATGGTACCTGGAACCTGGACCGAAGCGGGAAGGGACGATCGGGGGCGTGCGCGAGCTGGCATCATCGCCGTCCGCCGAGCTGCCACCTGGCTCGGCCCCAGACTCTCCGCGCAACGCTAAATGCTATGCATTATTGTTTTCCTTTGATCTGCCTTCGGTAATATGACGCCCTCGTTATAGGCCCTGAACGGATCTTAGAACTCTTTGCTCTTACCAGCAATGTTACCGCCATCCCCGCGGCCTTGGCCGCTGCTCCTTTGTAAGTCCCCGCGCCGCAATTCCCCCAAGATCTCCAAGATCCCAAAGATCCTCAAGACTAACTGCTCAGTCTTCCTACTCGCATTATGCGCCTTCGCATCAGCCGGGAGCGAAGCGTCCGAGGACCGCGCTGGAGAGCACATACACCATGCGCAAGAACCACTACGATCCGAGTCGCGCCATCATGTCGCGAGAGGTGCGCAAGCCGTATAATCATCTAGGGACCCCCGCTGACCTGGCCCTCCAGGTGCTGCCGAGTTCGACCAGGCGACCGCCCTTCTCCATAAGATTAAGCCTTCGACCAGCCGCCTGGCCAGCTTCAATAAGCCCGTGGGCGCCCTAGGCTCGACTGCATACTACGCCAAGGAACTGTTCTTCCTTCTCTTCATGAACAGTCCACCAGAACCCGAACTCTTGCCATCCGAGGAGCAGCCCAAGAAGCTGAGCCAGCCACTAGCCGAGGCAGTCAGGTTGCTGGAGACGGCAGCTACGCAGAACAACACGGATGCTATATTCCTATTGGCGGAGATGAATTTCTATGGAAACTACACGTACCCGCGCGACTATCGCCAGGCTCTCCGGAGATACCAGGAACTGACAACGCTCGATGGGAACAGCACGGCGCAACACATGTTGGGCTTCATGCATGCCACAGGCATTGGCGGGGCTGTCAAGCAGGATCAGGCGAAGGCAATGCTCTACCACACATTCGCAGCCGAAGGCGGGAACATCAGGTCGCAGATGACCACAGCTTACAGACATCACACCGGCATTGCGACGCCACGGGACTGCGAGGAGGCCGTATACTGGTACAAACAGGTCGCAGACCGGGCGGTGGCATACATGCGCTCCGGCCCTCCAGGTGGCCACATGATGTTCAAGGAAGCGTTCAGGATTGCGGATGATGTTGGTGGAGTGTACGGAGAGGGCGCCAGCGTGAGCAGCTCCGGGCTGAATGCCAGAATCGGTGGCGCAAATTCGGACGCTCATGCGGCGTTTGACGATGTACTGGAGTACCTTGATTTGATGTCGAGAAAGGGCGACCTCAAAGCCACCTTCAGTCTTGGAAAACTGCACTACGACGGATCCAGAGAGCTCAAGCGGGATCTCAAAGCGGCTAAATCATACTTCCTCGAAGTGGCAAGGGTGGTATGGAAACACGACGGAAAGGTCAACGCGGATCTGCCTTCCGGAGCCGAAAGACTTGCAGGTAAAGCAGCTGGCTACCTAGGCCGGATGTTCCTCCGTGGCGAAGGCTTAGAACAGAACTTCAACATCGCCCAGACATGGTTCAGACGCGGCGTTCAACATGGGGATTCTCTCAGCCAATTCTCCCTGGGACTCATGTATCTCGAAGGTCTCGGACTTCCAAAAGACCCCGTCCAAGCAGCAGACTACTTCGGCGCCGCGGCTGACCAAGACTATGCACCGGCCCATGTCCGTCTCGGAGCACTCTTCCTGGACCAAGGAGATGTCCCTACTGCAACCAAATACTTTGAGCTTGCTGCGCGCAACGGACACTTTGAAGCTTTCTATTACCTCGCCGACCTCGCTGACCAAGGTGTTGGCCGCGACCAGTCCTGCGGCATTGCCGTAACGTATTACAAGATTGTTGCTGAAAAGGCTGAAGCGATTCTATCTCCCATCCGTGACGCTAATTCCGCGTACGAGAATGGTGACCTTGAAAATGCGCTCGTCGGCTATATGATGGCTGCTGAACAAGGATTTGAATCTGGTCAGGCGAACGTCGCCTACCTCCTGGATCAGGCACGACCACGCATGACTATTGGATCCGTGGTTATTCCTTTCTCGCAACGCAAAGCACAAATTGCCAATGATCCTGCCCTCGCGCTTATCTATTGGACTCGCTCCGCCAAGCAGCAAAACATCGACTCGATGGTCAAGATGGGCGACTACTATCTTGAGGGTCAGGGTACAACGGCCGACCAAGAAAAGGCGGCAGCATGCTACCAAGCAGCAGCAGAGACAATGCAGAGCGCGCAGGCATTCTGGAACTTGGGCTGGATGCACGAGAACGGCATCGGGCTCGACCAGGACTTCCACCTGGCCAAGCGGTTTTACGACCAGGCGCTGGAGACCAACCACGAGGCATACTTACCCGTGACTCTGGCACTCTTCAAACTGCGCGCGCGTAGTTACTGGAACACCATCACTCATGGACGCATCAACTCGATCCGCGACGAACCAGGTACCTAACCCTCCACTTCACCCACCCATCCATCCATTCCCCCATGTTCGCACACAGCGCACAGCACAGCGACCCCGCGCGCTATCACGGCTACGCCACATCCACATACCCTCCCAGCTCTTACATACAAAACACTCCACTAACACAACTCTCTTACGCCGACACAGACGCCAACAAACCACGCACCTTCACCGAATGGCTCACGGCCTTCCTCGAGGCTGATGCGCAAGCTTACTACGAGCAGCTAGAGCAAGACGACTGGGCCGCTGACGATGAGCCCGGCATGCCCGGCGGCGACGATAGCTACTACGACGATGTCGACGAGAGCATCCTTGAGACGCTGGTGATTCTGGGCTTGTCGGCCGCGCTGGCGCTGCTGGTGTGGTATCGTAACCAGGCGGCACGACAGGGACGGGAGCGACGGGAGCGCGAAGAGAGGGAGCGGCGAAGGGAGGGAGGTGCGGTGGGTGCGGGAGCCGGGGAAGGAGACAGGGGCTTTTTCCCTCGGCCGGGAGATCCGGCGTTTGGGGAGTGGGTTGTGGGGGGCGTGGGGCATTAGCGTAGGTATAGGATGAGATGTGGAAGGGAGAAGATGGTTGTAGGGGTGTACATGATCTTCGCTCTGTGTTTGCGTTTGTGTCTTGCTGGTATGAGTGCACTGTCTGTCTGGTTCTGACTGCCTGTGCATGTTTCTAGAGAAGCTTTGCCCTGCCCGTCTGTGTGTACCTGCTACGGCAGATTGATGGATTTGGGTCTGAACGCTTGATGCCTATGTGTGTGTGTGTATGCTGGCTACGTATGAGTCGGGTCTTGTATCTATTCTATCTATGCTATCTATGCCGTGCTGCAGATGTGTATGCAGCTTTTATGGGAAACTGAGTACGGTGCGACGTCATACTGTGTTATACATGCTCGAGGGAATACAGCAGCTTCTCGGTAGTTGCGAGGAGTAGCCGCTTGTGTGTGCGTTTTTACGCCATGGCTGCTACAGGGATAATGACATCGCCATCTGCTGTGGGCCTTACATTTTATTTTTTGATGGTTAGAGGCTTGGCTGGAGGAGAGGTTCTGATGCTTCATTTGCTGCTTGGTGGAAGGGTGGTTCTGGGTGAGCCAACGAGGTTACTGGAGATGCTTGTTTTTGGAGTGCGGTTCGAGTCGTTAGCGGTCTTCTTCTTCGGAAAGCTCATATCGTAGTCAATCGTGTCCTTCTCGTTCACTAAGCTCTTCTCGCCCGATGACCCCCACCCTTCGGCCCTGTTCTTCTCATTCAAACCGATCTTCTCGCCCGCGGCACCCTCGGGCTCAACACTGGCGCTCCTCTCGCGATCTGCCTCATAGCCACTGGTCCCACCAACGGCCTCTCCATCGTCGTCGCTCTCACGCTCCTCTTCACCAGTCTCGTCAATTTCGATGGGCATCCCACGCATAATCTCCGCGATCTCGCCGTCCACGCCCGGAGCGCCGTCCATGGCGCCGTCCGCGAACTTGGCAAACGGGAAGAGGTAGTCGAGGCCCACGAGCACGAAGGCGGCGTACTTCTCGTCAGTGTCGCAGAGCTGTTGGGCCGTGATGGCAATGTCCTGGCTTGCGAAGCTTGGTTGTCAGTGGCGTTTCTTTTGGGTCGAACGAGGAGGGTGTGTTTGTGTGTTTGCGCATTTGCTTGATCTAAAGGCTCACCTGCTCCCAGAGATCTTGCACCGCTTTGCTCCAGGGCTTGTTGCCGAATGTGTACTTCATCCGCTCGAGCATGAGTTGGAGCTCTGGCTTCAGGCTCTCGAATGTAGCTGTAGCCATGTTGATGTTGGCTCACTGGTGAGACGCCTTTTCTTGGGGCGACGTTTTGGAGACAGTTGCACGAAGAATCGACTGCGTTTGCCGAGATATTTCTTTACGTGGGTTGGAAACTGCTACTGGAGGTAGGTTGACCCGTATTGGACTGAGCTTGCTACCGAGGCATCACGGGGCGCTGGTCGAGTGTGAGGTCTGTAGCTCAAGATGGCCTCTAGGAGTTTGAGTTGGTCTATGTCTATGTTGGTCACAGTCGGTCATGACAGACGCACTTTGGGAAGTTGCAAACGCTGCAGTGGGTGATGTTTAGCCTGTTTTGGAAAGCAAAACGGGAAATAAAACCTGGGATCGGTTGGAAGCAGCAATGGCGCGCTGGTCTTTTTTCGAAGCCCTCACCGATTCGAATGCATGCGAGATGTTGTACTTTATTCTGCTGCAGGTAGAGACTGACTTTTTATAATTATAGGCACGCTTTGGGTTGACTTACCGAGGCTGGGCCTGGTGTATCTTCAAAGATCATTTTAACACCTTCACCTGCAATGTCAGTGATTGGGAAAACTTAATTACTCATTTAGAAGAGAACATGATGAAGTGAAGTCCAGAGGAAGGCTACGCTCGGGTCAACAGGCGAGCCTTAGGCAAGCCTCGGCAGCGACCCGGAGGCCACATCGAAGCTACCGATCATCCGTTGCGTCATCCCACGCGCGCATCCAGCATAGCACTGCCCTATCAAATCCTTCCACAATGGCTAGCAACTACGCCCAGACGAACACGCCCAGCTTCTACAACTACCCGGACCCCAAGGCCACCGACATTCCCTATACCAGCCCGGATGCCCCCAAGAATCCCGTCGTCCGCGGCCTGCCGCTCTACTACGGAGCTTCTTTGTGAGTTCCTCGCACAGCCGCGCGCCCGCTCACGTTGCCATTGGCCATCTTCCCTAAATGAAGAACGCAGTGCTAATAGCGTGTTACCAGAATCTCCTCCGTGACCACGCTCCAGAACTACCTCTGGAACAACACGGGCTTCAACCGCCTGCGCGGCCGTCCTGAGCTTGAGGATGTCGCGCCGCGGTACGACCCGACTGTGATTCCCATTGTGAGGAGTGACGGCGACGCGAACAACGCCAGCAATGACGCGCCCGCGATGACGGGCGCGCCGCCCCCGGCCTCGGCCAAGGGCCGCTTCCACTCGGTCCTCGACTACCACGAGGCGTACAAGTCGGGCGTCGTGACGCCTACGGCTGTGGCAGAGGCGCTGTTGCCGCTGATTCGACGCGATGTTGACGAGCCAACCGCGCACGCGACGGCGTGGATGGAGACGAAAGTGGAAACGGTGCGTGCGGCCGCAGCAGCATCGACGCAGCGCTACAAGGACGGCACTCAGCGCGGGGTGCTGGACGGCATCCCCGTGGCCGTCAAAGACGAGGTCGACCTTAAGGATTACACCAAGCGCGTCGGCTCGCGACGCGACCTGACTGGCAAAGCAAACGAGACCAGCTTTTGCGTCGCGCAGTGGGAGGCCGCGGGCGCGGTGCTGCTCGGCAAGCTGACCATGCATGAGTTCGGCCTCGACACCACCAACAACAACCCCAACCACGGCACGCCGCTCAACCCACACAACAGCGCGTACTACACGGGCGGTTCGAGTGGCGGGTCCGGTTACGCCGTTGGGGCGGGCCTGCTCCCCTTCGCTCTCGGCGCCGACGGCGGCGGCTCCATCCGCATCCCCTCTAACTACTGCGGCATCTTCGGTCTCAAGCCCTCGCATGGCCGGGTCTCCGGAAGGCCGTCCCCTAGCCTCGCGGCTACGACTGGCGTCCTTGGTCCTATGGCCGCGAACATGGCGGACCTCGAGCTTGCGTACCGTTCCATGGCGGCGCCGGACCCAGAGACCCCCGCGTCCAGCCTCTTCCCCGTCCCTAGGGCTCTTTTTACCGGTTCATCTCGTGCTAAGACGCTCGGGATCTACAAGCCGTGGTTCGAACGCGCGGAGCCCGAGGTTCAAGCTGCATGCCGCAAAGCTCTAGACCATATGACGACGAAGCTGGGATACACAATCGTGGACATCAGCATTCCGTTCGTGAACGAGGGCCAAGCGGCGCACGCGCTGACTATTCTTTCGGAAATTGCATCCCAGTTCCACACCAACGTCTCGGACCTCACGCCCGCAAACCAGATCCTCATCAGCGTGGGTTCGCGCGCCGGCGCCATCGACTTCCTGCAAGCGCAGAAGGTCCGCAACCTCGTGATGCAGCACCTGGCGCACCTCTTCCAGACACACCCCGGCCTCATCATCGTAACGCCCACGACGCCGAACCCGGGGTGGCACATCAGTGGCGGGGCGCGCGATCTCAAATACGGCGTCAGTGATGGAAACATGAGCATCCGCAGCATGGAGTACGTGTGGATGGCCAACTTCACCGGCTGTCCGGCTATTCAGGTTCCCGTTGGGTATGCAGAGCCGAAGGAGGGTGAGGGGAAGATACCGGTTGGGTTGATGGGGATGGGGGAGTGGGGGACTGAAGAAGAACTTATTGGATGGGGATATGATGGCGAGGCGTGGTTGAATGAGGGATTGGAAGGGGGAAGGAGACGGCCGGAGAGCTGGGTCGATGTGTTGGAGTTGGCGAAGAAGGCGATGAGTGCTTGAGTCTTCTGGTTGGATGTTTGTAGGATTAAGAAGTTGACTGCTGCTGTTGGTTGCGGATGAGCGTGGTAGATTTGTAGGAATGTCAGAAATGCCGTCAGAGGGAAAAGCCTAATAAATTTAGTAGTGTCCGCCCTTGGTGTACAAAGACCGTAATTTCAACCCCACGTCTACCGCTAGATACTAACGTCCATGACCCATGAGCGAGATTGACTGCTCAGCAAGATCGCCAATGAGAGCCTCTCCTCGGACTTCGTCGGATATGCTCTTGGCAGACGAATTTAGTAGCGATAATCAAGAACGCGATTGTTAGTACCTTACTGACCTTAAGAATCTTAGGATAAAGTTTAGTAGTAGATAAGAACTATACTAAGAGTAAAAGTTACGTAGATCGAAGAGGGAGAATCTAAAACTATAAATTTATTTGTAGTTATTAGTATAGAGTATCGTGAGGTTTGCTATTAGGAGACTCTGATTGGCTATCTCGCTGAACAGTCAATCTCGTTTAGCCGTCAGGTACGTTAATCGGCTCTAAGAAGGTAGACTGTATAACAATGGCTACATCAGTGGTTCATTTGATAGGCCCTGGATAATTTGCCCACCCCTCTTTGGATATTTTGCCCACCCCCTACTAAGAAAGGCAACCGCTAAGCTTTTTCGGGTAATCGTAAACGATAATTCT